TACTTCAAGGTTAAGGGCAAGTAGCAAAACCATCCCCACAAACAGCAAAGCCAACAGCTGAGCCACTGCAGTGGTTACATCAGGGCTGACGTGTCAATGCTCAAACAGCGGACACTGCATAAACAAGTGAAGTCAGCTGACAAACCAGCAGAGATGTCTACAGAGAGGACAGCGCTATTATTCTATTCCAGAAACAGGCTAATCCATACACTCTGACCTGGGCTCCAACATCAACCCAGCTTTCAGTGGGTACCAAGTCAAAATCGGTCAACCCAGTCTTCAGTGGGTACGAAGTAAAATCGGTCAACCCAGTCTTCAGTGGGTACTAGGTGCAGTCCTAGCAAGTCAAAAGGTGGCTAGCGTAATGCTGACCACATCACCCACAGAGAGCCCATCTGTCTACAAAATATAGTTCTAGCACAATATGCCCAATATACCCGAAGGAGTGGAAAAGGGCTCTTTAACTCTGACAAATTAGCTAAGGAAACAAACAAGTGTCCTATTTCTGGTCTCTACGGCCGAGGCAACCAGCGGACATCCTCAGTGCTGTTTCCTACCACAACTGAAGCCCTTTTCAAACGCTGTCAGAAAGTTTCTTTGTCAAAATATTTAACGAAGAAGCCCTACTGCCTTGTATACCCTAAAGGATCATAGGCCCTCAATCAACTCAATAAGTCATTCTATCCTTCTTCATTAGCCCCAGCTCTCTAGCGTAGTTGGTTAAATCTGACATAGCGATGACCGGGTTCACTCCCAGGGGTAGGCAGAAAAGCCACATTTCTCCCAGATTTACGGTACCTTTCACGGAATCAAGGCCGAAGTGTTGCGATATCCATAGTACTGAGTAAAAGAGTTTAACAACTAATGGTTTCTAGATTTTTAAAAAAAATCCTTCTTTATTACATGCACCTCACTCCATGTCCTACCAGCTCCATGTCCTACCAACTCCATGTCCTACCAGTCTTGTAAACTTGACTCTCTAGCTCCCTTATCTGTGTTTTGTTTCAATGTGCTTTTAGTCCTATGTCCCTGTGGTTTTCAGTACAAAGATACTCAAGTTATATTGTTCTCATGGGTTCTCATCATGTGCCCTATCCAACATCAGCATCTTTTCTTCTCTTCAACTCTTGGTCTAGTGGAACTTGTTTAGTACTTTGCCAAATCTCAACACTGACGATACTTCATCAAATCTCAACTTGTTTAGTACTATGCCAACATCAGCATCTTTTCTTCTCTTCAACTCTTGGTCTAGTGGAAACTTGTTTAGTACTTTGCCAAATCTCAACATTGACGATTCTATCAATGAAGCAGTTCTTAATTGTAAACAAGTATTTTTAATTAACTCAAATAATGGGGGCACAAAAAACATATCGCACAATTTACTGCTGGCATATATTGCTGAAGTTCATCAGATGCATTCCTACAGAAGAGAGCTTAGAACTAAGTTTACTTTAAAGGGGTCGAGGTTTTGGAAATAGGGAGTCGATGCGGGCCAGAGAACCGAGCCCCAGGCTAGACATAAAGATCATTAATAGCAGCCATCTGTGGGCCATTGGCTAGGCCTCCGCATGCACTAATATTTTCTCAGCTGTACCGGAGCACTAATATTTTCTCAGCTGTACCGGAGCACTAATATTTTCTCAGCTGTACCGGAGCACTAATATTTTCTCAGCTGTACCGGAGCACTTATATTTTCTCAGCTGTACCACAGCACTGATATTTTTTCAACTGTACCACAGCACTTATATTTTCTCAGCTGTACTGCAGCACTAATATTTGCTCAGCTGTACGAAAGCACTAATATTTTCTCAACTGTACCAGGCCCCACCAGAGCTTATATCTCAACAAAAAGATATCAGGGAAAGTGAAGGCCCCTGTTTATGCTAGTGCCACACAAGGCATATGTTAGAGCTTCAGTGGCTGATGAGGTGGTCGGCATCACACCTGACCCTACCTGGTACCTTCCCATTTCAGGTTTGGTTAACCTTGGAGTCAAGGTCAATTTTAGCGGAAATCTGCGTAGTGTGGATTAGAACTTAAGATAGGGGACAGAAGTAGAGCGTTGAGCGTCTAGTCACATTAGTAAAAGAGAGATAACTGCCGATATCTTACCATTCATTCTCAGTAAATGTGAGTTATCTACTTTCACACGTGTAACAGCAGAAGCTAGTCCAATAGTAGACTACCAGAGTTTTACTTGACAGACTACCACACTGCCAAAGTTTTACTTGACAGACTACCACAGAGCCACCATTTTACTTAACAGACTGCCACACTGACAAAGTTTTACTTAACAGACTACTTTCAGGGGGTGAAAAACAGCAAATGCCACAAAGAATTTGTGGCCAGTGAATCTTTTACCAGAACATACCATATTTTTCTGCAAATAAGACGCCTCATATTTTCTTCCCCAGCATATAGAAAATATTTAATCACATTCTATGTTTCAGATGACCCCCAATTTTAAACCTTCAAAAATGTGGGAACACAAATCATCTTATACACAGCAAAACATGGTCATTCTAACTGTAATAATTGTGTGTGTCTCTAGTGCAGCACTTTCCTGGGCAACACTGGGGTCGGCTTACAGTGAAGGAAACATGAGAAACTCAGCTCTAAACAAAACTAGTCCACTTGTTTCCAATCATAATCTAGTGACCACCTGGTTTACCCCTCTACAGATATGAAGTCCCCCCATTTTCAAGCACTCTGCAACACTGCCCCCATGGAGATAGGCAACTCTGGTGCCAGGTAATCAGAAAATCGACACCAACATCCCAATACCTGACCTCGTCAAGACCAGGATATGAACATCACTGAATCAGAATTGGGGCTAAAACTCATGTCATCCAGGGAAATTCTTCTTCTTCTGCGTTCATCCGAAGATGTAATTGTGTTGTGTCTGTTTACAGCATGGCTGCAATAATTATATTTGCACCTTTCAACCAACACATCCGACTTCTGCAGGCATTTGTTGACCGGGTTAGCCTTCCCAGGTTAGTTTCTGGGGACATGGCAGTCTCATTGTTGTGTGGTCATCTTTATTTCCCAGGTATCAGGTGGTGCCCCAATCAGGCTGGTCCAGAGAAGCCACATAATGCTGATCAGCCCGCAAGAGAAGGCAGGGGCAGAACATGAGCATTCCCCCGCCATCCAAGGAGGCTTCCACATATGCAGAGCTAATACATGGTGCTCTGGTACTGGGCTCACCCAAGGAATCGTCACGTCCTGCTCATGACTGTTTAACCTCACTTCCATATATTGAACATCTCATACATCATGGGCTATCTCTTTTATAGCCAGCAGTATGCAGCCTGCAGACAAATGATTTCATTTACCTACACCACAAAATGAGTACTTTGCTTCTTTTGCATGTTAGACTTTTACTGCGGTGGACCTCCTCATCCCCTATAGTTTTACTTTTCTTACGAGCTCTGCATCTCTAGGGACTATCAGCTTCCTCATCCACTATAGTTTTATGTGGTTTACGAGTTCTGCATCTCTAGGGACTATCAGCTCAGAGAATCCCGGACAGTTTTATTCTTCTTATACCTTTAGATGTCAGTGTGGATATATTTGAAGAAATCAATCCAGGGGATTCTCAACCAACAATTAGTGCAGTGCTGACAACCTTGCCGAACCCAACCAAGTTCCAGATTCATCATTATATTGCCCGTTGCCTAACCCGTCAACTAAAACTCTTTCTATGTGTGTGTGACAACACAAACTCATCTAAGACTCCTGCATGCCAGTGCAGAAAAGGAACAGTACACTAAAACTGAATGAAAAAACATGAAAATGATCATAGATAATTTACAAGTGACCATCAACAATCACAGGAAACCAAAAAATACAGTCAGCGTTCCCCAAATGAAATCAACTATGGCAGCTGTCAAATAAACAATGGAATATGTCACACAAACTGGCAACATATTAAAACACTCCCCCACCCACCCCTGACATTTGCATAAATCGGGTGTCCACTGGTGACCAATCTCAAACACACATGAAACTGCTACTATTCATGTTTTTTGGAAAAATACTATTAAAGTATTTATTACGGCAACCTTGTTTTTGCGTACTGAAACAATGTTGAACAGTACATTTACCCTGAGATATCTAGAGCTATAAAAAAGTGATTTCTAGGTGTGCCTGAAGTTACACACCACACATTTACCGTTATCAAGTCAGCACATTTACAACCGGAGGTGCTTAAAGCTGCACGCAGGCATTCATAGAAGTGCAAACAGCGCAGCACCCACCTTGACATGGTCACAAGTGTACAAAGTACACACTGTGACATATTCACAGCCATTCAGAGCACAAACCCTGACAGGTTCTACAGTTGAACACACACACACCCTGACATGTTCACAGCTGCACACACACACCCTGACATGTTCACAGCTGCACACAGCATATACATACTGGCAGGTTCACAGCTTAACACAGCATATGCATGCCACTGGCAGGTTCACAACTGCAAACAGCAAATACATACTGGCAGGTTCACAGCTGCACACACCATATTCACTCTGAAATGTGTGTGTGTGTGTGTGTAGCTAATTCACTGCAAGATCTTTCACTGAAATGATCAAAGAAAGACAAATGATGAGGATGAGAGAAACATGATGATAATTGCGATAATGAAACAATGGAGAAGATGACTTCAGAAATATCTCAGCTTACAGCAAGGCAAAGTTGGGTCACAACTGTCCACATATGTCGCTGCACATACTAATCACAGCACAGTCAACACCAACTGTAACACACATCTCAACTTCAATTGCATATTGGGACTTGAAATCTGTTGTCGCCTCAGTGTTGTGGTTATATTAACTGGAAACATATCCGTACGCAACAGCAGAGAATGACGTATGCCCATATGATACTGGTGTAAACAGATGTTAACAATAACACTAGGCATGCCACGTATGCCCTGGTTTTAATCGGATCAGTGCTGTTGTAGGCTAAACAAGCCTCCTGTTTAACATCATCATTCAATCAAGGACCACATATGGCAGGACATACAGAGGCTCGATAGAGACTGAATCCACTGTAAGCATCTCTTGCCAACGTCGGAACTGGCCGTCACGGTCGTAGTTGCCGTTGATGCCTTCCAAGTTGCCGTGGTGCAATCTATCTACGAGAGCATCATTAACTTGGACAGGCTGAGGACAGGGGTAGTCATGACTAGTCCAATCAATATTATCAAAGTCTATCGGCGGAAGGCGGGACAGGATCTGCTCCTCAGTTAAATGATCCAATGCTGTGGAACTACTGTCGTCGAGTGCAGTTGCACTGGTGGAAGGCAAATGACCGGGACCCTCTAAGATGTCCCTGGTTTCCGGTGGACTGGCGGAAGGTCCTGAATCAGGCTTGTCTTGTCGGCTGTTATAAACTGATTGGACAAATGAGGAGCTACAACCAGCAAGGCTGAGGGGCTGCTCCTCCAAAGAATCTTGGCATAAATGAGACAAGTTCTGTTCAAAGGCATCTTCTCCTGGAGTAGGAGCAACCGAGGTCTGCAGAAACCTTTCAATGTACTCACTTTTGGCCTGAGCCAGACGGCCTCCTTCAGATCTGGTTTCTGCATCTAGGAGCTCCAAGTTTTTCTTGTTACGCCCCCTGCCAGTTACACCACGTGGAAGAGAAACTCTCAGAGTGTCTGGTTCTTTCTCTATCTGGTTGGTCCGTATCTGAGCTATAACTTTTGTGCCCACAGATGTTGCAGACTTTTTTTGCATATCCTCTATCAGCTGCTCTGTGGTTTTAACTTTATTCAACTTTTCCCTGGATCCTTTGGTATCTGAAGCCAGGCGCGAGTCAGTGCTGTCTTGGCGTAAGGAGTTGAGTCTTTGGTTAATGCGGTTTGGTAATAAGCAAGCATCAGAGTGATCTTGCAAGGTGCTCTTTGATAAGGAGGAAGAAACTGCAGTTTTCGGACTGGGAACGGAAGAAAAACCAGCATGGCTTGCACTGAAACCTGGCGACTTAACGCCCATTTTCCTAATAACTGAACCATTTATCACATCATTCTTGCCGAACGTTGAAAGACTTGAAGATGATGAAACACGATGAGGCTGTTTAGAAGGTGGTTGGGACAACAGATCACTGGAGTCTTCTGAAATGCCCGAACGCGTTCTCTTACGGTTAGCAACATTTGTTTTTGATACATCTCTTTGATCAGATGCCCTGTTCACTGCCTTTGACGTTGCCTCTATGGAACTAATCGATGATCTAGAGTCAAAATTAAAATTACGCTTGCCTGTGCTAGTCTGAGAGTTCCTATCAGCAGGGGAAGAATCCTGAATTTTAGAATCACCAGTTAGGCGATCCGAACTGTTGTCACTAGCCACAGATGGTGGTGTGCGCGGCCAGCTAAGATTTGAGTCCTCAAAAGCAGTACTGGCACTTTTCTGTAGCTGGCCAATCTTTGGAGACTGCACCACCTCACCTGGCCTAGACTTTGTCTCTTGAGCTAGCTTTGATGTGGGCAGGGATAACTGGCCAATCCTGCCCTGTATCGCAGGACTGCAAGGACCTGCCTTTAGCTGTGGCTGCCTCATCCCCAAAGCCGGTGACGGCAGACCCCTGGAGGATGGTGTCAGCCCGGGGCTTATCCTCTGTGCCGGATGCTGACCGTTCAGGACCTGAGGCGATCCTGGTACAGGAATCAACTGCTTCCATGCTTTCACAAGATTCCTTGCCCGTTTTGCTATAGCAGCATTTCTGCAGATTTTCCGCACATGGTTAATGTCCCTCCCAAGACGTGTTTGCTGCAAAAAATAACAGAAAGCGTTATGACATTATAGAATAGGTCTAACTAACTACAAGTTACATTTTTAAAATCTGAATTTACAAAGTCATTACTTGAATTTATCGCAAACTAAAATATCAATAGTTTAGTCAAATTCCAGGGTCTAATTAGCGAAAACAAGAACAGACCTATTGCCCTTCACTGCGCACGGTGCGAAATGCGACTGAATAAAGGTCTGCTGAGGTTGGATGTGTTTGGTTAAATAAAGAGGAGATATAAATGATTCCTTTAACCGTATAGTGGAGAAAAGTAGAATATGATTCTTTATATGGTAAATGGAAGAAACATGAATGCTCCTTTATACTTTTAGAGTTGAAGAAAGTAAGACATGACCGATTCCTTATACTGTAGAGCAGAAGACGGCAAGATATAAATGATCCCTTATTCTATAAGGTGGAAGACAGTGGGATATCAATGATCCCTTATTCTATAAAACGGAAGACAGCAAGATATAAACGATCTCTTTTTATATAAAAGGTAACAGAGTGGAATATAAATGCTTCCATATTCTATAAAATTGAAGAGTCTGGGATGCAAATGATCCCTTATTCTAATCACTGGAGGAGAGTGGGATATAAATGACCCCTTATTCTAAAAAATGTAAAAGAGAGATTTAAATTATCGCTTATTCTAAACATTGGAGGAGAGTGGGATATAAATGATCCCTTATTCTATAAAATGTAACAGAGATATAAATGATCCCTTATTCTATAAAATGTAACAGAGATATAAATGATCCCTTATTCTATAAAATGTAACAGAGATATAAATGATCCCTTATTCTATTAAATGTAAGAGAGTTATAAATGATCCCTTATCCTATAAAATGTAACAGAGAGATATAAATGACACCTTATTCTATCAAACGTAACAGAGAGACATAAATGATCCCTTATTTTATCAAATGTAACAGAGATATAAATAACCCCTAATTCTATAAAATGTAACATAGAGCTATCCAAAGACAAAGACAAATACTACCTCCAAAATTTCCTTCGTGATGGTACTGGCCTCCAGAAGTGTAAGGACTTCTTCAACTGCTTTCTCATCAATAACCTGCTGGGAAGACATTCAATTATTAACTGACAATGAAGATTTGTAACTGTCATCACCTGACCACATTTTGATCATGTGGCTGCATTAAAATGCCAAACCTGTCATTATTGCCTGCATCCCCCGCTGCTGTGGTTTAGGCTGGGTCATTTTGAAGACCAAGCATCTGGAGCCCCACATGGGTGAGTGCAGTTGCCACAGACTGTGCAGGTTATAATTCTATGTTTGTAACTCGCACTGAAAACCCACAAACTTACCACGATATTTGAACAGGCTGACCTGCTCCAAAGCACACTGTCCCATCATGATCTGGTGTTTCTTCTCCTCTCTAGAAATCATCATGGTTAAAGTTTTGGAGACAGTGACAGTCATCCCTCTCTTCTCAAGTTCTTTCTTCCAGACAAGTATGTTGGACTGAAGATGTGCCTCTGATTTCCAGCCATTCCTCTGCTGTCATTAACTAACTATATTTTGACAATGTGCCAGTCATTAACAGAGTACTGACTAACTATATCAGGGGTTGCAATTATCATTGTATCAAGCTATTCCCCATCCTCAGCAGCAATTCACAATTCTGATGGCACCAGTAACGGTATATCGGTCTCGCCTTTTCTCCGAGTGTTGAGCACCGACCAGATCCCTTTGTAACTCCTTCCAGCGCCATTCTCAGCAGACCGTAATGATATCTATCCGTGCCTCCACACGGTTCAATTTCTCCCAAAGAGCCCTCACAACATCCAGTTTGTCATGCGTCAGTTCACTACCAAGTGGTGCAGAACCGCTGTACAGAACACACCTGAAATGGTAGTCAGTCAGTCAGTTGTGGTGCTGGTATCCTCAGATAGAGGATGCCTGATGGCTAGGAAGATGCTGTTAGTGATGAGACAATTACCCGATTCCCAAACTGATGCAGTGACAACGATCAATGAAGTAGTTGATTTTAAAAATATTTACATCATCTGTAAGCCTCCCTCCCTCGTCAGGATGAATTCGTAATAAACTGACTAGTTTAAAACAATGTATTCTCAAACTGAGTCTAAATGACGCGGACACAAAACGATTGTACAAATTGTTGCTTAGTATATTCAGCTGTAGCTTCTCAGGTGCGTTACTACAGAGTTAAGTCAACATATAACAGAGCACACAATGAATCCTTGATCACTTAAGGGCATAAACCACACTGTCACCACCTCAAATTCAAGATCAATCAAGTGATTACCATGGCAACCAAATTTATCATGTGATATTTTGAGTACCTAACCAATTTAAATGACCTCTGCCACTTTGAGTAAACGATTATTCCATGTGTGCTAAATAATCCTGAATGCACAATCTTTAACTACACGTCGAGAGTCTAAACGACGTCCTATCGAGAATTCGGTTTTCTCATCTTGGCAGATCTTGAAACACGGCCTTCACTCAGTTGTGTGTGAAGTCATTTGGGGTTACGTTCTGCTACTGTTTTCAAGATGTCATTCTGTTCGACCAATATAAGTCAACTGGTCCTTACATGTAAACTGATTTGGTGAACTGAGATACTGGTTCTTCGAAAGGGAAAATAGTGGTGTTACTGATCTTGAAGCTTACCACACACACACACAAAAATCATTTCGCAGACAGCTTTTTTGTTTTGTTGGTCATGCAGATGTCGCACGAGGTCAACCCCGTAAAATGTTAACTGGATAAATATTTGCAGGTCTGGAACTGTAATTTCATTGGGGTTAAATTATGTAGGATGATGTCGTTTGATAAAACCTACAGGATTTTGGTTTGTAAAGTTATCTTGGTGTGGTTTTATTTTCTGCTGTCAGCGTATTTTTTGTTTAAATCTACCTGGCACGATTTAACAAGCTTCTTACTAGGCCACGTTTATAATGAATGGGTATAAAACTAAAAATGTAAGTACTGACCAGTCCTGGCATCTTTTGGCACATTGATATTTGAAGTGCCATCCTCTCTAAGTTGTTTAATTAAAAAAATATAAAAAATTATTTGGCTATTTTCTGAATAACGGCCCCAAATTATCGAGGCGGAAAATATACCCTAACATAGCCTCAGTCATGTGTCAATTGCGCACTTCCGAAGACTATACTGCCACCCCCGAATTGCAATCTTCCGGGGACTATACCGCCACTGAGCAAATAAAATGAAGGAAGCTTCAGGAGGTGCTGTAGCTGCTGCTTGTGAGCCCCAGCCATCTAGTTTAGCCCCAATCCACGTCACGTGAGCGGCGTGGGGGATACTCTCGGCAGTGGCGGAGGTCGCCGGTAGTGAGCAATTTAAGTCGCCGGAAGTTCGCAATGGACACGTGTCTGAGGCTCTGTTAGGATATATTTTCTGCCTAGATAATTTGGGACCGTTATTCGGAAGATAGCCAATTATTTTATTCTTCTTCGTGTAAAGAAAACGATATATTATTGTGCATCTGGTTTATGATGGGACGGAACGCAACTGCCTGCTGTTTGTCAGATGTTATTAAAATGTCATTCAAGTTACCGCAGTAAAGGACCAAAATAAACAAATAATCATCATATGAACATATGTGGATTCTCAATGGTTCTGCAACATAACTACAATAAAATACCTCAAACAATGGAGGAACCAAGCTCAAATTATGCCTCAAATGTAGTTAATCTATTATGTTCTGTGTCGAAATGATGATGTGGTTACATTTACATCCGTATACAGCCACTTTTAGTAAATGAATACTCTTTGTAAAATTGTATGATAAATAATCCTAAAGGCACACAATCCTTAACTACATGTCATGTCCCGAGTCAAAACAAATGACGTCCTAACAAAGACACTTCTAAGTTATAAATTCCCAATAACATATGTCCTGATTAGACGGTGCCCCAGTCAGAGCTGAGGAGGGAAACGTCTATATTCATCAGGCTCCAAACTGATGCACAAATCAAATAACAAGAATTGTTTACATTCCAATCAAGGACCCATGCAACATGAATTCCAGCGCATCAGACCTAACTAACAGTTCAATCATGAGTTCTCACAAATTTACCAGGGAACAAATGATAACACATCCTATAAACTATTTCTGCAATGTAAGATTCTACAACCAAATAAGGGATGTGCTTGCCATATGAATGTGTTTAACTGTTTAGTCCCAGAGAATACATACTGTGGAAAGAAATCACATGCACTGTCATGAAATTTATGATCTACAAATATATAAATGTCTGCTCACCTAGTTTTCCATAGCAATTAAGTATAAATATTTAACACTGTTGTAGTGAAATTTGTATTCATTTGACATTTGTTGTCACGAGAGTCGTAATAATAAGAATGGAAATATTGTAGTTGTTAAGTAACTTCCATACAAATTACAATTACTCGTACACAACCAGCGAATACTTTTGTTTATCCAAAACTCTGAAATTATAACACAAAAAGCATTGTTTACAAATATTACACCGTAGTTTGGGGGTTTTCTGGTAGATTCACTAGGTAATTTCACACGGAGAAACGGGTACATTTCACTTGAAACCATTCCAGCAACCTGGTTGTTTATTCAAGAACTCAACCGAGAGACATCTTGACGCGGGGACCCCAAGACACAGCACACATTCCCAAATTATTTCTCCCCAACCCCGGGCTCAAAACTTACATTTTTATCATCGTCGAGAGCATTTGTCAGCTTATCTTTGATTTGTACAGGAGTAAGGGGCATGAGGCTGGCCAAAATGCCCGAAAAGAGCGTGGAGGTGGCGGCTCGAGGTGCGATGTTTGATGGCGGATGTGGTCCGTGTACTGTGGAGGAGATGGCCGTGGCCGCGCAGACGTCTGGGAAGTCTGTGCGCCGACATGACGTCAAACGTCCAGCGTTCGCGGGCGGCTTCTGGCGGAACGAGGAGGCTCCGAGGGCTGCCGCGGCTCGGCGCTTCTCTCGCCGTTCTTCATTGGCGGACCTCGTTGTCAGGCGGGCGTCCATTGGATGATTCTAGACCCTCACGTTAGGTTGGGAACACCGCACCGTGTGTGTTTTGGGCTTGTACAGGGGAAGCTACTCTCATAATTCTTTTTTTTCATATCCAGGTAGCTCACCCTGCGTTCATTGATGAGTCCAAAGACAATTAGGAATACACCTTTCTATCATTCATTTTTCCCCTTGTTGCATCCAGGCCCTGTAGGGGGAGGGTATATAGAAACTATAACAAGCATATCCTTAAAGGCGACTAGTCAGGGGTGTTTCCTTCAAGTACATCTGCCTGAGAGGCGAGGGACCAACAACAGCCGACTATGGACTATGGACAACATTGTCTTATAGTTACCTCTGAACCAACAGCAAATGAGCCAGATTTTTAAAACAGATTTACAAATTCAAGTTTTCAAACGAGACATAAGTCCAGAAGTGGACAAACAGCCAGAACTTTCTGTCGAAGTTTATAGTCAGAAGAAAAACGAGAAGAAGTTCCCACTCGAACAGTGCCTCTTGGAGTCGTCTTCTTCTTGGGTCACTTTGCGTGGCTAAAGAAAATAAGCAAGCGTACCCTGCATAGAGACTCTTGACATGTGCTTCCACGAAGATTGTTGACCACTGTCTCCAGTGCACTTTCATCCATCATGACTTCACACTCCGATGCTGCTGTTCATGTCTTTAATTTTATCTTCCCACTTGTACGACTGTCTACGTCTTGCTCCCGTGTATGACCTACACCCCCTCCCCACACAGAAAGGGCTTAGGCATTGGAATCTATCTGAGTGGTCGTTCGTGTATGGTTGAAGACTCTCCTGTTGTTTCAATCCCCGCCTGGTCCAGACTCCAGGTCACTTCGTTACAGTCCGGGGAGCCAACTTCACGGATAAAAGGGGCCTTCCATGATTTGTACATGTAGGATTCTCATCCTTGGGACGTTCATCCAACCGACTGCGACCTTGAAGGCAACAGACTGAAACGTTCTGTTAGAAAGACCCTATATCGTGTACGTCTGCCTGCATAGGGGAAACTACTCTCATTGTGCACTCAAATGCCCTCACAGAATGGAATTTATGTAAAAAGAAACGGAGGCAGACAACGTGCGAAGGTTCTTGGCAGCCTTTTGTCATGGCGTGGAGGAGTCTCGGCACATAAGCTGATCAACGATGCTGGAGATCGCCGATTGTGGAAAGGCATGATCATACCAGTCGGCAAGGCACTTGATGATGATATGTTTACTTTCAATACCTACGCCAACTAGGCTACAAGTTGCTGTAGAACTGTCGGGTGCCCTAAAATAACTGTGTCGTTCCCATGTGTGATGCAATTTTTCGTTATTTGAAGCCCCACCCTGGCTTTTGCCAGGAGCCCTAAACATAGCCGGACCTTAAATATGGTATAATGCCTGAACGGGGTTCCTGGGACCTCTCTACGGGTGATCCTCATTCGCATGGTGGCACTGTGTGTCATCGGGTGTTTATCGCTTGTGTGATGCCCTTATGGGGTACAACAAGGGAGAGAGAATAACTGTGTTGTGTGGTTAAACGGTGTTTGTAGAATCTGCTCCGGTTAGAATATCTTCTGAATAGTGTCTGCTTACAAACACTGTTCTTTGGCCACATAATGAGAAAGAAACATTAGAGAACATCGTGCGTGACAACTGGAAAGATCAGGGGGAAAATGGAGGAGGCAGATCAAGAAATATGATGCTGAATGGGCTAAAACGATGGCATGAAGGGATATCATCAAGAGTGCTGTTCCGGTCAACCAGGGATCATGATCTGTGATGACAAATGAGCCCCTACGTCAGTTGGCAGGGAACATGATGATGATGAGTGTCTGCTTTAGTTAGTGTGTGTTAAAATGTGTAAGAATTGACACCAAAAGACAGTATTTTTACCATAATTATGTTACCAATGCCTAACTTGGACATTAACGATGAAAGAAAAAAATCGTAACCACAGAGAAGAAATGTGCACAACGAATTATAAGTGTAACCAGAAGAAATAGGATCATAAAAAATTGATTTCAGGAAATCATTTGGGACGGAAGCTGTAGCAAACGTCATCAAGGGACAACAGATGAAATGGTTTGGACATGTGTCAGAACTGCCACTAGGTAGTGCACCACACAGAACCCTGTCACTTAAACATAATGAAAGTAGTGCCGAAGGTCGACTACGCAACCGATAGATAAATGGAATATCCACGCCTCCAAACACGAGCATTTGCGTAGCACATGCAAAGGCTCGCGTCCTACTAGAGAAGAAGAAGAAAAAGAAGAAGAAGAAGAAGAAGAAGAAGAAGAAGAAGAAGAAGAAGAAGAAGAAGAAGAAGAAGAAGAAGAAGAAGAAGAAGAAGAAGAAGAAGAAGAAGAAGAAGAAAGGTGTTATTCTTTCAGAAGAATGCTATGGACGGGGAGATTAAAGTGGAGGTGATAGAAAGAAGGGAATTTATTAAAGCTAACAATGCTTTGGAAGTTCAATATTTGAAAAGAAGGAAAAGATTTGTATAGATACAGTTGAACTTTTTCACCGAAGTCTTTATCAAAGACGAGACGAAGAATCCTAAACCTCAGTTCACCCCTCCCCCCTCCAGACCCTACTCCTAGGGCGTCCTTTACTTCCAAGGACCTTTTTCTGGTACAAGCATGGTAGAAATCGGCTAACTGTGAGCTTCCTTGGAAGTCGAATACAACTGCCCGAGCGGCTAGCAACAACCAGCTGCACACAAAAAAAGCCAATAAAACGGATGTGCATGCAAAATTCAGGCAAAAACTCTCTGGCACAAAGCCAAAGTTCACATGGACGAACAACCAGGACTTTGTGCTGGAGCTTACAGTCGGTGAATAAAGAAGGAGGAGGAACACGGTTTACTTCGTAACCATGGTGATTCTGTCTAACATTTAATTCTTTCATTTCTGAACATGCACCAGTTTTTCATTGTTAGGAGATTAGAATGGAATACTGTCTATTATGTGTGTCAAGTACTGTGTTCGAACCCACATAGTGAGGGGAATTGTTTGTAACAATCACCCCATCCCACCCCACAGGTCGACTTAGCTTGAAAGGGGTACCACAGATGACATGGGAAGTAAAGGCGAAAGATGTAATGTTAACATAATCCATGTATGGTCAATACAGGTCCTTGTGTGGGTTCCGGGGCTTCGTTGTGGAGAACACAAGAACAGACACACTGCATCCCTAACAAGCATGTCGTACGAGTCGACTAATAGTGGGCTTCCTTTAAAGTCGGAGTGCATCTGCCTGAGAGGCAAAGAACTAACCGTCTGCATACAAATAAGCCAGATAAGTAAAAGGGATGTGCACGCAACACAGATTCTGTTACAAGACTAAATTCCAGAAGTTGACGAACAACCAGAACTTTCCGCCAGAGTTTCCTGCTGGTGAACGCAAAGAAAAAGAAGAGATCTATACCGGTACATCTTTATTATTCTTTGTGAATCTCAAGACAGTACAGCTCATCTTTAGGCAGAGGCCCGGAAGGGGCAACTCGATCGATCTCAATGACAGTTTCAGCTGATGCCGCAGCAGACGACCGTACTTGAAGGTCGTTCGTTTTACTACACGCCGGAGGCTACTGAAAGCGGGAATTAGAACAGAACTTTGACAAAAGCAGCAGACTTCTTTACGACCTCTCCAAAGAAAGCCCATGACTACGAACTTCAGTTTTGTCTCAGTTTTTAAATTGTTCGTCCATCTGTGTCTAAAAATCGGGTCGGTAAAGAGAAGCCACTTCAAAGGGCGTGTACGAGCTATGCTTCCTGACAAAATCATTCAAAATTACTTTAAAAACAGGGGCCGTTCATGTGCTTGCCATTTGGCCATATAACATAGTGTGTACTTGCTATTTGGCTATATAATATAGTGTGTACTTGATATTTTGCTATATAATATAGTGTGTACTTGCTAATTGGCTATATAATATAGTGTGTACTTGCTATTTGGCTATATAATATAGTGTGTACTTGATATTTTGCTATATAATATAGTGTGTACTTGCTAATTGGCTATATAATATAGTGTGTACTTGATATTTGGCTACATAACATAGTGCGTAGTTGATATTCAGTCATATAACATAGTGTACATGATACACAGCCATATAACATAAATGAGTCAAATGTCGACGAGACCATTGATATTACAATTCACTGAATAAGGCTCAGGGGGGCCTAAGCTTAGTATTTCATATTGCTGAGGGATCTTTGACATACATTTATGTCCTTCTAGTTTTTGCACTTATCAGAAAAGTATAGGTGTTCAATTAATTACCGCAGAATTATGAGAGAAAATCTTTGACATACATTTATGTCCTTCTAGTTTTTGCACTTATCAGAAAAGTATAGGCGTTCAATTAATTACCGCAGAATTATGAGAGAAAATCTTTGACATACATTTATGTCCTTCTAGTTTTTGCACTTATCAGAAAAGTATAGGCGTTCAATTAATTACATCAGAATTATGAGAGAAAATCTTTGACATACATTTATGTCCTTCTAGTTTTTGCACTTATCAGAAAAGTATAGGCGTTCAATTAATTACCTCAGAATTATGAGACATACATTTATGTCCTTCTAGTTTTTGCACTTCAGAAAAATGTAGGTGTCCAATTAATTACCTCAGAATTATGAGAGTATAAGTGATTTCTTCACATAAAATGACTATCCTCCCGTATGCATTTATTAGATACTTGAATCAGGATATGTCTTCTAGTTCTTTAGTCCGATCTGCTTTGATTGCAAGCACACATGACAGTGCTCACGTTGCTAGCACCCCGAAAAGATAAACGGACTAGAAAATTAGCACCGTCTTTTTCATCGTTCTTCTGAGTGACATAACTGCATTGTCCCAGTTTACAGCATTGCTGTGATATTTGCGCCTTTTGACCGACACATCTGACTTCATCAGGTATTTGTTTGCCAGCGTAGCCTATCTGGTTAAATTAGCACTGTACCCTATCATGAAAGGTCAAGAAGGAAAGCTGGCCTGAGACCAACCAGCGACCTCATCCCAAAGAGAATTCTAATAGCCTGTCGCAAAAGTTTACTTATTAGGGCTGTTTCCTTAAAGTCATAGTGCATCTGCCTGAGAGGTGAGGAACCAACAGTCTGCACACAAATTAGCCAGATCTGTTTAAAAAGGAAAAAAGTTTTGCAGCAAGACAAAAGCTCAAAAGTGCATTTATAGCCAGAGCTTTCAACTGGAGTTTACAACCGGGGAATACGAAGAAGAAATCTACTCTCTTCAACATAAACAGAACATACAACTAATAAAACATAAACAGTACACACAATATGAACTCAACATCCGGTCTGTGCAAGAACCACATACAGAAACAATGAAAAGACACCAAGCCTGCAGTATGAGATTACATGAAATAAATAACATATGTATTTCAGTACACACACAAAAACTGTTGACAATTTCTGATCACATTTTCTAACAAGAAAAATCTAGAGTTATATAATACTTGATAATTTCTGGAATTTGAACAAAAATAGCACAGTTATAGCATCTTAATGAGTGCCAATGATCTACCCAAAAAATGGGTCTTCTTCTTCTTCTTTACATCATCTTTTACTGCTTTGGGTGTCGAGGAAGATATAAGGTGCTTCTCTTTTCAAATATGCCTCGTATGTTAGAGCATCAGAACGCATTCTCTCCAAGGGGGCAAACCATTTGATTTGCTGTCTTTGTATATAATTTAGAAATATGGATCTGGTGAGGGCATTTTTTTTACCCCCCAGCACTACTGTAATAGACACTGTGGTGAGTATCAGTACCTTTTTTAAGACTCTTTTCTGGTGAGTACCGGGACCTCCCCCCCCCCCCCCCCCCCCCAAGAAAACCTTAGGTCTAGCAATGTGTATCCAATGTGTCTGTGTGTGACAGTCTTCTTTACTTACAGTATTACAGCACAATGGGTTTTGTTTTGTGTGATTCCATGGGAAGAGAAGAGGTCACCATTCTGATGTGTCTTCCCCTGAAGTGGTAGAGAAAAGGTCACCACTCCGATGTGTCTTCCCCTGAAGTGGTAGAGAAGAGGTCACCACTCCGATGTACTCATTTAACCGCAGCCTCTTTAAATTCATGCTTACTAGTGATTATAGGCCACCATATATGTACTTAATGATTCATATGCATTATCATCTTACTTATATGTATTATATGTGTGTATTATGTGGGTGGGTGTGTGTGATTGTTAGTATGTGTGTGTTTTTATGTATGTAAGTTGTAATGATATGTGTGTATGTGTGATTGTATATGAGTGTGATTGTGGCTGTGTCTGTATTATGTATGCAAGTATGTATGTATGTATGTATGTATGTATGTATGTATGTATGTATGTATGTATGTATGTATGTATGTATGTATGTATGTATGTATGTATGTATGTATGTATGTATGTATGTATGTATGTATGTATGTATGTATGCAGTGTGTGTTTTCTGTTTGTGCATTTATGTCTATGTATGTGTATGCTTGTATATGTATGTAGATGTGTGTGTGTGTGTGTGTGTATCACGTATGTCTGCATATGAGTTCGCATGTGTGAGAATGTAGGAGTATGCATACGAGTGTGTACGATTGTGTACACATGATGTGTGTATGCATTATTCTATAATTTATATTTCTTTATTATATCCATAAAATGCATTATTGATAACAGGTATTGGTACTCTGAAAAATGAGTACTTAGAAGGGCCGAATGTCAGACGGGCCTGCGTGCCCAATATGTAACCCTTTGAAAATAAAGTTTGTTCGTGGTAGAGAAGCTTATGTGCTCCTATGACCAGAAGAGCGATGCTGATGAAGGTGTAGTGAGACGGGTCTCCCATGTACAGCATCGTAACTACAGCTTTAAATTTGTATGTTCCCTAGTGTGTCCTTCTTTCTGTGAGTGCCGATCAATACACTGTCTAGTTTGTTTAGTATATATAATGTTTCCATGGCCTCAAGAGTTCCCCCATCTGTTTATTTCTCCCTTGTCTGGCAGGTCAGAAGATGACAGTTGATTTCCACTAATTTCTGAGCTTGGAGAGGGGAAGGACAGCTCTTCAGCCTTTTCCTGGAGATCACACATTAGTACTAGGTCTCCTGGGCGCCGCCATGGTGTAGCGGCTAGATGCTCCCCTGCGCATCTGAAGGTTGGGGGTTTCAGGTCCTGATGGACCCAGATTTTTTTCTTCAAAAATGACCTTCGGGCTCCCAGGTTGACCCAGCCTTAAATGGGTACCAGGTTATGTCCTGGGAAGTAAAGGCAGCCAGCGTGATGCTGACCACATCACCCACTGAGTGCTGATTGGTCTATAAATTACAGGTCTAGCCCTATATACCTAAACAGACTGAAGGAAAAAAAAAGTCCTTTACTTCAACTGTCTAGGTCTCTGCCCCACCCTCGCTCTAATGGATGCTAACCCATGTCGGGGCCCCAGACGACCCGAACCTCACTAGAGATGAAACCAAGAGTCTTCCAGAGATTCATGATCAACCAACCATATTTATAACATTAGAAGGCACAACCGGCTCACGTGTACATGAATCCCTGTAGAGACGAAATACCAGGAGAAACAGCCAAAGTGAACTTATAATGTCAATGCTTTATACAACTAAAGAATATATTTTTCTATAACAATTTTGGCAACTGTTTCAACGTTTCAAGGTCAAGTGAATGTTTCTCCCCCTCTTCCTCCTCGGACCATGCTTTTACAAGAGGTGAAAAATGATCTCCAGTTTTCACGTTGACAAAAGCTTGTGGTGAAACCTCCTGTAGAACATTTCGCCTGCGACTGTTACCTTGAACTTTGAACTGATCTCCATTAGCATATCTTTGCTGTGCATCCTTAGAAGAGTTCCTGGAGGCAGGCAGCATCAGAGATGCTCCCATGCCTCTTTGGTTGCTGGCAGGTTTGGCGTTAAGGAGAAGCAAGTTTTCATTATTTGCATGAGCGGGAGCTTCAACTCTGGCAGGAGATGGCACATGGTCACTGCTCACCTCTGGATCTTCATGTAACTGCAGGAATTGCTCCTCATCACCAGTGGTTGTTGGACTCAAGTTAGTTCCCCCAGCAGAACTTCCAATTGTCATGATGCTGAAGTCAGTTCGCAGTTTCACATCAGCACCCAGCATGGAAACCCCCAAGATGGATCTATCATTTCCTAAAAGTCCATATTTCTGCAAGTACATCAATGTATCCATGGTCATATCACAAGAAGACATCCCAAAATGGGACATATCTGCCGCTGAAATGTTTCCAGCCATCGAAGATGTACACCCATTCATGACCTGTTCTAGAATTTTGGCAGAGTATGCAGCACTGTGAGACCTGCTCGGGGCCGTCTGCCGGAGTTTTGCAACCGCTGTCAGCTGCTCATCGCTGAGGTATTTCATAGCTAGAGCATTCATCTCCGTGGTCTGGTTGGGATCTGTCCCAAACATTGAATGCATCGTCACGGAGCCAGCCTCAGGAGCAGCACAAAAGCCGGCTTCAGTGTGTAACCTAATAGACACATCAAGAAATATAAGTGAAATCAGTATCCAGTAACAATACATTCCCCATACTTCTTCCTCCTCAGCATTCTGAGCACTTGAGGTTCATTGCTGCAGATATCCATTCATCTCTCTGGTTGGCCTTCTTTTTCCAGTTGGTGACACCAAGTGTTTGCAGGTCTGCCTGGATATTATCTCTCCATAATCTTCTTGGTCTGCCTCATGGTCTACTACCTTTCATCTCCCTTGTGTATACAGTTTTTTTAATTCTATGTCATCTGACATTCTTTCAATTTGCCCCAACCATTTTAGTCTTTTAGCTCTCATGATGCCAGTGATAAAATGTGATTTAAACAGTTTATGAATTTCCTTGTTGCTTCTCACTCTCCATTCCCCAATGTTTGCATCTTTGATGGGTCCAAAGACTGTTTTTTTTCAAAAACCTGTAATAAGGCTTCATACACCCCATACTAGACAGTTTATTCTGTAACCATTCTGTGGTGCCCCAGTATAACAGTTCTATATGGTAAAATGGTTGAACGGGGTTTCTACAGTTTGCACGTTTTATTCTCATCTTTAAGATGTTAATCCTACAAAGTACAATCCTTGAGGGCAAAAACTAAAATAAAAAACATAAACGGAATATTTTAGGGAGGTCTTGGTGGATAAGCAGTTCAGCTGTTTGCGTTGCGCTCTGAAGGTCATGGGTCATGCACTGTTATTTAGTGTAATTTTAATGATCTATGAGGACTGTCAGTGAAGCTATTTCAGTTCATTTTACCTTTTCCGGTCAAAAAGAGTGACTTCCCTTGCCATTCATGCCTCACCGGGTCGCAGGACCTCTCCTATGTTGCAAGGGTGTCACCTTTTCCTTATTGTCGACGCTTTAACCGTCTCCGCTTTTCTTGTCTTCTCACCGCTCGCTTGTATGATTATTTTCATGTTCTGCTGACCGTGCGACAGTTCATGACTAAGGAAACAGCCATATTTGTCTATTCCCACATTCCTTGTAAGTGCTTTCTTTTTCTCAGGGAAGGTGGAAATACAAAAACATTCCAGTTTCGATACCCAAGAATCATGCAGTACTTCTTACTTGTAGACAGGTGCATGTGGTGCCTCAAATAGACTTACGACAACACAACCTCCCACAAACATTATATAAGCCGAGCAAACGCCAAACCAAGCCATATCATAACACACCCAAAACATAGCAGAGGTTTTGTGATCCAACAAGGCATGAATGGAAAGTGAAGTCACTCTTTATGGGCAGAGAAACGTTTTTTTAAAAAAAACAACCTTTTTTGTGTATATTATCTTCCATCTTGTCTAACCATCAGGATTACTTGTGTTACTTTATAAATAAATTACTGAAACATTTAAAAAAAAAGTGCTTTATGTTTACATGCATATAAATGTAGGTACATGTATAGTATTGTTTATTGTCAGTACTTATGACTGCGTCTGTATAAATTTGTGTATGTACAGGTATACATGAGGGTGTGTATGTAGGTACAACTGATGTGTGATAGATGAGTATTTACAAGGGCCGATCTGCATGCCCAATTTATGACCCGTTGAAAATAAAGTTCATATTTCTATAGGCCTTGTGGCACTGAATGGGCGATGTGGTCACCAACCCTTTTACTTCCCAAGACATTTTCCTGTACCAGTTTTAGGGTAACCTAGGACCAACATCCCTTGATATCTAGCCCTCTCCCAAACTTGTTATATGAAATGCTTATCAAACATGAAAAAAAACCGTCTCGGAGAATACCCAGGAACTAATGCATAAACAACATAACGCTCAGTCTTACTCTGATGGAGACCCACGTGTGACGGGAATCATCTGAGGCTCATATGTCAAAAAAAATCCAATATTTTTCTGAAATGAAATGAAGATGTAGAAATCTCTCTGATTTATACAACGTGTCTTCCGTGTTACACAACAGTTCTTCCGTGTTACAAAAACAATTCTTCACATGTATTTTTCTGAAACTGTTCTTCCGTGTTAAGTCATTATATGTACTATAACAACGTGTGTACATGTACTAAACAACGTTCTTCCGTGTTACATGTACTACAACAACGTTCTTCTGTGTTACACGTACTACAACAACGTTCTTCCGTGTTACATGTACTACAACAACAACATGTACTATAACTTCCGTGTTACATGTACTGTACATAACAACGTTTTTCCGTGTTACATGTACGTTCTTCTTCTTCCATGTTACATGTACTATAACAACGTTCTTCCGTGTTACATGTACTACAACAACGTTCTTCCGTGTTACATGTACTACAACAACGTTCTTCCGTGTTACATGTACTACAACAACGTTCTTCCGTGTTACATGTACTACAACAAGGTTCTTCCGTGTTACATGTACTACAACAACGTTCTTCCGTGTTACATGTACTACAACAACGTTCTTCTTCTTCACTTCCTCTTTTACTGTTTCAGGTGTCGAAGGAGAGATAAGGTTCTGCTTCTGGCTCTTCAGCAAGAACGGAGCTATAAGAGAAAAAGTGGGCATAGAACTATTTCTAAATTACATACAAAGACAGCAAATCAAATGGTTTGCCCCCTTAGAGAGAACATCTGATGCCATACCATACAAGGCATAGAACAAAAGAGAAGAGAAGGACAGAGAGCACTAGGTAGACTAAGAATAAGATGGACAGACAAGATTAGACTAACTCTTCCACAGCCAGACATGTCTTTGGTTGAGGCAGCAAGAAGCAGAACTTTATACCTTCCTCGACCCCTGGAGTGACAAAACAGAAAGTGAAGAAGAAGCTAAAATCTGCCCATTTCCCAAAGCTTAACCACTTTCAAAAACCACATGCAAAAATCTGTGTTGATCCATACAGGAGCGAGACTTTAGGAACAGACTACAGGTACCACAATTTATTGAATAATCACTTTGAAAATGTGCACCTCTAGCACATGACACCTTTGGCTGTACCTGTCATCATTATCACTATCTAGTGTCATCCTCGCATGCAAAACAACCGGCTTCAATTTATTTTGAACAAAACACATCATCATCATTAGGTGCCTTGTCGAGTGGCGTGGGCGATCATGCCTCTCCATAATACGCGATCTCTTGCAGCATGTATCAGTTCGTGGCCGACACACCTTGCCATGCAACAAGACTGTCAAGCATCTTCTCTCGTTATCTTCCTCTATCCCTCCTTCCACAGATCTTTCCAGTGGTCACAACATGTTCTATTTTTCCTCTTCTCATAACATGGCCAAAAAATGATGACTGTCTCCTTCTGATGTTTGTGATAAGTTGTCTTCGGGCTCCCGCCTCTTTCAAAACCTCTTGGTTGTTCTTTTTGGCTGTCCAAGGTATTCTAAGCATTCTTCTGTAAAACCACATCTCTGAGGCCTCAAGATAACAAAACACACACACACAAAACACACACACACACAAAACACACACACACAAGTATTTGTCCAAACATTGCTGATGCACCTACTTAAATAACTATAACTAAGCAGTAAAATGACTATAAATCAATATTTACCATAATATGACAGAAGAACTGGTTAGGGTCTGCAGCATCTACACCAACTGTGGAACAGGACTCCTGGTCATGAAAAATATAGATCTGCCAGTGAGAACTGTCCAACAGGAACACATCACAGGTTTACATCAATGTGCAGGCATGCTAGTTCATTCACCACTAGTTCACACAGTGGACACCTCACTACTTTATGTCAGGCTACTGGCATATGTCATTAGTTCTTATCAGAGTGCAGGCACACGTCATTTGTTCTTTTCAGAGTGCGGGCAAACATCGTTAGTTTTTACCACAGTGCAGGCACACATTATTAGTTCAGTTTGGACACATGTCACTAGTTCCTACCAGACTATTGGCATATGTCAATAGTTCTCATCACAGTGCTGGTTAACACCAAACTAGAGATGCATATAATTTCACATCAGAGTGAGGCTTTGAGCAAGTTTCAAACATTCAATGATAATAATACTAAACTATAACAAACCAGGCTGAAATACTGAAATATTCACTCAGCTTAGAAATGCAATAATTATTATTGATAACAGTTAGGATTCTGGCACAATAAGATAACTGTAAACAATATTGATTTGAAAGTCAAACAATGTTTTTCTGTTGAAAATTTAACAAAATATGGGTGCAAATGATACACTGCACAGTTTATTGACTGGCATATATCACAGTATCTCATCAGGTGCTCAATTACTAAAACTGAACTCTCCCGTGTTATGTGTACAAAAAGATGAATGTGATAAATTTAAAGATAAAACTTAACTCTCCCGTGTTATGTGTACAAAAAGATGAATGTGATAAATTTAAAGATAAAACTGAACTCTCCTGTGTTATGTGTACAAAAAAGATGAATGTGATAAATTTAAAGTCACCTTGGCAATTAAGGGCCTGATCTTGATGGAAAGTATGTACAGTAAGTAATCTGACAACATGGCTTAAGCATTTTAGCAAACAGGATTCATGCTTGTGCTTCATTAAACGCTGATTTAACTCTGTAGTCATGCACCAGACGAGATACAGCGAAATATGCCAGGCAATGAACTGTCCAATATACTCTTTGTGTCTGCATTATTTAAATAATGATAAGATACAAGACGCTGTCGGCCACATTCCCATTACCTGTGCCTGTCTGTTATATTCACTGGCACTCGAGGGGCTTCTGTCTGACTGGCTTCTGGAATACACAACAAACAACCATGAAGCAAGCAGATTTTTAAAATGTCATTGAACTTTGTCTTGTAGATACTATATCACCCTATCAAATGATGTTTAATAAACATAATAATTACTAAATTTTAAAACTACTATAATTAACAGATGAATTCTCTCAAAGTCGGAGTACATCTGCCGGAGAGGCGGGAAACGATAACTGCACACAAATAAGCCAGTAAAACAGATGTACATGCAAAACTCAGGTCCAGAAAGACAAAAGTCTAAATGGACGAACAACCAGGACTTGAAATTCACAGATGGTGAACATGAAGAAGAAGAAAACAGATGCATTTGATAAAATGACGTATAATTTCTATATGTAATAACTTCCTTCATAATGACTAGATTTGATAAAATGACGTATAATTTCTATATGTAATAACTTCCTTCATAATGACTAGATTTGATAAAAACAAAGATAATGGATTCAGCTAATAAAAATGATGAACTGTTTCATTTACTAATCACAGCCATACCGGCTTCAATTAATATACATAACAATAATTGTTACATTTATTAAATTCATTTATTTTGGCCACACTTAATTAAGCAAGTTGTAGCAGCTAGACACTCGCCTACGGACTGTGGGTTCAAATCCGCAGGGTTCCAGATTTTTCCAAATATGATATTGGCTCCTAGGTCAACACAGCTTTAAATAGGTACCAGGTAGAGTAAATTAAATATACCTGCTGCGAGAAGATCACAATTGAGTCTGAAAATCCAGAAGAGAAAGACAAAGATAATAAGAATAAATCAGGCAAATAGTAATTTGTTTTTTTTAAAATGATTTTCCATTCCAATACCTGTTTGGGCAGTAATGTTGATAAAGATGGGAAACTGACAGAGATATCAAAATATGAATACACAAGGCAAGAGCAGCACTAGGGAATCTGGGGAAAAATGTAAACTAATATGGCATTCTTCCGAATACCGGTCTGAAATTATTCACTGTAAAAAAAATCCCATTCACAGCTCAAGAGAACTATGTTTTGCGTTATTTTATAAATGCATTTAAACCAAACTCTTGAGTCTTCGGTAGTACAGTTGTAAGTATTCCACTTGTCACGTGGGTGACCGGTGTTCGATTCCCTGCCGAGTGATAATTTTGTGTTTTAGCCCTTAAAAGGGCGGTTGGCACGTTATGTTGTGGTTTACAACTAGGCTGGGATATCTGCGCCTTTTGCTCGGTTTTGTGGTTTGCCCCTAGGCTGCGCTAGGCCTTTTATAACAAGCTTTTTAGGTGGCTGTGGATCTTTTTTTTTTAATCTTTTCTTAAACATGTGCCCTGGTACCCACATGGGAATTCACGGGTAATGTGTACAACGGATCAAAATATATTCCTTCCCACGACACTTCAATGGATCGAAAACTGTTCCTCCCCAAGGCGCTTAGCTTAACGTCAAAACATTTCTATCCATCGAGAATTAACTCAGAAGTGGAAACTGATGATGATGACCAAAATGTTTTTCTTACATAACTTCTCGAGGCTTTCAAAATGATGTTTTTCGCAGTGAATAATCTGGGACCAGTATTCGGAAGAGTGCCAACTAATACTAAACTGAAAAATTTCAATTTTAAGGTCAATTCAGCACTGTCAAATGGAGCGGAAACATGGAAAACAACTAGGGCAATTACTAAAAAACTACAAATATTCATTATCTGGTGACTGCAGAACAGAGGGAATTAAATGGTATTACAAAATCACTAATGTAGAACTTTGGGAGAGAACTAAACAAGTTCCAGTGGAACAAAGGGAATTAAATGATATGACAAAATCACTAATGTAGAACTTTGGGAGAGAACTAAACAAGTTCCAGTGGACCAAGAGGTGAAGAAAAGACGCTGGCGTTGGATAGGACACTTGAAGAAAACCTGAGAACAATATAATTAGAATGTCTTTGCACTGGAACCCACAGGGGCATAGAAATGTAGGCAGATAAAAAAACATGTGGAGAAGGGAGCTAGAGAGTAAAATTACAAAAAAAAAAATATGAGGAGGAGGAGGAGGATATGGGAAGAGCTGCGTGTGATAGCAAAGACAGAACAATTTGGTGGGAGCTGGTTAAAGGCCTATGCTCCACTGGGGGCTAGAAAGGTAAAGTCTTGAGAAGGAAAGGCGACCAGCATGATGTTGACATCACCTACCGATGGCCGACTGGCCTATAAAACTATGACTCCAGCCTCATATACCCAATATGAATTAATGAAATGGTTCAGCCATCTAGTGAGAATGCAGCCAGACCAAACTGAATATGAGTCTTTACAGCTGAACATCTGGGAAGAAGGTGATGGGAAGACCAAGAAAGAAAGAGTTGAATAAATGGTTTAGCTGAAACCTAACAAACACAAATACAGAAAACCACGACACTGGGCTACAGCAAGGTATCAGTGAGACGACAACAAAAGAAAGAAAACCCAGACAAGCTAATAAAACGACTGATAATGCCTACCTGTCAATAAATGAGGCACATTCAGACTCCAAGTCTGTGTTCTCTGTGCGCTCAAACGACTGCATGCTGGAGACATTTCTGTCAAACTCTCTCTGGCTGACATCCTTCTGGACACAACTAGATGACCCTTGGGGAGACTGATAACCAACAGATGATGCAGCTGCAGTAATGTGATGACCAGCAGGCGTTTGACTGGCTTCTGCTGGCACCCTCACTGAATTTTGAACATCTTAAAGATAATAACACTGTAATTAGTCAATTGCAGCAACATTTCATTAAGGACCAGAAAGAAACTAGACTTCTTCATATTTATCAGCTGTAAACTCAGGCGGAAGGAAACGCCCAATTATTTTACTCTTATGACATGCTTCTTGGGGAGGCAGTGGGTCCATTCTTGTTTTCTCCACAAGAGCCCAGAACCCACACCATGGTGATGCCAGCTGTTCGCATCTAAGCTCCCCTTCTTCTTCTTCTCTGTTCACCGGCTGTAAGCTCCAGCTGAAAGTCAGGGCTAGAGTCTGCGTTTTGCGTGTACATCCATTTGACTGGCTTACTTGTGTGCAGTTGAATGTTCCTTGCCGCTCTGGCAGATGCACTCTGACTTTGAAGGAAGTCTTCAATTAGCTGACTCCTATGACATGCATGTTGGGGAGGCAGACGGTCTATTCTTGTTTTCCAGACACTGCAGCCCCAGAATTGTGGTACTTGTTCTAAGACCAAAGACGTTCCCTGACAGCCGTTGTCATGGTATGGGAAGGTGTCAGCTCATAGACTGATATATGCTGTTCCAGATGGTAAAATGGAGGAAAAATTATCCGCCCAAGCCAGTTAGCTAGACACTTGATGATGATATGTTTTAATTTTTTGTCTGACTTCTTTCTAGAAATATGGAATGCTTTGAAAGCCCCTCTTATTTATTGTAATTTTGCACTTAGAATTGTTAGTCGACATTCTAACATAACTGCGGACACATTACTGCTGCATTTCTGTGTCAATGGACATCATACAAACGGTCCGTCAATGTCCCATTTGAAAAATAGCGAAAAAAAAAATCATTTCTGTTATAATCTTAAAGCTAGCACATGCAAGATAAAAATACAGTGTGCATGTGTCTGTATATACAAACACACACTTACAATACACACATGGGGGGACAAAGACCAGAAGAAGAAGAAGACAATACACACCCACTCACACAGTTTTTGGAAAAAGAAAAAGAATACCTTTCCACTGACAGGAAGCAGCCGGTGAGGTGAACTCTTGCTGTCGCGAACTATGCCGTACTGGAGTAACCTGCGTAGCTTTACTATCACAGTGATCTTGTGTTGCAGCAGTCTGATGGTTCACAAAACTGGTGTTGACAGCCACAGAAACTTTCTGCTGATTTCTGGATGCTGGGCTGCCCTGGTCTGGGGGAGAGGCCTTGTTTGTCTCAGCAATCTCTGACTTGAGCATCTGAACCTGCTGTTGGAGCTGCTTGAGAAGCTCACTCTGTTGAACCAGCAGTGTGACGACTGCAGGAGGAACCTGCTCCCACTTGATGCTCTCTACAGGATTCTGTTGGGTGCAAGAAGCTGAAGCACAGGTACAAGCTGAGGTCTTAGTCGTGGCTGGGTATGAATTTGTAGGTGTCAGGGAATCAGCTCGGTGCTGAGGTAGAGATATGTTGAGTCTGTCAGACGAGGCATCAAGCCCACTGTCTTCAGCACTAGACCTAACACTGCTGTTGATGCTTGGCAACCTCAAAGAGCTGCCATTTGATTCTGCAGTTTTAGCATGGTCATTAACATCAAACATCCTAGTACTTGGCTGTTCCAGATGCGGCAGCAATGTCTGTGACAATGAACCCTCTTCACTTATAGTCTTTAAACTTTCCTTATAATTCTGCAAGCCCTTAGTGGAAGACAGCGGATGAGGCTGAGGGGTAAACACCACAGGAGGGTTCCAGTTACCATTGTGTGCTTGAGTATGAACTTGTGGAGATGGGACTCCTTGTTGCTGCCCTTCGTTGGCAACTGAAGTGTTCATAAACTGGAAATGATCAACATTCTGGTGCTTCTTGGTATTTAGGTTGGGGGAATTGGAACTACAGGCATTCTGATCATGAATAGTATGATCATTACTACCAAATTGTGGAAACGGAAGAGCCTGGCTATTAACGTGAGCTGATGTTGGTGTAGGCAAACACTGGTTTCTGTTTTGAGAACTAGGCCCTGCTACAGAGGCAAGACAATTTGTTCTGCTAGAAGAGATCATGTGAGAGGATGGTGTGGGTTGTGAGGTTTGAGGTGCTGGTGGAGTGCAGTGCCGTAGCAACCCAGGTGTTGTGACAAGATGAGGAGACATGTTTTGGGGGTTGGATAGGTATCCATGAGTGACAGCAGTCGGAGTTGGTGAAATCCCTTTATCATTGACATAAAAATTATGTGAGCTGTGTGGAGATGAAGGCAACAACTGCTGGGTGTTGGGTGCTGCGGCTCCCAAATGTTGTCTTGATGGTGTGTACTGAAACGACAGTGGTGACCTAGTCTGCAGCACTTGTGGCTGCTGGTAGTGCCCGGTCAATCGCTGACTATCTAAAGTCGTGGTCAAATGTGGACGAGAGAAACTGTGTTCAGGATAATGCTGTTCTGAAAGAGGTTCAACCTGAGACCTTGCTGCTGGATTCTGCCATGAGGCAAGTTTGTTACTTGGCATCGCCGGTACTGGTGCAGGACTGGTGAAATGCTCATACTGGTCCGTCCACAACACTGATACGTCTGGCACTTGAGGACGGAAAACTGGCACCTGGAAAATAGACAGTACCTTTGTTATTAGGTATCTTTAGAGTATTCAAAGTATTTCAAACAAAATACTATTTAGCTTACGTATGAGCTGGGATGGTAAAACTGCTTTGTTGTCTTTTCCTCCAGAAAACTTCTCCCCATAAAATGAAAACTGTGTGATAACCAGTTTTATTAGTAGGTCACTGATTCTGGTATATTATTTTATTATTTATTCATTTATCCCAAAATAGTTCTTAATTCAAAACAGATTTATCCTAGTGTTCTTCAAACCACTGGCTGCAGCCCAATGATGGGCGCAGAGAAGTCCCCGTGGGCCACCACAAAATTTTGCTTAATCGTCTAAGAAGATAGGGAAGGTGGTTTTCTCTTCTATTTAGAACTAACACCCCAAGGACCTTCTATACGTGTGAAGAGGCTAAAAAAAACAAACGGAGAAATCAAATGGATGTTATTATAGCACTTTATATATATAAACTGGACCTCAGTCACATATATACATTTTTAAAAAATCCTTTAGCAGCAGCAGATGTCACATTAGTGGAAAACTAAATATGCGATATTGGCTTTACCAAACCAACTGCTTCATACATTTGTTTTTATTTCTGTGTTTGGCGAGCTGCCAGGTGGGCTACGAAACAATGTCCACTGCTTTAGTCATCTGTGGGTGTAAAAGGGTTACCACTGATCCTAAAGTTGTTGTACATTAGAGCAACAGCTGTTTTAAGTCTTATTTTATTGGAAAGTATAACTTCGGGGCAAAATGTATAGTAATAATTAAGTTAGAATGGGTTAAAATACTCCATGGAAAACTAGCAACCATGCAAATGAGGTGTCTAAGAAAGACTGTAGCAGTGACCAAAGGAGATAAAAACAGGAATGAGGTAATATGAGATAAAGTCTGCACAGAACCAATTCTAAATGACATACAAAGACAGCAAATGAAATGGTTTGCTCACTTGGAGAGAATGCCTTCTAATGCAATACCATGCAAGGTATACACCAAAAGAGAAGAGGGATGTAGAGCAAGGGGTAGATCAAGAACAGGATGGAAAGATAACTTCAGAGAAACTCTACAGTACCACTCTACAGCAGCCAGAAGAGCACGAAGCAGGACCTTATATCTCCCTCGACACCCAAAGCGTAAAAGAGGACGTAAAGAAGAAGAAGATACTAGATGAATGGGGCATAAAAAGTACAGAAATATGTACCACAGAAACCAGGGCTATTCAACTGGTAGTAGGACAGGCTGAATCCTGCCTGCAGTGGCAAGCAAGTGGCCTGTGGATCATTGTCAGTTGTACTGTATTCATGATCGTTCTACACTCTGATTCATGACAATCCCTATTTTCAATATTGTGGCCCCTAAGTCAACTCAGTTGAACAGCCCTGATAAAAACATAAATCAATAAAGGCACTATGTGTTCCCTGGCACTTAAAGAGTTAAACATACTTTCTCGGCATGAGGCACTGGTGCAGAGCGTGGTTCCAAGTCTTCCTGCCCAGCAAAGCCTGGATCCTTTACAAACACACTGTTGCTGAAAGAGAACAGTCTCATGATGTATATACGTGTGTGTGTGTATCTACACAAACTTTCTTTAATTAAAAAACGTGTCAATGCTTATTAATTCTTTTCCTCTTTACATTCACCAGCTGTTAACTCTGGGAAAAAGCTCTGGTTCTTCATCCACTTGTGAACTTGTTCCAGTATTTGACTTTTCTATGCGTATACAAATCTGGCTTATTTATATGCAGACTGTTGGTTCCTCAATCCTCCAATTGATGCACTCCAACCCTGAAGAAAACTGCTCTAATTAGTCAACTTTGACAACATGCTTCTCAAGGAGACAGTGGGTCTATTCTATGTTTCCACCACAATGGAGTTCCGGATGTCAATGCTTTTAAATATAATGTCTGATAGTGTTTATACTTGTACTGCGTGACAGTCTTCATAAGTGAACAATCTATAAATATGTACAAATCTAGCATTTCCTTTTGACAACAGTGATACATTTATGCATGTATGAGGACAATTACCTCTTTTAGAGCTAAGCAAACATATTTGTCCATGTTAAAGCAAAAAATGTACCCAGTCAAAATTTTTAAGAAAAACCTACCCACTGGGCGACTGACCCCACTATCTTAAATGGGATCTGACTAGAAGAAGAACATTTCACACACATGCTTGCTGAAGTTACTGAAAACACAGTGTGGACTCAAGAGGGAGAACAACAATGTTTAACATATATCCCCCCAAAAATAGGGAAAGAAGATAAACATGAAGACAAATAAAAGGAGGAAGCAGATGAAAATGATGAAGTAATAAAGGAAGAAATAGAAGATAAGGGTAATGAAGATGAAAAGAAAGGAAGAAAGGGAAGAGGAAAGTGATAATATAAAAGAAGAACAGGAAGATGCAGAAAAAGAAAATAAAGATGATGGTGAAGAAGAAAAGTGAAACTCATATAAACAGCACCAGTTAAAGCTGTACCTATGCTGTTGTTTGGCAGCGTCAAAGATTTCTCTCTTCTGTTCATCCTCAACCAGACCCATCTCCACTTCTACAAAGTCACCACTGCTAGGACTTGCCAGCACCTGCATGACAAACAAACCACATGACAGTTAAGGATGGGGACTCAGCCTCGAGAGGCAGGGGGTAAGAAGTGTTGGTGTTGTGGGTAGTGGTTCCCCCCCCCCCTACTTCACCCTAGGTCTAGTGAATATCTATTCACGAAAGGAGTGTCCATTGCGATGTCAGCCTCTTGACCTAGCCCAACCTCTCTTACCCCAAGACCATTGTGCGTGGCGAAGAGTCACAGCTTTCCGAGGTCTTCCTGGTAACTGGTGGTGTGAATCCCCAGGCAAAACACAATGGATCTAGAGGAGCAAACTTCGATAATAAACCCGGTGCACCACACCGTACTGCCCCCTGTGGGAGGGAAGGAGTCAGAGGTGTGCCAAACAGTCTTAGGAGTGGAAACAAGTATGCCAACCCCCCTGACGTGACGAACCAGTTGCCCCAACTACTCATGCTTAGAGCCATGAAGATCTCAGCAAAACCAGAAGGCAATCTGGTGGTGGGAAATGAGCACACTGTGAGCCCTGCATTAGCTACATGTTAAAGGGGAAGGCAGAAACACAACCCATATTTCCTTTAGAACTGGTACAGGGCATTTCTAGCTGCTGCCTGGGGAGGTAGGTAATCCACAGACACCCGAGCACCACAATGCCATAAATATAACAACAACAACAAGTTAAGGATCATTTGAACCCAGTCAAGGACAGGACCATTTTAACAGTCAATTGGTGGCTTTTTCTTCACAAAGTCAAAATAAGGACAATTTTAACAGTCAAATCAAGGACCATTTTAACAGTCAAATCAAGGACCATTTTAACAGTCAAATCAAGGACCATTTTAAGTCAGGTCATGACTTATTTTCACAGTCAAGTCAAGGTTTATTTTCACACGTGGAAAACGTAAATGTTCATATACAGTATGTTTATGTGGTTCACTAGCTAGCGGTGTGCTACTTTTTTACTGCCTAAATCTTGTTTGATGCTGCGTGTAAGTGATTTAAAATAAGTGCAAAAATAAATTCTCCCAGCAGCTGTGACGTTCCTGCTGCAGAAATTCACAGGCAACTCATTGAGGTTTATGGGCCACATGTTGATTGACAGTATTGTTAGGAATTGGTGTTGAATGTTTAAAGGAGTACAAACAGATATCCATGATGAAGATCGTAGCGGTCGGTCCGCTGAGTGTGGTGACAGACATTTGGTCAAAGAAGTGAACTAAAAATTCAGGAACATTGTTGTTTCAATTTATGCTTTGTCTGTTGAATATTCAGAAGTTTCACATTCCTTGATTAAGGACACTGTGACAAGGCACATTAGATACAAGAAAAACTGTGTCATCCAAAACAGAAGACGTGGGTTGCTGTCCTCTGGAATCATGCTTTAGCAAGATAATGCTCAACCTCACACCGCAGATGGAACTGTTCAGTTGTTGCAAAGATTTAATCACTGGGAAATTGTTGACCACCTACCCTACAGCCCGGATCTGGCACCCTACAGCCCGGATCTGGCACCCTACAGCCCTGATCTGGCACCCTACAGCCCTGATCTGGCACCCAACAGCCCTGATCTGGCACCCCACAGCCCTGATCTGGCACCCTACAGCCCTGATCTGGCACCCTACAGCCCTGATCTGGCACCCTACAGCTCTGATCTGGCACCCTACAGCCCTGATCTGGCACCCTACAGCTCTGATCTGGCACCCTACAGCCCTGATCTGGCACCCTACAGTCCTGATCTGGTGCCCTACAGCCCCAATCTAGTACCCTACAGCCCCAATCTGGTGCCCTACAGCCCCAATCTGGTGCCCTACAGCCCTAATCTGGCACCCTACAGCCCTGATCTGATGCCCTACAGCCCCGATCTGGCACCCTACAGCCCCGATCTGGTGCCCTACAGCCCCAATCTGGTGCCCGACAGCCCCAATCTAGTACCCGACAGCCCCAATCTAGTACCCGACAGCCCCAATCTAGTACCCGACAGCCCCAATCTAGTACCCGACAGCCCCAATCTAGTACCCGACAGCCCCAATCTGGTGCCCGACAGCCCCAATCTAGTACCCGACAGCCCCAATCTAGTACCCGACAGCCCCAATCTAGTACCCGACAGCCCCAATCTAGTACCCGACAGCCCCAATCTAGTACCCTACAGCCCCAACCTGGTGCCCTACAGCCCCAATCTAGTACCCGACAGCCCCAATCTAGTACCCGACAGCCCCAATCTAGTACCCGACAGCCCCAATCTAGTACCCTACAGCCCCAACCTGGTGCCCGACAGCCCCAATCTAGTACCCAACAGCCCCAATCTAGTACCCAACAGCCCCAATCTAGTACCCGACAGCCCCAATCTAGTACCCGACAGCCCCAATCTAGTACCCGACAGCCCCAATCTAGTACCCGACAGCCCCAATCTAGTACCCGACAGCCCCAATCTAGTACCCGACAGTCCCAATCTAGTACCCGACAGCCCCAATCTAGTACCTGACAGCCCCAATCTGGTGCCCGACAGCCCCAATCTAGTACCCGACAGCTCCAATCTAGTACCCGACAGCCCCAACCTGGTGCCCTACAGCCCCAATCTAGTACCCTACAGCCCCAATCTAGTACCCTACAGCCCCAATCTAGTACCCTACAGCCCCAATCTAGTACCCGACAGCCCCAATCTAGTACCCGACAGCCCCAATCTAGTACCCGACAGCCCCAATCTAGTACCCGACAGCCCCAACCTGGTGCCCGACAGCCCCAATCTAGTACCCGACAGCCACAATCTAGTACCCGACAGCCCCAACCTGGTGCCCTACAGCCCCAATCTAGTACCCTACAGCCCCAATCTAGTACCCGACAGCCCCAATCTAGTACCCTACAGCCCCAATCTGGTGCCCTACAGCCCCAATCTGGCACCCTGCAGCCCCGATCTAGCACCCTACAGCCCCGATCTGGTACCCTGCAGCCCCAATCTAGCACCCTGCAGCCTCAATCTAGCACCCTACAGCCCCGATCTGGTACCCTGCAGCCCTGATCTGGCACCCTACAGCCCCGATCTGGTACCCTGCAGCCCCAATCTAGCACCCTGCAGCCTCAATCTGGCACCCTACAGCCCTGATCTGGCACCAAGTGATTACCACCTTTTCATGCACATAAAAAAGTGGCTGGCATCCCAGCGGTTTGAAACTGATGACCAATTACAGACAGGCTTTAATGAATGGTTCAAGACATGGGCTTTTATGGCACTGGAATTATGAACCTGGTGCCATGATACAGAAAATGTGTTGAAGTCAATGGTGACTATGTTGAGAAATAATGTAAATTTGTAGTTCGCTTTTGGCTGCAATAAATAATTGTTATAGTATGATGGTTTTTCTAAAATTTTAAACCAGGACTTACTTTAAAAAATGTGTCTCTTATATATATCTATATATATAGAGAGAGAGAGATAGAGAGAGAGACAGACACAGAGAGAGAGAGAGAGAGAGAGAGAGAAGGCAGAGTTAATACTGGAACTGTACTGAAAGGCAGGAGTTATCATCAGGTCTACACTATGAGACAATACTGAAAGTGCAACACGAGAGCTTACCATGAAAGTTTCTAGGGAAAACAAACAAATGATGACATGTACCTTGTCCATGTTGATGGTTTTATGGCCTGTGCTGAGCCCAAACTGCAGGCAGGAATCTCCGAAGCTGGAAGCACACTGATAAAACTCTGGCCTGGTCTGGAGGGGCCTGTACAAGGCCAACAGGAACTCTTCAGGAGGAGCACACACCCTAAATGTGAGAGATCTTCTAGTGAGACACAGGTAATGGAAGAAAAAATGGCAACACATTTTTAAAAGTATCTTGACCAAGAAATGAAGGAGTGAGAAATACAAAGATTAGCAGAAAGTGTGAGGAATAAATCAAGAAAATCACTGTGTGGGTTATGGGGTCCCCATTATGAGGGGAAAACAAGAACAGTCCCACTATCTCCCTAACAAGCCTGTTGTGAGAGTCGATTAATTAGGGGTTTCTTGCAAAGTCAGTACATCTTCTTGAGGGGAAGAACCAACAGTCTGCATTCAAATAAGCCAAGGCCAGACTTTAAAAAAAAATGACTGGATCCTGCAAGTCACACTTGTCATCACCATGGGCGGTGATTTTCATGCCTCCCCAAAAGCATTCTATAACACAACTGTCTGGACAGATGGAAAGGTGCCAACAACAACAGGTATGGTGCCAAAGTCATTCTCACTGAAAATTATAGTCTGCCTCCAATAAAATTAAACCCAGACCACTGTTGTGACAGGCAAACTAACCAACACTCAAATATTTAATATCTTCTTCTTCTTCGTGCTCAATGACTGTAGACTGGCAGAAAGTTCTAGTTGTTTGTCCACTTCTGGACTTTAGTCTTGTTCCAAAACCTGAGTTTTGCATGCACACTCATCTTACAGATCTGGCTTATTTGTATGTGCAGACTCTTGGTTCCTTACCTATCAGGCAGATACACCCCAACTTTGAAGAAAACCCCTAATTAGTCAACTCTTGACAATATGCTTGTTAGGGAGGCAGTGGGTCTACTAATGTTTCCCCCGCAAATGGGACCCTGGAACCCAGACAGTTTAATATTAAGATTGTTACACACATTTATCAGCAAACACAACTTTGCAGGAACAGTCAACAGAAAGAAAAGAACAAGAGAGATCTTAGATGTACAATTTTCTGTAAGACGGACCAGAAACATGGAATATACTAACATGTACACTTGGTAACTGACCTGTCCTGTAGGTGAGTACAGTGGATGTATCTCAAACAAGCTGCCCACACAAATGGGTGATGTAGAAACTCCACACCTGAGACCCATCTAAAAAAAATTTTAAAAAATCAGGTCACAAAATCAAGTAGATGGGAGGTTTTGCCACATGCTCTCCACCACTCTGACATGATGGAGCCATTGTGGTGAAGCAGCTAGGCCTTGCCTACAGATTGGAAGGTTGTGGGTTCAGGTCCTGATAGAGCTGGACAGTTCTCAGATATGACCTTGGCTCCCAGCTCGACCCAGCCTCAAATGGGTACCAGGTAAACTCCGGGGGATTCAATGTGCCAGGGATGATGCTGACCACATCACCCACTAAGTGCCAAATTGGTCTAAAAGTTTAGCCCTATATGCCCAACATGTCTAAAGGTGGGGAAAAGGGTCCTTTACTTTTTACTTACTTCACTCTGACATGACCCCAGACTGTCAGCTAGGATTTACTCCGTTCACTGTTTCTACCCTGCCAATACAGCAATAAAGGAAAAAGAAGAAAATGGTGAGGGAAAAAAAGAAGAGAAAGATGAGAAGAGGAGGAGGATAAGAAGAAGAGACAGGATAAGAAGAAGAGAAGGAAGATGATGATGAATAGGAGAATGAAGAAAATGAACTATTGCTAACTGCAAGATAAAATGAACAATAAAACTTACATTCCAACAATAGGCAAGCTGACACACTTTGGGTCAGACTCTAAAACCAGCATGACTTTTCTGGTGCTGTCCATCGTGAGGTACCTGGGAGGTAAGAAAACACAAGAAACCTGTAAGACAAAAGGGGATACAGAACCACAAACGTATCAAAGTCGAGGACTGCTCTTCACTTTTACATTGGAGTATCCTGGGCAGATGATAGTCTGGACAAAAGTATCCTGGGCAGATGATAGGCTGGACAAAAGTATCCTGGGCAGATGCTAGGCTGGACAAAAGTATCCTGGGCAGATGATAGTCTGGACAAAAGTATCCTGGGCAGATGATAGGCTGGACAAAAGTATCCTGGGCAGATGATAGTCTGGACAAAAGTATCCTGGGCAGATGATAGGTTGGACAAAGGTATCCTGGGCAGATGATAGTCTGGACAAAAGTATCCTGGGCAGATGATAGGCTGGACAAAAGTATCCTGGGCAGATGATAGTCTGGACAAAAGTATTCTGGGCAGATGATAGTCTGGACAAAAGTATCCTGGGCAGATGATAGTCTGGACAAAAGTATCCTGGGCAGATGCTAGGCTGGACAAAAGTATCCTGGGCAGATGATAGTCTGGACAAAAGTATCCTGGGCAGATGATAGGCTGGACAAAAGTATCCTGGGCAGATGATAGTCTGGACAAAAGTATCCTGGGCAGATGATAGTCTGGACAAAAGTATCCTGGGCAGATGATAGGCTGGACAAAAGTATCCTGGGCAGATGATAGTCTGGACAAAAGTATCCTGGGCAGATGCTAGTCTGGACAATGAAGGCAGGATTCACCATGGTCCTCATGACCATTATATGATTCAAAGACTCAAACGTTGCACATTATGAATCAACAAGAAATCCCAGCATTCCCCATGATGATATTCTCGAAACAAAAAATCACTTACCAACAACATAAGGGAAAGACAAAGAAGGAAATTAACTTTATATAGGGAAATACTAGAAAAGAATAACAGAGAAAGACAGAGAATTATATACAATAAAAGAACAAGGACACGATAAAGAGGGAAATTAACTTCAGGGAAATACTAGACAAGAGTGACAGAGAAATATAATACAATAAAAGAACAAGGACACGATAAAGAGGAAAATTAACTTTATACAGGGAAATACTAGACAAGAGTGACAGAGAAAGACAGAGAATTATATACAATAAAAGAACAAGGACAAGATAAAGAGGGAAATTAACTTTATATGGGGCAATACTAGACAAGAGTGACAGAGAAATATAGGCAATAAAAGCATAAGGACAAGATAAAGAGGTAAATTATAGGGGGAAAATACCAGACAAGAGTGGCAGAGAAATATAGACAATAAAAATATAAAGACAAGATAAAGAGGGAAATTATGGGGGGAAAATACTAGACAAGAGTGGCAGAGGAAGACCTAGAAATATATTTAATAAAACCTCGTTAAACCTCAATTCCAGGGGACCGAAATCAAGCAAACCATTTGTCTTTCTTAAGCGAGTTTGTCTTTATGAGGTTTTATCGTATGTGTAATAAATTTTTTTTTTTTAAAGCTGGACAACAAATAATTATATGAAACATCCACTTTATAAAAATGAACATGAGATGAGAGAGATAACTGAAGAGTCATGTCTGGAGACATCTGCTTCAGACCAGGCATACTTCCTCCGAAGTCGGAGTACATCTGCCGGAGAGGCGGGGAACGAGTACTGCAAACAAATAAGCCAGTAAAACGGATGTACACGCAAAACTCAGGTCAAGGTAAAAGCCAAAAGTCCATTTTGGACGAACAACCGCGACTTACCGCCGGAATTCACAGCCGGTGAACAAGAAGAAGAAGAAGAAGACCAGGCATACAAAGAAATAGACTGGGAGAGACCAGAGGATCTGCCAACCCTTAAGAGGAAGGTAAGACACACAGTCAGGTATTATCGGAACTGGAAATGTGACTGCAGCTGAACATGGGGATGGAGCGCTGTTGGAAATGTTCTAAATGCTCTAATGCCAGATCTTAACTCAAAATAAATCACAATATTAAAATTTAAAAAAAAAACATGATAAATATCAAAGTTCAAAATGTAAACATGTTACCATGACATCAAAGATACTAACCCAGTTTTTGGAGTTCCTTGCAGAGAGCTGAGATTCCTGGGAGTGGCCAGATTTTTAGACAATGCTGTAACAGCCACAGGGACAGGTGTTATTGGCGTGCACTTAAACACAGTGGCCAAGGTCAGTAGGTCAAAGTCCAGGTGTGCCACCGTGGTGTGAGCATTGCTGTAGAAGGAGCCATAGCCGCACAGGTATATGAACTCAGACAGGTCTATGCTGTCTTTGCCGCAGCATCGACTTTGCAAAAGCTGTGGAAACAGATGAGAACTTTTATTAGCGGACAATGCCATAAATGCCCACATAAAGCTATGCTGATGAAGCAGTCTTCTTCGTGTGCCCTTTTTTTCTAGTCTCTGAACTCATCAGTTCATCGTTTAACAAATACACTCCATCAACCAACACATGAGGTCTACATTCAGCTGCTCTAAGCACAGCCCTATTTCCAACCCCTATCCCAACAGTAAGGCACATCAAGGTAATTTACAGGGAAGAAATAAATGTGCATGATAAAAGTTGCTTCTAGTTTATTTAAACACAAAAGATCAAATATTGTAAATGAATGCCCTGACAGTAACAATAATTATTTCTTATAATAAAAAACTTGTCCTGACTGGGCACAATTCTTTGTTGAGACTGAAGCCCAAGTTTAAAACACACAGGTTTAGATTTATTTAAATGTAGGACATTATATATATGCACACAAACATTCAAGCAACTTGTTTTGTCAGGGAAAAACCAAAACAAGAGGCACTACTACCTTCAAGGCATGGACATAGTCATCAGCAGACGCCGCCCTCTCACAGGCTGCATTGTTTGTCACCTTGAGAAAATGTAGCAACAATAAAGGTCATCATCTATGAAGCTTACTGGTCATTTTCAAACAATTAAAATTTTAACAGCCAGAATACCTTTGTGTTTACTAGCTGTAAACTCTAGCGGAAAGTTCTGGTTGTTCAACCACTTCTGAAATTTAGTCTTGTTCCAGAAGTCCAGTTTTTTGTGCACATCCATTTTACAGATCTGGCATATTTGTATGCAGACTGTTAGTTCCTTGTCTCATAGGCAGACGCACTGTGGCTTTGAAGGAAATGTCCCTAATTAGTCGGCTTTACAACATGTTTGTTAAGGGATGTGGACCCTCCCCCATTGGGGAGGGACCCACATGAGACGCTAGAATACAAGAATAGATAAGATAGCTAGAATATAAGAAAGTGATAAACATACTGGGGGGAGGCATGTGATGAGAAGGCTCCAACCCTCACACTTTCGGCCCAACAAATCTGCAGCATTTTTTTTTCTTCTGTCAATTGCAAATGAAAGACTGGCACTACCTATCATGTGTTACAGAACATCTGACGGTATGCCTGATAAACTGATCACCAGCGCTCACAGACTGAAGAATGGAGTCCGAAGTCAAACCTACAGCCTTTGGAGAATAAGGTAACTAGTTTACCCACTGAAACCATGGAGACCACCAATGGATCAGTGATGTGGTCAACATACACCAGTCATCCTTACCTCTCAGGTAATTTCCCAGCACTAATCTAAGGCTGAGCACATCTGGCGCTCCAGGTAGTCAAGAATTCCTGGCTTAGAGGGGATTCGAAAACATGTTCATAGGGTTTGCAGGTGAGTGAGCGAGTCATAGCGCTAAAGCAGGCATGCATGCGTGCACACGCACAGGCAAAAAGGGAGAAAGAAATAGAAGCATAAGGGTAGGTATCGGATCTATATTCCCCCGTGTGGGTTCCGGGGCCCTACTATGGGAAAAACAAGAATAGACCCACTGCCTACCCAAAAGCATGTCGTAAGAGTCGACTAATTGGGAGCTTCCTTCGAAGTCGGAGTGCATCTGCCTGAGAGGCAAGGAACCAACAGTCTGCATATCAAACGGATGCACACGCAACACTCAGGTTCTGGAACAGGACTGCAATCCAGAAGTGGACGAACAACCAGAACTTTCTGCCGGAGTTTACAGCCAGTGAACGCGAAGAAGAAAGAAGAAGAGATCTATACTGTACACACCAAACCAACAATAAGCATTAGCATACTACTTCCCTGACATAAAACATGTTTGAAGTTTGGACAAAGGACCAATGTTATGACACACAGGTAGTAACCCATAAGTGCTCCGTTCTTCTTCTAACTCAAGTCCGAGTCCGAAAAAGCTCAGCAGCACCGGCGAGGATCCTGAAATACTTTAGGGAGCTCCAAATTTTGCCCAGGAATCACCTTTAGGCCACTCTTTTCAATTTCCAACTGCCAAGGGATTTTTTACGTGCGCAACAATGCACACAGGCATTCGATGTCACTACCCAGAGACCGGGGGAATTACTAGAAGTCCATGTGAAAAAATCCCAGCCCTTACCGGGGACTGAACCCGGAACCTTCAGTACTCAAGGTGGCCACCATGCCTCGAGACCACGCAGTCCCTTCCCCCCCCCCCCTCCCCGACATAAAACATGTATGAAACATTAAGATAAAGACTTCAAGCATTTACCTGAAAACTGACAGCTACACTTCCAACAGTTAGGTCTACACTGGTCAGCGGGATGTTGGTTCTGGTGTCCAGTCTGTCCACCTGAACCTGTACGCCTTCTCCGTCTAGCATAAGTACAATAGAGAAATGGTTACTAACCTCGTGGATGACTATGTCATCTTCACAAACCACCAAATCCTACATCCGAAGAATCATCCACTCTTTCGACCACTTTTATTTAGAACTGATAAACTCAACTCTCTTTCAGATGTCATTTAGATTTAGGCAAACAAACTGAAGAAAAGTTGAGATTATGTATCTGCTTAGCAGCATAAATAAACAAGCTGAAAATGTTAGCTTTGTGGGAGCAAAGATATGTATACAAATATTAATAAAACTATCCAAAGAGCACATTTCATAGTCTGAAACAGAATTAATGTTCACCCTTGGCTTCATTCTGCATGTGTAACAATGCAACTTGCAGTAGCTAAACATAATGGCGAGAAATCTGCTGACAGGCAGCACTACAGTTGTGCCAGATGATAGATGAATGCTGTCTGATGGGATGATATGCTTGCTTTGCTACATGGATGGTGTTTTTGTTTGGCTGTAATAAAATAAGTATCATTAATTGTCAGACTGCGTGTACGTGTGTGGAATTAAAAACAATGGCTTCTGCTGTTTGAGGCTTTGGAAGTTCTATCTAAGCTACCTGGTATTTCTGCAAGTGGCTGCGGCAGAGCCATGACTAACACACACTCCTGTGAATCGTCCTGTGGCAGGGTTTTTGAATCCCACTGATATCAAGTCTCAATGTGAATGTGAGCCCATGCTAGTCACTGCTCTAATGAGGTTGACTGTTGGTATGATTGTAAATTTATCACCACACACACGCAAATTTTGATATCAGGGTAGAATATAAGTAAACAAACCAAAACATTCTAGATTTTTTCTTCACTTTTTTATCTCCCATAGGAGCATGAGGTCTCAACTAAACCATGTAAACGCTTCTGCAGACTTGGTCATGATTCTCCAGGTAGTTTTCAACTGAACAGTGTAGTCAGTCTCAAACCAACCCTCCATGGTCACCTTTCATGACATGTATGAAAGGTTAGTTTGCCATCCTTGCTTGTCTGATGGCTCCCAATAACACACAGATGTCTACAATATTTGGACAATGCTACCAGCATCAATAACCAATGATCCAAGTAACACATAACTGCCCTGACCATAGTTCTCACACTGACACTGGAAAAAGCTACAACTTACCAGCATCAATAACCAATGATCTAAGTAACACATAACTGCCCTAACCATAGTTCTCACACTGACACTGGACAATGCTACAACTTACCAGCATCAATAACCAATGATCCAAGCAACACATAACTGCACTGACCATAGTTCTCACACTGACACTGGACAATGCTACAACTTACCAGCATCAATAACCAATGATCTAAGTAACACATAACTGCCCTAACCATAGTTCTCACACTGACACTGGACAACGCTACAACTTACCAGCATCAATAACCAATGATCTAAGTAACACATAACTGCCCTAACCATAGTTCTCACACTGACACTGGACAATGCTACAACTTACCAGCATCAATAACCAATGATCCAAGCAACACATAACTGCACTGACCATAGTTCTCACACTGGTGCTGGATAATGTTACAACATACCAGCATCAATAACTAATGATCTAAGTAACACATAACTGCCCTAACCATAGTTCTCACACTGACACTGGACAATGCTACAACTTACCAGCATCAATAACCAATGATCCAAGCAACACATTACTGCACTAACCATAGTTCTCACACTGGTGCTGGATAATGTTACAACATACCAGCATCAATAACTAATGATCTAAGTAACACATAACTGCCCTAACCATAGTTCTCACACTGACACTGGACAATGCTACAACTTACCAGCATCAATAACCAATGATCCAAGCAACACATAACTGCACTCCCCCGTGTGGGTTCCGGGGCCCCATTGTGGGAAAAACAAGAATAGACTCACTGCCTCCCCAAAAGCATGTCGTAAGAGTCGACTAATTGGGGAGCTTCCTTTGAAGTCGGAGTGCATCTGCCGGAGAGGCAAGGAACCGACAGTCTGTATTCAAGAGAATGAGATCTGTAAAACTGATGCACACGCAACACTCAGATTCTGGAGCAGGACTGCAGTTCAGTAGTGGACGAGCAACCAGAACCTTCCGCCAGAGTGTACAGCTGGTGAACGCGAAGAAGAAGAAGAAGATAACTGCACTAACCATAGTTCTCACACTGGTGCTGGATAATGTTACAACATATCAGCATCAATAACCAATGATCCAAGCAACACATAACTGCACTAACCATAGTTCTCACACTGACACTGGACAATGCTACAACTTACCAGCATCAATAACCAATGATCCAAGCAACACATAACTGCACTGACCATAGTTCTCACACTGGTGCTGGACAAGCTTGAGGATCTTCTCAGGGACACAGATCCTCGGCTTCCTGTCCAACAAAAACATGCTCCATTCACAAGCTGACAATGATGCTTCAGAATGATTCTGGGTTTCAAATGAATTTGCCAATGCTAAACATGAGCCATTTAAAAAAAATAAAATTAAAATCTGACCACTCAGATCAGCTATGTAAGAGTTTATACTTCCACATCTATCTCTCAGTCTTTAATCAAGAAAACTTTTGAGCTGACAGGCTGTAGACAGATTTTCAGAATACCCGGGACAAAGAAGAAGAAATACTATCATTCCAAAAGATCTGAACATGAAGGAAGACTGGCTAATAAACAGCATCTTGTCACTGAAGCTGAAATAATTTGATCATATCAAGCACCATAATGGACTGGAAAAAAATAATGTTAGAAGACATGGCACCAAGAAGGAGGGCAAGGACCAACCAACATGAAGATGGGCAAATGACTCTTTGGATATGAAAGTGCACCACCAGGATGAGAGTGATTGTCTGCAAACGACTTGCTTCATGATGATGTTCCCCCCATGTGGGTCCCAAGGCTCCAGTATGAGAGGGGAAAAAATCAGATCCACTAATCCTGAACAAGAATGTCATTATATGCAACCAATTAAGGATTTTCTGACCTCGGATGTGTTGAGCCAAAGGGAGCAGATATGACAGACACTATAGACCACAAAACAAAGCATTGATTGCCTTTCAAGGGCGAGCACAGATGAGTTTACATACATAAACGAACTATGCTAACACAATAAAATCATTTCAGCCTTGCATTTCTCTAACATCAGATGTATAAACCAACATGGACAAAAGGTAGTCCCATCGTAAATACTGCCAAAGGGCTGCCACATATTCAAGGCCACGACACAGGAGGAGGGATGATAAGTCCTTTCTTTCTCACCATTCCTTTTAAGACCATTCTGAAAATTCTGTCCTACTTATTATCATTATGCTGGGTCCTGGGAAGACAGATCAAGCAACACATGCCTGCAGAAGCTGGATGTGTCGGCTAAAAGGTGCAAATATCGCAGTAATGTTGTAAACTGGCAAAACGCATTTATGTCCTAGCGTCAACAAAGAAAATTAGGCTGGGTGCACTGAGAAATGCAGTGTTCCCCAAAAATAATTAAATTTCTATCAGGATGAAAATCTAGAACTTTGTCCTGCAGGCATCAGCACTCATCATATGCTAAAGAGGTTTCTCAACTGAAATGTAACAAAAGTGCTACCACAACCACTAAACAACCCGAGAAGCAAAGGTGAAAAATATGTAAGCTCAACAACAGAAACATACATGAACATACAGAATATGTTTATTGTGTCAATGGCTGTGAATCCTCTCGTCACATAATAAACAAATCAAACAATTTTTTGAGGCCTCAGAATTTTGGTTTAACAAAAGAATCCTTACAATTTTTTGGGCAACCAAAAAAAGCAACCCAGATGTTGTGAAAGAAAAGAGGGCTTGAAGACAATGTATTACAAACATCAGAAAGAGACAGTCATCATTTTTGTGTGGGTCATGTTATGAAAAGAAGTAAACTGAAAATTGGTGACCACTGGCAAGATCTGTGGGAAAAGAGACACAGGAAGACAACGCAAGATGATTCTCAACAACCTTTTGTCGTGGTAAGAAAGTGTTCCCACACATGCGATGATAGATGCAGTTGAAGATCACAGATTTTAGACGGGCATGATCACCCAGGTGAGGCACTTGATGATGATGATGATCTTTTGTCAAATTTCTTAGTTACATCAAATATGTATTCTTTTTTTTTGCATTAATTTGAGAGCCTATTTAAAACCCTATTTTAAACACAATGAAAAAAAAATTGGGGAGGGGAGGGAGAGGAGGGAAACCTAGAAGTACTTACTTCAACTAAGCTTTTCTGAACTATTCTGCGATGAAATGTTTAGTTACCTGTAATGGCCCACATGAAGGAAGATTGGCTGACCCCTGCTTGTCTTGTCCCACAAGCTGTTTCTGGTCTTTGGAAACACTGGGGAAATCTGCTTGCCTGCGGATCTGTCAAAAGTATTTAGGCTCCAGTTACACAACAGGAAGGTAAGACACATTATATCTAATATGGTATTCATTAAAGCGGTGGTCTTTAAACTTTTCCAAATAGCCATTTTTTTTAAAATTAATACACGTAACTAATCCGTTTTCCATGTTTTAATTTCCCATTCTTAGTGTTTTGATATTAACTAACTCATGTGGGTTATTTTTTTAGAATTATAATATTTTTCTGTATCAGAATGACTACTACACTTCGATCATAGCCAAAAGGCCAAGAAGCGTTAATATCAGAACGACAGCAGTCGCCCCAAATCTTATATAAATATGGGGGTCAAGCCACCAGGTCTTACTGACTTACAATGACAAGGTCAATATTAAAACATGAAACTGTTTTGATGCCCAATGACATTATAATAGGCATCTAGCTTTAGTCTTAAATGAAGTAACAACTACACACACACAAAAGAGAGAAAGGGTCACCGTACTTAAAAAAGCTATAACCTAATGTGTCAACAGTAACTTTGTTTACTGACATTCCTGTGTGGGTTCCGGCGCTCCTTTGTGGGGGAAAACAAGAATAGACCACTGGCCCCACAACAAGCGTGTTGTAGGAGTCGACTAATTGGGGACATCATTTAATATCGGAGTACATTTCTGCCTGAAGGGCAAGGGACCACAAGTCTGCATACAAATAAGCCAGATCTGTGGAATGGATGTGCACGCAAGTTCTGGAGCAAGACTAATGTCTGGGGTGGATGAAAATCCAGAGCTTTAGGCCGGAGTTTACAGCAAGCGAACGCAAAGAAGAAGATTGCATGTACCAATGTTTAGGATGTTTCTGTCATTTACCTTCTCTGCAGTTGCTGGATGATGGTCAGGTATCACCTGTAGAACATGTTGCTCTCTAACGGACAAGGTGATTCCATTAGAACCATCATTAATGTCATTGTCTTAATTCAAATGTTTTAAAGGCATGATTTACTATGGAAATATAGTGGTGGTTTTCCCTAGCCTTCAACCGGGTTTGTTTAGGGTTTAACTCTAATAGCCTTTGTCTAAAGAGACACACCCTGCAAGGTAGCAGAAAGGAGAGGTTATTATGGCGCCTCTTACCCACTGATGGTCATGTCACAGGATTTGGAGGTATTTTATAGATCTAGCTGTCCCAACAGCTAGCTTGCCTCCTCTCAATGGCCACCATCTGTTTTGGTCTGCGGCTGCCTATTCAGTATATTCACGGCTAAATTCTATATCTATAGGCTGCTCCACCACCCGCTATACATGCCTAGCAGTGGGACAGGCTCCTCCTCAGGTTAAAATAGCTATTGTTAATTTTTTTTTTTTTTTTTAAAAAGCTTTTCCTCCTTTTTAAAAAATAGAATGTTATGGATAACAATGCAAATTAAAGAATATTAATAACCAACAAGCAGATAAAAGAAAGGAAACACCCACCTGTCACTAAGACCGGCAGGTGAAGCATACTGGAGTGACATGAGCAAGTCTACAATTTACATCACTCTGCACAAGTTTTTATTATCAAGACACCTGTGAATGTTAAATGATGCAATTAGTCTGTGAAATCATTTACAGGCAATGATTAGCACCTCTCGAAGAGAAGAATTTGTGTAAATATCACAAGTACTTGCTGTCATTGATAGGTAACTCTTCCCCAAGACTTGTAACAATAAGAACAGTGGTCCCCAAACCTGGCAATGCAAGGCCCACGAACTCCATTCCCCACCCCAGAAAAACTGTCAGGGGGATGAACTCTGACAAATGTTAAAGGTGGATAAACAACCCCGAACCATGTAGAGGATTTTGCCTTTTCACTTTTTGTTTAATGCTGTATAATTATTTCAAATATATTATTATATTAATTTGGCATTTAGCAGATCATTATTACTACTATATACTTAAACAATGTTTAGGTTCCTTTAGCCCCCCTCCCCCTTTTCCTGAAAAAAATATGTACCAGTAACAGGCCATACATACTATCAAGGCAACACATTTAATAATAAATCAACAGATCTAGTTCGCGTTAAAGAGATACCGTCATCCCCATGTAGGATGCAATTTTTAGTTATTGGGTAGCCCCACCCTGGCTTTTGCCGGGGGCCCTAAATATAGCTAAGCCTTAAATATGGCCTAACGGCTAAACGGGGTTACCGGGACCTCTCCATGGGTGATCCTCATCTGCATAGTGGCATTTTGTGTCACCAGGTGTTTATCGCTTGTGTGATGACCTAGTGGGGTACAACCTACCTACTTATCTATTTCGTATGTACAAGAATATTTGTTTTTTCCCCTAACAAGCAAAGCAAGCTTAGTTGTTTTACCAAAGCTGTTACTACTGTTAGAATACTTAGTAACAACATACTGCACCACCAAGCCTGTTACTACTGTTAGAATACTTAGTAACAACATACTGCACCACCAAGCCTGTTACTACTGTTAAAATACTTAGTAACAACATACTGCACCACCAAGCCTGTTACTACTGTTAGAATACTTAGTAACAACATACTGCACCACCAAGGCTGTTACTACAGTTAAAATACTTAGTAACAACATACTGCACCACCAAGCCTGTTACTACTGTTAGAATACTTAGTAACAACATACTGCACCACCAAGCCTGTTACTACTGTTAGAATACTTAGTAACAACATACTGCACCACCAAGGCAACATTATTCAATTGCATTAATTAAATACAAGATGAGGCTGTATTTAATTATTTATAATAATATTTGTAAATAGTAATACTGTCACATAACTAGTACTTACAGTAACAACCATATTATTAAGATTTAAGGGAACAATAATGATGAACAGTGACAAAAAGTTCAAGCAAACATATTTATACGATACGTGATAATGTGTTGTAACCTGCGCGATATAACCACAAATAATGTTAGCATGAGTACTAGACTAGTCCTTCTTACTAACTTGAGATAAGTATAACAGACAAGTAGACCCATAATTTTTTTTTAAGATGGTCACTTCCATTTGCAAATCACGGAAACACAACACTCTTATATTATTATGGGACCACAAAACAGTTCTGAAGTCACTGTAGTCCAGAAAGGGTGAGTTGTGATTAAGGTGATGGAGACAGTAGACAGAATGTGGACCCAAGATTAGCAGAACCTAACCTAACTGCTGTTGATAAGGACGCCAAAATAAAAATAAAAACATGTTGCCGTAGTTAACGATAGATATTTCGGAAAACGATTTTAAACTCCTGCGTGAAAACCGCTGTTCTGTTTCACTTACATACATAAACAACACGGATCTACAAATGAAGCTTGCTAGGGAAGACAGACCAGATAGCCGTGTATGTGAAGAAACAAACAAGTTGGAACAACGTCCCGCAGACAACAGCCAAAGTTAGCGCCCTCAACGGTCACAAGCAGCTGCGCATGTCCGGAAGTCAGCCTCTCTTCTGCTGGGTGAACAAGTTGTCTCCCCTGGGCCGGCTTGTTGTAACTGACGGTGACGGCTGACGGACTGAAAAGATCGTTACAGGAACAGACCCGTTTTGTTTTTACACGCAGGTACTGGAGGATATTAGTCGGCGTTTTATGTGCTTTTTTCTTGTGTAGTTATATCAGTTTCTGTGTTGTTTTATGCTCATGATCGTTTATCTAGTCTCAGCGTTCATTTCGTGTTTGTATTTGATTTATTGGGTTAGTTAAGTTAACTAATTAAATATAATATATTATCTCTATCTATCTATTGTCTTCTTCACTTTTACTTTTACCGGGTTGCAGCCCAGTGTCGTGATAATATTATAATATTACTATTAATATTAAATATAATATAATAATACTGGTTAATTCTCGTCGTCCCCTTGTGGTATGCAATTTTTTAATTTTTTAGTTATTTTAAAGCCTATCCTGGCCGGGCCTTGAAGTATGGCCTAACGGCAACGGCTGAACAGGGTTTCCGGGAATTCTTCACGGCACGGGTGATCCTCATCCGCATTGTGGCAGTTTGTGTCACAGGGTGTTTATCGCTTGTGTGATGTCCCGGTGGGGTACAACTAAACATACATAATACATAAATCCAGATACTGATTTGTTCTTTACTTCTTGTAATCCTCCACTATTCTTCCCATATATTTAGGGTCCTCCTATACTCGGGTTGTTGCCGAGCCCTTAATATAACCTTTGGCTTTGGGTTAAACATGGTTTTGGGGACTTATGTGCCAGGTGATTCTCATCTTAATGGTGGCACTTTGTGTCACCAGGTGTTGGTCGCTCGTTGTGCGGTCCTGGTGATGTATGGTTTGTTTCAAGTATTAAGACCAGACCGCTTTTGTTTTTGAGTTTTCTGGACTAATCATTTCATTCATGTAGCAGATTTGAATGTTACACCTGTGATGCTTTAAAGTCTATTAATTCAGTGTATGGCTTTCACCGCTCTTTTATTAGTAACAATTAAACCCCAAAAAGCACTGAAAAATATAAATCACTAACGTCTTCTTCCAGACACAATGAAGAATTAATATATTTTTTAAATCATTCAGTTTTTTGATTGGTTGTATAACGCTGAATGAAAGTATCCAAACCTGCACAGGACTGCAGATTACACCATGACAGCATTTGGTGTGGTCATTAGGATAGATGATAGAATATTCAAGGCATTAAATACCAAGATCTGCATAGCACATACCAATGTGCCTCTTCCCAACCTGACGCTGAAAGGCAGAACAAGACCAAAGAAGAAGAAGAAGCATTCAGTGTGGCACCTGAGAAAGGTGGTCTAGGTGACAAGAAGCGACAAAATCCACAGCCAGACAGTACATCAAGATCTTGATGCCCAGGCCTTACAAACCCTAGTTGATCAGTCACAGTTACGATGGTTTGGACATGTATGCAAAATGGGAGACAATTGGCCACAATGGGAGGCTAAGAACCAGGGAACCAGACCTGCAGTGCAACCCAGGGTCTGCTGTAAAGACAACATCTGACAGTCCATAACTGGCAGAGGACTGGAGTTAAACAAAGCCAGAAAGAAAACTGCTGATAGAGAAGTCTGGCGATCTCTCTAGCAGACCTCTACAACCCTGTGTAGAAGAGGAGCGACTATGTAAGTCTTGGGGTTTTCATGTTGGGATTGTCGTCCAGGATGTGGCTGTTGAAGTAGCTGGGGTGATCAGATCTTCAGATGGTAGCCCAGAGACAGACAGACAGAAACTGAATAATTGTATGAATAATATGAATGCCCTCTGCTGTTATTTTTTGTTTTCAGTCCCTCATGGCGCTTGATTTGACCAAAATGTTTCAGCTTCCGAGACAAGATGCTGTTTATTAGCCAATCTTCTTGATGCTCTTATCTTCTTCTTCTTCTCGTTCACTGGCTGTAAACTCCGGTGGAAAGTTCTGGTTGTTCGTCCACTTCTGGACTGCAGTTCTGTTCAGAACCTGTGTGTTGCGTGTGCATCCGTTTGACAGATCTGTATGCAGACTGTTGGTTCCTTGCCTCTCAGGCAGATGCACTCCGACTTCAAAGGAAGCTCCTAATTAGTCAACTCTTACGACATGCTTTTGGGTAGGCAGTGGGTCTATTCTTGTTTTTCCGATAGTAGGGCCCCGGAACCCACACGGGGAAAGATGTACTTATCTTTTAAACGTCTGTATTCCTATCTTCTTTGTCCACGGTGTTTAGAGAATCTGTCTGTTATATTTCAGCTCAAAAACCCCTATTTTCTTTCTTAAATAATGCATTATAAACAGTAGACAGGGAAATGACCAACCCTGCCTTAAAAGGTATGCCAGAAAAGGCTGTTACAAGTGAAACCACCAGCATGATATTGATTGCTTTATCCATTGGTTAATAGCAGTATAGGGCTATAACCATATGTGCACACTGCCTAGGTATGCCAGGACAGTGTCCTTGTATTATATTTTTTTTTTATGTTTCTCAGTCTGTGAGAAAAGTACGGTATTTGTCCATGTAAATAATGATGTTTTACAACAATTTTGTAACCTTTAAAATTGGGTGCCGTCTATTTATGGAATGCGTTTAAAATATTTATTTCTTCATTTTGGGCTTTAAAAAAACTGGTATTCTTACACGGGGTGGGGGTCTTATTCATGGAAACATGTGGCAGGTGATACGAAAACATGGGGTGTTGACATTGGTCATGGCCATTCAACTAAATTTACTTAGGGGTCATAAATGTTGGGAAAATGGAATTTGTCGCTGGTCCAAGTCTGAGCATAGAAAGATCGTTAATACAATACAATTGCCAGGTGATCCGCTGGCCCTTCTGGGTCTCTGAAGGCCAAATTTAGCTCGCAGGCTGCCAGTTTAATAGCCCTGACTTATGTGATAGAGAGACGTGTAGAAGCAGATCTAGAACATAGGGTTTTAAAGTGGTTTTGATGTTTATGTCCTAGTTTTCTGCATGTGCTGTTGAACTGACATGTTCATTATCATCAACAGTTTATTTTCTAGGGAAATATTGATTAGTGATCAGTGAGTAGGTTATGTTGCTGCAGCTTTTCAACTTACTTGTCTGTTGAGCTGTTACATTTATGGGCTAGTTTAGAGTTGAGTTTGTGAAGAGCTAAAACCAAAATCTTTAAAACAGTAACGGTTAACCGGCATTCATAATTTCCTTATTTATGCCAACAAAAGTTGGTTTAGTTCTGGGCAAAAGAAGAAGAAACATAACTATTTAACAGTGAGCCCAAAGTACAGAAAACATTTTCTGTGGATCTTTTTTTTTCTGTGGATCTTTTTTTTCTTAGTATTCACCGGCTGTAAATTTTGGCAGAAACTTTCAGCTGTTTGTCCACTTCTGGACTTTGGTCTTGTTCCACAATACCATTTCAGTTTCATCGGAGAATAGTTCAGTATGTGATAGTCACATGACCTGATCTAAGTACTGTAATAAGTACCCCCCCCCTTTTTTTTTAAACTTGTGTTTAGAATAGTGTTTGAAATATGCTGTCAGGCTGGTGCAGAAAATGAATAAATACATGACATAACTAAGAACTTCTATTTTGCGGGCACATCCATTTTACAGATCTGGCTCACTTGTATGCAGTCTGTTGGTTCCTCGCCTCTTAGGCAGATGCACTCTGACTGCGGAGGAATTAGTTGTCTTTTATGACATGCTTGCTAGGGAGGTCATGGGTCTGTCTCCCCCCCCCCCCCCCCCCCCCCAGATGGGGTCCCGGAATCCACACAGGAAGGTCTGTGAGTGTGCAGTTATTCATGCATCACTGGTTTGATATATCACTGTTTATCAGCCAAACTCCTTTGTACATACAACAAATGTGTGCGTTTCTTTACAGGCTAGACCAAACTGAATCCAGTTTGTTGGAGACTAGGGGCTGCCCTGAGCTCCAGTGCCAAAAGATTCAACAGCCTGCCATCATCATTCAGCAGCGGCAGTATCTTTGGATATTTGAACAGCTCATTAGTCTACAGGATCAACATGTCTGGAGATTCCAAGGCCAAATACAACGTGGTCTTTGTGCTGGAGGACCTGGTGCTGGGAAAGGCACTCAGTGTGAAAGAATACAGGAGGTCAGTTTTTGAGCCGGTATCATGGATTTTTCTAATCCTTTTCCAAGTCTTGTGTCCATTTGCAATGAACAGGCCATATTTGTGCTTTTTAGCAATTCACTTGAAGGCTTGTGCACATATACACAGTCTGTGATCTGGCAAAATTAAAACGCCACCCGGTCACCAGACTTTAAGTATCCACCCGTTTTGTTTAGATAGTAAAATCTGCATTGTTACATATGCTGCCTAGAGACAAGTGTGAGCATTAATTCTGTTTCACACTGGGTAAAATGCTCCTGAAACATTTGAATCGATAAGATACATTTATTAGGATCAGTGTTTATCTCGTGCATGGGGTGGTATTTGCAATTATAAACTGGTGCGGAAAAGATTGAAGAGGAAGCTGGGTGGGATGTACGGTTTGTATTCATAATGATAAACTTATTGCCATATTCAGAGAACGGGATAAACAGAGACCAAAGTCCGACTGTGAGGATGATGACCAAATGAATATGATGTTGAATTTGATAAATATTGATCCTCATAAATTCATCTCTTTGGTTCAGCTGTGCCTAAGAATTAGACAAATAGTATCTGTAATGTAAGAGTGTGAAACAAAGGCAGAAGACAGAAAGTTTGCGGAACCATCGCAGCCAACCTTCACGGTAGCAATGACACATGACTGATTTCTAGTTTCTTTGTATTTCTTATTTTTTACAAGTTCACCAGCTGTAAACTCCGGAGGAAAGTTCTGGTTGTTCGTCTGCTTCTGGACTTTGGTCTTGTTCCAGAACTTGAGTATTTTGTTTTGCATGCACATCTTGATTGGAAGTGGTGGAAAATTTCGAATATCTTGGGTCACTGGTTACCAACAATGGTGACACAATGAAAGAAATTAAACGGCGACTATCAATTGCTCTTCAAAGACTAAAACAACTGAATAAATTATGGAATTGTACAGATAGAATTACAAAGGTCAGATTTTTAAGAGCATGCATCTTTCCCATTGCAACATACGCCTGTGAGACCTGGACACTTACTAAACAAGCGGAACAGCGCATAAATGCATTTGAATATAAATGTTACAGACAGGTTCTAAGAATATCTTGGGTAAAGAAAAGAACAAATGCATCCATACTTCAAGAGCTGAATTTTGAAGAGGGTTGGCTAGTAAAGACAATAAAACAAAGAAAATTGAAATATTTTGGTCACTTGAAACGTCATGGAAGTCTAGAGAGAACAATAATGGAGGGGTATATGCCTGGGAAGAGAGGAAGAGGAAGGCCAAGTAGAAGATGGGTGCAGGATGTGGCAGATGATCTCCAGATGGGTGTGTCAGACGCAGGACATCTTGCTCATGATAGGAAGGTTTTCCGAGGGTTGTTATGGCAGCGAGGTTCCGCGAGGGACATGCTACTGAATGAATGAATGAATGCACATCTTAGTTGTTAGAACACTGTTGATTCTTTGACTATCAGGCAGGTTCACATCGACTTCAAAGGAAACACTCCCCAACAACATGGTGTTAGAGGGACAACGGGTCTCTTCTCCTTCCCACCCCTCACCCAAATGGGACACTGGAGCCCCCGTGTATTTAATTTCTTCAGGATTGTTGCTGTGTAATGGTAGTATAATGTTGACTGCACTGTCTCCAGGTATTTCTTCAGGATTGTTGCTGTGTAATGGTAGTATAATGTTGACTGCACTGTCTCCAGGTATTTCTTCAGGATTGTTGCTGTGTAATGGTAGTATAATGTTGACTGCACTGTCTCCAGGTATTTGGTTTTCAACATTTGTCTGCTGGTGACTTGCTGCGCCAGGAACGTCTTCAGCCCAACTCTGAATATGGGGCCGAAATTGAGAGGCATATAAAAGAGGGCTCCATTGTGCCAGTGAATATCACTTGCTCATGTATACGCAGGGTATGTTGTATGTTCAGTCTTCAATGTTTGCTGCTGATCTAAACTCTAGTGCCGATGTTCCCTCATATGTGCCGAGAGGCAGAGGTTCCCTCATATGTGCCGAGAGGCTGAGGTTCCCTCATATGTGCCGAGAGGCTGAGGTTCCCTCATATGTGCCGAGAGGCAGAGGTTCCCTTATTTGTGCTGAGATGTAGAGATTCTCTCTTCTGTTTGAGACAAGATAGTATCTCCAATATCCTGCAGTGAAAAACCTTTTCTCTTCTGATGTAGAAGATCATTGTGTTTCTAGTTAAAGGTCCCTTCCCACGCCAGTGGCATATAAGGCTAGATTCAAGCAGTGTCAACATGTCACTGGCTGCCTTTACTTCCCAATATTTTATTTCGATCCTGTTTAAGGCTGGGCCAACCTAGGAGTCAAGGTCATGTTTAAAACAAAATCCGGTAGCATGCAAATTTGAACCCACAACCTTTGGATTTGCAGACGAGCAACTATCTTGTACACAACAACGGCTCCTTTCTCTAGTTATACTTGTTTTTTTTTTTTATTATAATAGTTATATCTAAGTTTTCATGGAGTGGCTTGGCAGATAGTTACAACATTGGACTCTCATGAAGGAGACCTGGGTTCAAATCTTAGTAAATTCTTGGGTGTTTTGTTCTGTCAGAGGCAAAAATAAAAACCTTAACCTGCCTAGACAATGGCAGCCTCATTAGCTTTGCAACCTTAAAACCTCAGAATCATTAGTCAAATGCAGACAGTTGAAACAGGTTTTATTTTACAAAACATGGTAGCTTTATTCTTTTTAATTATGTTTTGTGTTTTTAAAAATCTATTTTCCCGTCAAAATTATTTCTTCGCAGGAAATGGAGAAAAGTCCCCAAAATAAATTCCTCATAGATGGATTTCCACGCAACAGGGATAACCTCGATGGGTGGAATCAGGAGATGAGCAGAGTGGCTGAAGTCAAGAGGGTGCTGTTCTTTGACTGTCCTGACCAGGTATGTAAGCAAAGTTGAGTTGTAGGCATGTGGTCAGTTAGTTCTGTTTTGTTGAACTAGCCTTCCTTCCCTGTCTTTTTATAGCTCCTGTCATGTAACGTTGATCATTGTGTCTGTCCACAGCCTTTTGTCCTGTGCTAGTAATTTGTGACTGCATTGAGTTACTGCAGGTAATTTTGTATATATACCTTACCCGCCATCAGTCTGTCTTGTGCTAGTCATTTCTGACTGTCCATAAGTTACTGCAGGTAATTTTGTATATATACCTTACCCGCCATCAGTCTGTCTTGTGCTAGTAATTTGTGACTGCATTGAGTTACTGCAGGTAATTTTGTATATATACCTTACCCGCCATCAGTTTGTCGTGTCTTGTGCTAGTAATTTCTGACTGTCCATAAGTTACTGCAGGTAATTTTGTATATATACCTTACCCGCCATCAGTTAGTCCTTAGAGGAGTAAAGTTTACGTACCATTGCTTTGTGCTTATCTTATCAGCTGCAGGCCTGACTAGTTTCTGAATTATCCTATTTCTCTTGCAGTCACGGTTGACATGAGAAGAAGTGTGTTCTTTGCTTTAGAAACTCACTGAGCCATGCCTATTGAAGAGTCCTTCAATGCATATTTTAAAAACTGGAAAAAATGTTTTTTACATTTTATAAATACTGATGCATCCTGTGATAGAGCTTTTGCCGGCTGGCATAGACGTCTGAAGTTCATTTCTCTGTGAGGTTTTTTGTTGCTACCTGTTGGTGCATCTAAGCTGCAGTTGGGCCAGAATAAAATACGGTCTTCACATATTTACTGCATAGGTACATTTACATATCTTGTTATAGAATTGGATAGACAGAAGATTGATTTTAGGTACATGTATATCTCTGGGTAGGGGAGGAAAGGCCTGAATAACAGTATGTTTTATCATATATATACATATATATAATTTTTTTTTTACCGTCCCAGTGTCGGACCCAATTGGTTTTTTTTAAAGCCCCATCCTAGCTGTTGTCAGGGGCCCTAATATAACTCAACCTATGGGCTGAACAGGGTTTTTGGGACCTGACCCTGTGTGATCCTCATCCCAGTGGTGACACTTTGTGTCACCTGGTGTTTATGGCTCGGTGTGATGTCCAGGTGGTGTTTCATGTCATCAACAGTATGTTTCAACACGTCTGCTCGAGGTGGAGGAGGGAAGACTTTAATCGACTAATTCTCAAATACTTTTCCTTGCAGGTGTGCATTGATCGCTGCTTGAACCGAGGGCTGACTAGCGGCAGAACCGATGACAATGCCGAGAGCCTTAAGAAGAGGTAAGGCTGCATTTCTTATTGTGTATTTTGTTCATACATTTTGGGGGGGGGATGTTCTGTGTGAATGCAAACTGTCACCTCCATCGCACATGGATAAATTCGTCACTCTCATCCCAAGGAAAGTATTAGCATAGTTAATGAACTTTGTAGCACCAGCAAGTCTCCATATATTAGTACACCTGAACCGCACTTTCTTGTACTTTTTTTTAAAGTTTTAATAATTTGCATAGATTTTCTACTTTATGTTGTTGTTTATACATCACAAGTGATGAGGACTCTCTTTATTTCCTCCATCATAAAACTAGTTGTGTGTGACTTGTAAACCCAGTATCGGCCCGGAAGGATCTAGGACAATGGGGGCAGGAAATGCTGGCTGTAGATTAACGGTCTATTATACAGGTCTTTCTGGTCCATCTTTGATGTTCAGCTCCCTTTTTCTAGGTGCCTCTCAAGTTGCTGCGCCTCTTTGGATAGATGTTTGCCATATGGTCTGGTCTTGTGCAGCAGCCCAACATGTGTCAAGGTTTATATTGAAGGCTTGAAGTGAAACCTTTAGCGTGTCCTTGAACCATTTTGTTTTACCACCACGAAGGCATCTGCCTTCTTATATCTGCTCATAAAAGATTATTTTTGGGAGCCGATGGTTTGGCAAGCAGACGAGGTGACCTGTTCATTGAATCTCCTCATGGATGTGGTCAGGGCCCTTCAGGGGCAAGTGAACAGTGCAGAATTATTAATAGATCATTGCAGTGAGTGGAGAATGATGTATCAAGTGATGACAAGGGAATCTGCCCGATACTCTGCACTCAGAGGAAAAGCACACCGGGCATATATTTAGACTGCTACTGGCACCATCAGCATGGAAACTCTTTACTGGCTGCTGAAAGTAAGAACTGAGCACTTATGAAAAAGTCCCCGAGTGCTGTGATGTCGGTTCTTACCTCGGCTCATTTGTTTCAGGTAATCTCAACTGCTTTTAGTAATTCCACACTGATCAGACAGACCTCCAGCCCAGAGCTCAAACATTGAATGACAAACCTGCAACCAAAGTTTGGCTTCACCCCTCTCAGTTCACTACTGTTCAGGGAAGTCCTGGGTTTCCCGACAGCCAGAGACACATCTCTCACAAATTGTTTGGTGTGCTTATTATTTGTCCAGGATTCATCAACATTATACTGCACTTTATAAATAGTTGTTTACTATTGTTGTTGTCAGTTAAATGTTTCTGTTGCAGAATCCAGACGTACAGGGAGTCCACCTTGCCAGTCATTAAACACTATGAAGCTCTGAACTTGGTGTCAACCTGTCTTCAACCTCAGTGTGTAGCATAGTCACCTGTCTTCAGTGTGTAGCATAGTCATCTGTCTTCAACCTCAGTGTATAGCATAGTCACCTGTCTTCAACCTCAGTGTGTAGCATAGTCACCTGTCTTCAACCTCAGTGTATAGCATAGTCACCTGTCTTCAACCTCAGTGTGTAGCATAGTCATCTGTCTTCAACCTCAGTGTATAGCATAGTCACCTGTCTTCAACCTCAGTGTGTAGCATAGTCACCTGTCTTCAACCTCAGTCTGTAGCATAGTCACCTGTCTTCAACCTCAGTGTATAGCATAGTCACCTGTCTTCAACCTCAGTGTATAGCATAGTCATCTGTCTTCAACCTCAGTGTATAGCATAGTCATCTGTCTTCAACCTCAGTGTGTAGCATAGTCATCTGTCTTCAACCTCAGTGTATAGCATAGTCACCTGTCTTCAACCTCTCTGTAGCATAGTCACTTCTTCAACCTCAGTGTAGTAGCATAGTCATCTGTCTTCAACCTCAGTGTATAGCATAGTCACCTCATCCTCAGTGTATAGCATAGTCACCTGTCTTCAATCTCAGTGTGTAGCATAGTCATCTGTCTTCAACCTCAGTGTGTAGCATAGTCATCTGTCTTCAACCTCAGTGTGTAGCATAGTCATCTGTCTTCAACCTCAGTGTGTAGCATAGTCATCTGTCTTCAACCTCAGTGTGTAGCATAGTCATCTGTCTTCAACCTCAGTGTATAGCATAGTCATGTCTTCAACCTCAGTGTAAGCATAGTCATCTGTGTTCAACCTCAGTGTAGCATAGTCATCTGTCTTCAACCAGTGTATAGCATAGTCATCTGTCTGTATAGCATAGTCATCTGTCTTCAACCTCAGTGTTCAAGTCTCAACCTCAGTGTGTAGCATAGTCACCTGTCTTCAACCTCAGTGTGTAGCATAGTCACCTGTCTTTCAACCTCTGTCTTAGTCAAACCTCAGTGTGTAGCATAGTCACCTGTCTTCAACCTCAATCTGTAGCATAGTCACCTGTCTTCAACCTCAGTCTGTAGTGTGTAGCATAGTCATAGTGTCTCTCAACCTCAGTGTGTAGCATAGTCACCTGTCTTCAACCTCAGTGTGTAGCATAGCATCTGTCTTCAGTCTGTAGCATAGTCACTCAGTGTGTAGCATAGTCATCTGTCTTCAACCTCAGTGTGTAGCATAGTCATCTGTCTTCAACCTCAGTGTGTAGCATAGTCATCTGTCTTCAACCTCAGTCTCAGTGTGTAGCATAGTCACCAAAGCATAATAACTGGTATTAGTGTCCACGGATCTTGGTCCCTGGGTTAGGTGTCAGGACAAAATTGTGATCAAGATACTGCCAGTTATTGCCTGTGTAATACCAGGCCTTCAAGGGAGGCAAAGAATGGTAACACTGCACTCTACCAGGCATGTCGTAAGAGGCAACTAAGGGTACGGTTGGGCTTGAGGTTGGCATCCCGTTAAAAAGAAACATGGCCACAAAAAACCAATAAACTGTGGAAAAGTCTAAGAGTAACAAGTAGTACCAGAGAAAAAGAACATTGTCAGACTCCAACTATTGAGAAGAAAAAAAAAGGGGGGGGGGGGGGTATATTGGTAAGGGCTTATAGTACAAATTCATTGCTTATTATCCTTGTATAGAAAGTCACTAATCAGATCAAAATTTGTTGGCCAAAACCACGGTCAGAATCAGTGCAAAGTGCACTGCTGCAACATTTCTGCAGCTGAATCAAACCTGGTATGTTGCAAATGTGAACCTGCTTTTGTAACTTTTACTGATAATGTTCTTTATGACATACAGTTACGTGCCTGCTTGTTCCTTCTCATCTTATCTGTGTCCGCAATTATTTCATTTGTTTATTCTGAATAAATGACCAGGTGACTCAGTGATGCGATCTGGGTGCAGGTGAATCATTCAGTTCAACTACTTCTAGCATGATAATGGAGAAAGCAGCTGTCACAAGGGCACTTGCAAGGCTGGCGGAACAGAAAGACTCATGCAATATGGCAGATTCAGTTAGCATGCTAAAGAAGATTCAAACTGACAGACTCTAACTATAATGGGTTGGCAGCATCCAGAAGTCCCACCTCAAGAAACTATGTTGAATGAAAGAGATGACAGACTGGCCGTGTCTGCAGTAGTTAGTGGGGGAAGAAATATGGACAGGGCAGACAGACTGAATGAGCTGTCTCCCAGAGACGAGAGACAAAGAAGTTGGGGGACAATGAACTGCCTGTTGGATATGGGTATTAAATGAGGATACACATGTAGAAACTAGTTGTAGGCTAAAGAAAGAAGATATGCCAGTCTGCTCCTACTGGGAATGCTGAGCATGGAAACAATAGGAGGACAGTGCGCAAATTGGTCGGACATATGTACTATGAAGCTGCTACGGACAACAGGTAACAACTATCTGGGATAAATATTATTGTGTAATATACAGTAATATTTTGTTTTAAACATTATACTTATCAGACGAAAACAACCAAATCCTAATGACATTAATTTTGTTTTGCGCAGGTTTTCGAAGATGTCAAGAAAGTTTTTGAGGCGCTGAAGTGTTGACCGTACAGTGAACGTTAGCTCAACTCTGGCAGGAATCTCCCAGTACTCTACATTTTAAAATATTATTTGTTCTGGTAGCTGCAAGATAATATGCATTGGTTATCTTGCCATTTGGGATTCTTTGATTGGTTGATTATCTTATCATTTCATGCCATCATAGGGAGATTCACTGATTGCTCTAATTCTATTAATGGTAACAAGATTCAGTGATTGTATTTTAAAATGTCATGCATCGTAACAAGATTCACTGAATGTTGTTAATCTCATTACATCATGACAAGGAAACCGTAACACATGTTTTCGGTGTTTTAGATTATGGGTGATTAATATGTTAAAATTATGATTTTATGAGTTGCTAACTTCTCTTTGTTTAATGCCCACTCTTGGCCTCACAGCCGGTTTCCATTTCTCCATCTGCAGTCCTCAGTCCTTTGCTAGTCCATACAATTAAGTTTCTTCAGTCATAATTCCAGTTATTCCCTCATGCATTTTATGACTGCTGTGCTCTCTGTGTCCTTGTCACACATCCATTATTCATCATCATCATCATTGTCCAGTTGGGCCATTATAGGGCTTGCAGTCTATTCTTCCTTTTTGTTCTTTTGTTCAGTTCAATATCATGGATGGAATCCAGTCCAGCACCTTTGACCTCTTCCATGAACGTTTGTTTTAGGGTCTCTTGGGTGTCCTCGCTTCCTCAGTTTTCCATTGCATTGCCTGTTTGATGATTCTCTGCTCGTTTTTCCTTTCATGATGTGTCTAATATAGTACCATCTTCTTTGTCTTATAACATTGGTGACCCTGACATTTTTCTTATTTCTTCACCTCCCCTTGAATTCATCCATTATTGTAAAGCTATTGTGGCTGTATGGGAGCCACCACGCTGGCATGCTTGCTGGATATCGCCTGACAGCCCACAGATCTTGACCATGGCCCCTGCCTAGAATGGGTACCAGCTGATGTCCTGTGAAGTAAAGGGCATTGGCATGACGATAACCTTATCACCCGTCAGTTGCCAGTTGGTCTGTTAAAAGAAAAAAGTTAGTGTGAGTCTGGCACCATATGCCTGATGCACCATTGACATAAAAAAGGTCCTTTACATGTTTGACTAATGTGATATGTGGGTTTTCACGGTGTTGATACTTTATACGTATATATCTGTAGTGTGTTTGTGGCTTCAGGCATTGCAAGCATAATGCCTGGGTGGCGTGTTCATTTCCAGCTGCAGTATTGGTTCCGTTGGTAATGCCGGTTCCGACAGTTGTGCCGACCTTTTAACAAGCGGTGGCAAACTACTGAACTAATTTGCTTTGGAGAAACCGCAACAGCCAAACAATTCTGGGGTTGTTTCCGTAGCCACCTGTAAAGATTCACAACTAACTTCTTTTTTTTTTTAAAATCATGGTTCATTAGGTTTCTGTCATATGTCTTTATCAGGTTTTGTCTATCACCAAGCATAACTGAACCTATTTTCAAATGTCTTCTACTTAGTCAGTCCACAGACAGGTATTGATGTCTCCTAATCATGTCCCTCCTGTGAGTTGCATTCGTAGCAGCTGTTCAGTTCAGCTTTCATCTGTGCCCCAGGCTCATGTGATATTATTTTCCCTTCAAAAAACTTCCTTCTTTTCTCTCGTCCTCCAATATTTAAATTAAAAACTTAACCTCCTTATATAACAGCCAAATACGCGACTTCTTTATAAAAGAAGACTGTCACCGTAGTCATTTCACCATCTTCGAGTTGAATACATGGACATGCTTATATGTGTTTATATATACGCATATATACAAACAGATGAAAATAAAGCTTACATAACCTTGTGGGGTCGGCATAATTGTATATTTGTAAGTTGTGTTCAAACAGTTCATGTAACCACGATGTAATTCCCTTATCATCCAGTTTGACTGTTAATGTTTCACATAATATATTATCAGTGGGTTTCTTGTTAGTGTAGTCAATTAGTTGTGCTTCAATATTGCTGTATACTGCTTTTGCTATTTTTCACTTCTTTGATCATGTTGCATCTTATAAATGAAGCCAAGTTGTCTGTGTTCGTGCATGGTAGCTTGTTCACACGTCGGGGGCCCATGAAGGAAGCAAAGGATTATTACACCAACCTACCATGCATGACATAAGAGGCCACTATGGAAGGTTGGTATGAGATTGGCTACCTCACCCTTTAAAATTCTTTAGCAGCAAAATCCAACTAATCTTAAACCCACACAAGGGGCTTGGCATGCAGCTGGTTAAAGGCCTGTGTCCCATTGGGGGGTGGAATAAATGACAGGGTTTGGTTGATTCCCAGCCAGTGTGGTCATGCAGTACTTTAGCCGTATGGCTATCTTCTTCTGCCTTTCTATCCCCCAATGGAGCATAGGCCCTCAACCAACTGTGGCCATGATTGCTTGTTAACCCTGTCACCCCAAGAGGACGAAATCTAATCACTTTGTGACACAGTCTCACAATGCTAATACGCCGCCATGTCTGCGATGCCCTGTTCTTGACAAACTTATTTAAATTATGTTTCTTTGATCTGTGCCTGCGCAGTGTTTAATAGCCAGGATATGAATATAGTAACTGAAACTAGCTTTAGAAGGTTTCCATACAGCCCCAATGGCTTTTTTTTTAAAAGCAAGTTGTCAAATTTTCCAAATGCCTAAGTGGTAGAGGTCACCGGGTCACATCATATCACCTGATATAGTTTTGTTTTAAGACCACATGGAATGTATTTCATTTAATACTTCATTCTGTTCATGATTATTATTATCTTTTTTATATAGCTTCATATATTTGTTTTATTAAAAAATATATATATATATTTTACATAATAAGTAAATAAATTTGTTGCAGTTTATTAGTGACCTGCTTAAAATTATTGGGATTTTTGTTTTTAAAGACACCCCACCCCCCAACCATTTCTATAGGGTCATTTTTTTTTAGTATTCATGGAGCGAAAGGGTTACAGGTTGTTTTCCTGGAAGTGGGAAGTTGAAAAGGGGTCTGAAAAGTTTAATGTGAGTGCATAGCATCAAAGGATGTTTTGGAAATGTACTGTACGAGGGTACATTGGGGGCACTTAACATATGGTTATGGTGATTTGTTTTAGACAGTTGATTTTGTCAGTCTGTGTCAATTGAGTCATCATCGAAACTCATGTTAGCCACAACACCAACTCATCTACAGTTGACATTCCATGTGCAGGGCGCATATGGTAATGATAAGTATGAACCTAGAACAAAAAGATGATGAGGATAAGAATTGGACACCTCATTTCATATTCCCTATCACACCACACTGCTGTGTCTACATTTACCAAACTATTCTTTTTTTTTATTTTATTCAACTCTTTGAGCCCCAGAGGGTTTAGTATCACAGGTCCAAGGGGTAATCAAGAGAGACCTAAAATCGGCACATCATGTGTTCATTGGGCTTCTAGGCCTATGAACGTATGATGCGTTCTTTGGGACTCAAAGAGTGAAAGATTTGTAATTAAATGTGGAGTTCAGCATATAGTTCATGAAGTTTACATCAAAACTATTTTTTTTGGGTGTGAATATATATTCTATTGAAATTATTCAAACTTTGATGTTAATTTGAAACAGGTACTCAGTATTCAGACAAAGACAGTACTTTACTCTCCAAAATTTCAGCTATTTTTTTTTAAATGTTCTTTATTTGAAAGATGTCTGTAAAAAGTGGGATATAGAAGCCACTGGTTAATAAACGTCAAAGTGGATAAATTATCCATGCAGTTTTCTTGTTATCCTTGTGAATGTTATCATTCACTTGATTGAAGTTTAGAAAGACTAATGTGTTATATTTACATGTTCTGTAGTATGGCTGTGAATGGACACAATGGGAAGAGCCTGGAAGCGTGGTTACTGAGGTGAATTTTGGGAATAAAGTAACAGTCATCATCATAAACCACTTCTGCCGTTAAGCATAATTCTTCTTCTTCTGGCTTTTAACTCCCAATGGAGCATAGGTAACTCACACCAAGTCGTTCTATCCTTCGCTATCGCATGCAACTCTTCCCAATCTTTTATTTTAACTTTACTCTCTAGTTCCATACAATGCGGAGGAGCAGATGGATCACCACAGTTTGGTGAGATTGATGCAGTTGGGGGTGACGAGAGGTTCTGGCAGAAGCTCAAGGCTCAGAGGAAAGGCAAGACAGACATTTAATCAGAAAGCTACTGGTACCATTAGTATCGGAACTCTTCGCTGGCTGCTAAAGATGGAGACGGAGCGCTTATGGGAATGCCCCGGGTGCTGTGATGTCGGTTCTTGAATCAAATCAATCTATTTTCATGTGTTTTTTGGTCCTCCTTTATTGGGAGGAATAATTTGGGATCCAGTGCACACTGGCTGTAGCATGCTGGGAAGGCGTAAAGTTTTTAATATTTTCATGACCGTGCTCTTGCTTTTGTAGCTGACCTGAGATTGAGTGACTGTGAAAGTATCTGATGCTGTATTTCCCCAAGACGAACAGTAGACTTTGTCTATTTCTTGATGAATCTAGTACGAGGTGTCATTTCCATAATCTGCCTGATAGTATCATTATTCACTCGGTCTTGGATGATTAGGTTGGCAGCATTTCTCAGGCATCTCATCTTGCAGGTGGGGATTTTGTGTACACGACCGTAGATAATGTCCATATCTGTCACTTGATTGATTGAAGATACTAACGACAACATTGTACTGTAAGAAAGAGACAGCAGTGTTTTGGTCACATAATAAGAGGGGTATTGAGAAATATTGTTACTGGAAAGATTAGCCGTAAAAAAACCAAATGGAGTGAGAAAATGATTAAGGATTGTCAAACTGGGGCCATGGAGGAAATCGTCATTAGAATTCGTTTAGAATATCCAGACCCAACTAAGGCTAAAGCATGAATATCCTAACTGGAGGTGGGAATTTGATATCTATGACTGGTTCTAAATCTGTTTTTTTTTTTTTCTTTCCAAATATAATAATAATCAAGAAGCAGTGAAGAATGGGGTAACTACATTCAAAGTTTATCTGCCTCTGTTGTAAAGGCAATTTATTAAGTGGTAGATCAATAATTTTAACAATAGCAACACCATGAAACAAGCTGAAATTTAGTCACATTCAAAACCAGGAATATAATACATCAGGGCTTTTTACCTTATTTTACTCAGGAGGCCAAAATGTTGAATATTGGGTTTGTGAGAGGACTAAATCCTAGTGTAGAAAGATCTATAGTAAAATGCACTTGGCAATGATCTGAGAGCCATTTGCTTGGATCAGATTTAGCCCATAGGCTGCCAGTCATTTATACTATATTAAGTTAGTTGTGTGTCCTTTACAGATGTTGCAGAACCAACCCCAGCATATGTTGGTTGTTTGGGTTTACTTCAGTAGTTTGCCACTGCCCCTGAACGGTTGGCTTAAATATTGATTTAGAATCGACATCACAGCACTCGGGACACTACCATAAGCACTCCATCCTCATCTTCAGCAGCAAGCGAAGAGTTAAAATTCTGATGGTACCAGTAACAGTCTGATTGAATATCCGTCTCGCCCCGAGTGTCAGCTAGATCCCCTTGAAACTCCTCACAGTGCCATTCTCCTCAGACCGTAATGATCTATCTGTTCCTCGGCGCTGTTCACTCGCTCCCACAGGGTTCTCACAACACCCAGCTTGTCGTATATCAGTTCACCACCAAGTGGTGCAGAACCGGCCAGTCTTCCCAACACACCAGCGCCACCTGGAGAAAATATCCAAAAATGCCAACTACCCGGGACCTCTGAAGTGATGCTTGCCACTCTGCACGGAGCATGCTTGTCTCCCTCTTTCTCAGCATGCTCTGTGAGTCAGTTATGCAATGATTCTCTGTAATGATGTGTACAGCTAATTCTCAAGCCAACGGAAGGCAGCAGTGACTGCCTCCGCACTCAAACTAGACGTGATATCATATGCCAGGCTTTGTTGCGCCAAGCGATGTCCATTCGCCTTCGCTATGAACCCATATGCACTTCGTCTGCCCCTCAACACAGAGCCATCTGTATATACAATCACATCACTTGGGCGGGAATTCTCATGAATCATTTGTTGAACTTCTGATTCTGCAGCACCAGCTGGCCACTTTGACCCACTCCTCTCCTAAAAATTTATCAAGTCTGCACACGTCGAATTGTGTCGGTTGTCTTGATACCCGTCAACATAAAATATCTACTGCCAAATCACGTAGCACCTGGAAGACATGTCCTTTCGTTGTCCAGACTTCTTCGGTCAGTTTCCCTAATGGTTCTTTTCAAATTAGGGAACCTTTTACTTGCGAATCCCGCAACGTAATTTATGCAATTATCTGCAAACGATGCAGCAAGGCATACATTGGGGAGACTGGCAGGAAGCTAGCTGATCGTTTCCGGGAACACCTCTCCGATATCGACAAGAAGACACTCAAACCAATCCCTCTTCATTTTAATAGCCCTGACCACAGCAGTAAGGATGACATATCTGTCACAGCATTAAAATCTTGCTCTGGCAATCATACTACCCGCCTCGCTTTGGAAAATCGCCTTATCCACAGCCTTGGCGTTCTTAGTCAAGAGGTATCAATATCCAACATACCTTCATCTAAATAGTTCTAATCTTATCACATTTTAAATGTTAATTTTTTTTTATTTTTATTTTATTTCATATTATTACCTTATTCTATTTCTTATCAGTATCATTTATGTATCATTTACACTTGCATTTCTTTTATTCCCAGTATTGTGACTATATTTTTTAGCCATCGTTTATTTTATTTTATTTCATTTATTCCGCATCACATTTTTTTAAACGTCGCTCACGTCACCCCTTAGAGATCTACATACTCTCCACTCCTCGTTTGTGTCTTTCACTTGTGTTTGAAAAAGGCTGCCTGGCCGAAACGTTACGTTGTGTTGTGCACGTTTTCCTCTTTCCCATTTTGTTGAGCTTTTTAGTCAAATTTCTCTGGAATTCATTGCCAAATTACCTGCAGCTGGAATCGAACAGGGCACCTCTAAATTACGAAGCTCATTTACAACGCCAAAATAAAAGACATGAAGGTAGAAATCGTCAACGTGTTTAAGAAAGAATAATCCCTACAATAAAAAATAAAAATTTAGAACAAGAGTGCACTGATTATAGAAGTCCCCGTGTGGGTTTCGGGGCCCTATTATAGGGGAAAGAACAGACTCACTGCCTACCCAAAAGCATGTCGTAAGAGTCAACTAATATGGAGCTTCTTTCGAAGTCTGAGTGCATCTGCCCAAGAGGCAAGAAACCAGCAGTCTGCATACAAATGTATCAGATCTGTAAAACGGATGCACATGCAACACTCGCATTCTGGAACAGGACTGCAGTCCAAAAGTGGATGAACAACCAGAACTGTCCGCCAGAGTTTACAGCTGGTAAACGCGAAGAAGAAACGTAATTGAAAGAAGCTAAAAACTATTAGAACGGGCAGATATTGCAATATTTACATTAATTCAGCTGACAATGCAAACAGAGCATGACTTGCATTTTATGGACTAGGACAATGCTATCTACAGAGAAGAGAAATATATTCTGGAATTCCGCAAGTACCGGAGGAACATGAAAATCAAGAGTACGGCAAGGACGTGTGTTAATACATCATGCATGTTGGATTCAAAATTCTAGATGCATTTGAAAACGATCAAGTATTAGCAGCAGAAACATGTGGCTTAGAAACATGAAAATAAGCATTTGAAAGAGTACTAGAACACGTTTCAACAAATAAATTCAAGTCAAGAAATTTAAAAATTCACAAGACAATTCAGAAGATAGCCATTAGAAAAGAACAAGCTACCAAGTGAGGCGATCATAAACAGTATTAATCAGCATGTGAATAGACCAAATCATAATGAAAAACAAAACACGTGGTTATATTTCAGCAAGAAGTCAAACTTCTAGAAAGCTGGGTGGCCCTGAAAAGGACCGTTGATGGTTAAGCTAAAATGTGAAGTCTTAAAACTCCTGGGACTGTGAAGATGCCTTGGTGGACTTGCCGGTGCTGGCAGATGCAGACTTCTTGGGTAAGAGAACTGCCTGGATGTTTGGCAGAACACCACCTTGAGCGATCGTGACTCCCGACAACAACTTGTTCAATTCCTCGTCGTTTCTAATCGCCAACTGCAGATGTCTGGGAATAATTCTGCTCTTCTTGTTGTCCCGAGCAGCGTTACCGGCCAATTCTAGAACTTCGGCAGCCAGATATTCCAGCACGGCGGCTAGATACACTGGGGCTCCGGCACCCACACGTTCAGCATAGTTGCCTTTGCGGAGCAGACGATGAATTCTACCGACTGGAAACTGGAGTCCTGCGCGTGAGGATCGGCTCTTTGCCTTGGATTTTGCTTTACCGCCTTTTCCTCGTCCAGACATGATGACAGATTATCGAAAGCGTGTTCTTCTTGTGTGAAAAATTCAAAGAATGAAATTTCGGCGCAATTCTTGATGTTTTATACCATAGTTTGTCTGTTTAACCGGAAGTTCTAAGAAGCCAATCAGAGACACGATTCAATTTTCTACAGACCAATCGTAAGCTGTTTTACATATCAAAATTTTGTTAGTGCTCTCCCTTCGTGTCGTTATTATTTTACTTACACGTTTTCGCATTCTTATCGCGTTTAACCCACTTCCCCCCCCCACTTTGCCAACCAGTTTACTTATATTATTTATTTTCTTTCTCACCTTCTTTTTATTGACAATGCACATTTATGCATTTAAAAACAAACGAGAAACTTTCAACCGAATTATTAGTTTTGTAGTTTCTAATTTCGTGTTTAATTAATTCAGGACGCAAAATCCCTCTTCCTTCGAATTATGAAAAAATAGCAACTTTATAGCTTTCAAAAGCTGTTTTGTTTAAAAAAAAAAAAGACTGATATATTGTGAACGACAATAATTGTGTTCTCGAACTCTGAAATAATAAACTAAACTTAAGAGTTCAAAAGTAGCGCCCATTTAAAACATATATCACATTGACTGTCACGTGACCCAACCGCCAATTTCTTATTGGCTTCAAAGAAGAAATGTACCATACAGTAGTTACAACTGAAACAACAAAATCTCAACTCATATTTTTGTAACTCATTTATCAGAACTGGGAAGCAGCCCAAGCAACATGAATTAACTAACCCTGAACTTAGATAAACCAAACATGGAAACTCAGCTAATATTTAAAAAAAAAAAAGTAACAGCAGTTCAGCTGTTAACGAGAAAATACAAACTACGTGCTGGTTTTATACAAAATGGACAACAATCATTGTGCTAATGAAATAAAGCGATCAATAGTGTTTTACAGTATTACACTACGAGGGATGGAGTTGAAATACATAACCAGGGTTTTTCCATCTAATAAAAAAAATGTGCTGGTAGTTAACAACAATGTGTCAGAAAGAAAGTACTTGTCTTCACTACATAACTACTGGACGTAAATTTTCCTAGAAAAACCACACAACAGCCAGGGGCTGTTAGGGTTGGTTCTGCAACGCTCTTTACTACATTGTCGATCACAGTGGCACTGACATCCCTCCCCCCCCCCCCCCTCTGTTGGTTCTGCGTATCGCCTTGGAAAACCCCATATGACTGAACCCTATAGCGTCATATCCATTGTTGCAGTCACGAAGAATCTTCTCAGGTGTTGGGTCTGTAGCAGACACGAGCAGTCATGCAGGCAAAAGCTCCAGAACCTGGGGGAAGCAAACACTTTGTGCGCCCCCCCCCCCCCCCACCACATTGGGGATGGGAGCGTGGGTGAGCCGCCACTAGAAAACATTTGAGGGGGAAGGGGTTGAGCGGCCCCATAAACATGTGTAAAAGTTCTCTGTAAGTATTCGTTGCTACATTTCATATTTATTCTGATCTATTATTATACTTATTCGCCATTCATCGTCATCATTTTATTATTACGTCACGTGTCTTAGGACACTTTGAAGCCCCCTCGCCATAGAATTTATAGGGATTCTGAGATTCCCTCTGCTCCCGTTCATTGCAATGTTTTCATTGTATCAATCACCCCCCCCCCCCCCCCCCCCACGATTCTTCTGTTATTATTTTTCTCTCTCATATTGTGATGGGGTTAAAGCTGCGTACCATCCTTGTGTTTTTAAAACGGCAGTAAAAATAGTAAGATGAACCCACCGTGCGTATATGTCGTAACAGGTAAATATTTGAGGTTTTGAACAACGGATCAACATCACGGCACACGAGTGTGCCCACAAGCGCTCTGTTCTTCTAACTCAAGTCTGAGGCCGAAAAAGCTCAGCAGAGTGCACAGGCTCTGTAGCAACGGCGAGGATCCTGAAATACTTAAGGTAGATTTTTAACTCCTCATTTTGCCCGGGCGACCCTGTAAGGCTACTCTTTTCGATTTCCAACTACCAATGGGTTTTTTTTTTACGTGCGCAGCATTGCACACGGGCGTCCGATCTCACTACCCAGAGACCAGGGGGAATTGCTAGAAGTCCAAGTCCACGTGAAACAAATCCCAGCCCTTACCGGGGATTGAAACCGGAATCTCTAGCACTCGAGGCGGACACCATGCCTCGAGATCACATAGCCCCCATACCAGGTAAATAAATAGGGTTGGTGTAAGATTCATTAGATCAACAATCGGGACACAATTTACAGGGCTCGAGACGTGAGTTGGTTGAGGACATATGCTCCCCTGGAAAACACAAGGCAGAAGAAGAAACATGTTGATTACATTATTATTTGTTGCTGAGTTGTTTATAATTTCAAAATAAATCTTTCACTGTCTTCATTTGTCTGATAAAATACCACTGCTGTGTGAAAAGTGGGTGTTTGGAAGGGCTGAATGTAAGACGGGCCTGCTGCCCAATGTTTAACTCTTTAAAAATAAAGTTTGTTCGTTCGTTTTGGGGGTCATGGCAGCAGAGAAGGTAGGATAGAGAAATCTCATCCTTGAGTGAGGTGTTCATCCTTACAATACAGTCGGCAGGGGTTTTGGGGGGATATTTAAACAAATTCAAAATGAAATTAGCCATTTGTTGGAGAGTGCCAGGCACGCGAACGCTAAGAAAAAGAAGAACAAGAAGATTGGGTCTTCAGAACTGTATTCTGGAGGGCAAATGTTCCACCTGGTTTTAATAGCTGCCTTCATAGTGGTTTTATTCTCTTTTATGTTTTGACCCTTTTTGAAATTGTACTTTAGTTATAAAGGATTCACTTATTTGCTTCATTTATGTAACTGTTACTGTAGTATGCACCTGATGAGATAAGCGAAATATGCCAGGCAATAAATTGTGTAATCTATTGTTTGTGTCTTCTTTGTTCAAATTTATTCTATTTATTAGTGTATTCCATATCTAGGCTGTTTTGAATTGCTCACAATTTCCCCAAGGACTCTGCTCTTTCATTTCGTGTGATACTGCACTGCCATGGGACCTGTGTGAGAACAGTCTGCAGTATTATATGTAACTTCGCCAAAACATCTGATGACAGTCAGCATCAGAAAGTCTTGATTGCTGATCTGCTAAACCAGGAACCAAAAGAAGAAGTAGAAGCTGGAGAAAATATAATGGATCAGTTCAGGCACTGCTCGATGACATCTTCTTCTTCTTTTCTTCTTTTTCTTTAGCATTCCGACCCCTTGAGGTTCATTGCTGCAGATATCACCCACCTCCATTATTCTCTATGGCTGGCCCCCTCTTTCCAGTTGGTGACACCAAGTGTTTGCAGGTCTGCCTGGATATTATCTCTCCAGCGTCTTCTCAGTCTGCCTCATGATCTACGACCATTCATTTCCCTTGTGTATACAGTTTTTACTTCTCCGCCATCTGAAATTCTCTCAATATGCCCCAACCATTTCAGTCTATTAGCTCTCATGATGCCAGTGATCAATGGTGATTTAAACAGATTATGAATTTTGTTGTTGCTTCTCACTCGATGACATCAGTTGACTTCATTCAGTGATAGTTTTTCCACAATTTAGAATCAGCAACATGGCAGACGACCAGGCTAGTTAAGAAGCAGACATACTTGTATTCATATCAAGAACTACCAAAGACATAATAAATTTATGTTATTGATTTATTCATTCACATATCATAGACAAATGTAAAAAATATTTCCATAATTATGAGCTTAACATTGATAAATGCATAAATAATAACAATAATTTTCTTCATGAGCATAAATTGAGGCCACACACTGGGATCATTTTCTCCTATTTAGCTTTATAATTTGCTGAGTTATTCATTAGTTTATTGAGCTTACCACTGCTCCCAATTCACATCTCTAAATGACATTAATTTGTATTAGACCACTATCTCTAATTAACATTTCATCCATTCATTAATTAAGTGCACAGCAGTGTTCATGACTTTGACACCAGAAACCAAGAAGTGTATCTATAAATTTTGTGAATGAGCTGCTGTCTTTAAATAATGTATATGTGTGTTTGCGTGCATGTAGGTAGGCACCTGTTAGAGTGTGTTGGTGCACATGCATCTGTATGTTGCATTTATATATATCTATATATGTGTGTGTGTGTGTGTTTGGGCATGTTTTTGCTAATATAGACTCACCTATATTAATTTTGCATGTTTCATTTTCCATATGATCCTCCCTCCTTCAAGTTTCATTTTTAATACTTGCCATATTTAATCAAATTTGTAAATTTTGTTTGGATTGTGATATTTTGGTTTCAGGCAAAGTGAGTGTTCTTTCAGTAAGTTTTTCAGTGTTTTCTGCTGTTCTATCAAATCAATCAAGTTTATCTGTATGTGTCTTAATTTACCAAGCTGCCCAGTCAAATGCCATGTTCACTCATCTGTCATTGAAGAAGGCACAAATATAACAGATATAGAAATCAGAGCCGGCAAATATATATATCCGAAGTTAACTATCAAAGCATTGTTATCTACTGAACAATACTAGATTGTAAGAATACCATAAATATACATATTTTTATAAGTGTATATTATTCTAAACTTTGATATAATTATTTTATTAATTAAATAATGTGTTGCTTTTTCTTTTATTCTAATAATCAAATTCACAATTATTCACTTTTCACATGGGAAGCCATGTTTCTATTTTAACTCACATTGCCATCTGAAATCATTCACATTATCATTCATGTGACCCACACCAACAGCCTGCTGTTGTGTGAGAAAGCTCAAACTTGGTCAAAGCAGGTCATCATGTAGATTTCACTCATATTTAAAAGTATAAAAATAACCTTGTAGTACATTTGAAATGAGCGAAATACGTCAATATTCAATATTGGAATACATTTCAAAATAAAAATAACCTTGTAGTACATTTGAAATGAGCGAAATACGTCAATATTCAATATTGGAATACATTTCAAAATGATATGGCAAATGTAATGCTTAGAAATATTTTTGACAAATAAGTAATAGATACATTGCAGTTAAGATCTAACACACAAAAAATGAATGACCATGGTAGCACAGTGATTAGTGAGCTTATCTACCAGCCTGATAATCTTGTGTTCCAATCCTTGTGGACTTCTAGGTTGACCCAGTCTCAAATAGGACCTGGAAGTGGTCTGGTAAGTAAAAGTAACCAGTGTGATATTTACGACAACACTTGCTGAGTGCTGCAGTAAATGTATGCATGACAAGTTGGATGTTTTGGGTGTGAGTGAGCGCTGCGGAGGCACGAAGAGAAGGATCATCATGGTCTGAAGAGAATGATGCAGCGAAGAGTGGCCAGGGGATCTGGTTGATGCACAACACTCAGAGGAAAGGCAAGATGGGTATAATCAGATTGTTAATGGTAAAATCGGAACTGGAACTTTGTGCTTGCTTGTTGAAGATACCTTCTCATGTTTCTTTTCAGCTTTAAGTAAAGTAAAAATCCATTTTTATGCCTTTAGGCACATCAGGCAATTGGGAATGGATGCCATATTTTTTTTAGACTAATTAGCACCAGGTGGGTAATATGGTCAGAATTATGCCGACTATCTTTACTTCCCCAGGACACACATCCTAGTACTTATTTTAAGCTGGGTCGACCTGCATACCATGATAAAATCCACACAGCCAGCAGTGGGTTTCGTTGGAATTACCAGTCAGACTCCTGAGCCATGGATTTTCAGCTTAAAAATTAAAAAAATATATATTTCTATTCTCCATATAAATTTTTTTTTAAAGGGTTGAAAAAAAGTTGGTGGCATGTCTTTTTACAGCACTTTGTAAAGCAACCACAGCTTTTGTTGACTTGTTTAATAAGGAAATTGTTAGGTTCAGCTTGCTGAATGGTTGGTGTTCATACCATTGTCACAGATCAAATCCAGGATGCTGGTTTTAGGAATTTTCTTTTTAACCATCATCATACGGGGACATCAAAAAGGTGTCTCTTATTAATAAACAATGTGGCAAAAAGCAAGCACATGATCTTTTCTGAAAGTGAAGCCAAGAGAAACAAACATTTATGAACCACAGCATTAGAATCTAGAACAAATATAACAATTGTAAGATTTGAACAAATGCATGAAACACAATGTGAAGGTTCACATAACACTGAAGCAACAATACTGAGTCAAATCCCTACAGGAAATGAAACATCTATTGATAAAAACAGTGACTAGAACACAAGATGATTATTTGCATCCTGGCTCATGGAAAATTAATAAAGCTAAAACAGTAAAACTGTGAAGTAAATACAACTAGATAATATGCCTATGGGTACACAAACAATTGTGTCTAATAGCTAGGTAGCATATTAAATAAACGACATTGCAATTTATGTGTATATGAAGTTGCATAGTGACTAAGAGCATATGTGAAATAAATAAACAGATACTTATTATTTATGCATTCAGAAACAGCTGACAAAATGAAGATAGCTGAGTGATAACATATGATGAACATACACATAAGTGAATGGAAACATGAACAGTATAAATATAATCATCTGTTGAACACTTGTAGCCTTGCAACTGACGTTTAACACTGGCCATTTAACATCTTCTAAGATCACACAAAATGTTGTTTACAACTGTGAATATCCCATGCAACAAGAAATGGAATGAAATTTCATAGGCAAATTCTTGCAGCCACAATGTGTGGAAACTAGGTTTCAAAATTACTTATGTATTTCATAGATTACTTATAGGTTTGAAACATTACTTATAGGTTCATAATCACTTACAGGTTTCATGCATCACTCATAGGTTTCATACATCACTTATAGGTTTCACATACATCACTTATAGGTTTCATACATTACTTTTAGGTTTATACATCACTTATAGGTTTCATACATTACTTATAGGTTTCATACATTACTTATAGGTTCATATATCACTTACAGGTTCATACATCATTTATAGGTTTCATACATCACTTATAGATTTTAAACATTACTAATAGATTTCATACTTCACTTAAAGGTTCATACATCACTTATAGGTTTCATATATTACTTATAGGTTTCATGTACTGCTGATAGAGACGTCTGGCGATCTCTCTGGCAAACCTCTACACCCTAAAGTAGAAGAGGAGTGACTAAGTAAAAGTAAGAAAGTAAGTAAGGTTCATGCACCACTTACAAGCTTCATACATTGCCAACAATCTGACAAACACTAGCGCTTGTGTGTTTGTGTATGTAATGTACTATATTCATATTTAATTTGACTGTTTATAAAGTTATTCTATAAACAGTTTTTTACACTCATGATGTGTGATATCCTGAAGTCAATAATTCCACGCTAGTGGAATGATTTGTTCTCATCTAGGTTACACATCCATGTTCCTCCTTCCGTCATTTATCCTCAAGCAGAGCATAGACTCTCAATGAATACCAAGTTGTCTCCTGTCCTTTGCCAACAGGTGCATCTCAATCCTTGTCCTCCCCATACTATATTACGTATAATTAAAATGCACATATTGTATTATTAGCCAGTATTGTAATTCCTATAAAATGTCGCATTAATACGTTTTTGTAAATAAAGTTTGAATATTTGACTGAGTAAAGTTATGTGTTCTTTACCTTCTCAATCATAAAATGTAGATTTGTAACTGGCAGAAATTATGGGATATTAAACTATAAAGAAATCCATTTGCTGGTTTTTAGAATGAAACAGCACAACAGAATTTTAGGATGTTAGAAACTATTTTTTATAATACAATACAGTGTTGTTACTGACAGTATATAGTAAAATAAAATCACCGGCTCATGTAAACCTTGTTGTTGGCATCAAAGTAACCAATCTTTCTCCATATTTCTCATTATATCTGTCTCTCTCTAACACTCTTTTTCTCTCTTTATCTTGTTCGCTTCTTCTTACGTACAAATTGAAGCATACATATGTATTTGGAATTCCACTGGTATAAAAAATTCACATAATAATTTCAATATAATGGTATATTTACATATTACCATATTTATACAAAGCAAATGAGTTTCAAATTCAACATTTTGAATATTTTACTTTATAAACGTATTTACAGATATATAAATACAAAAGACAACATGTAAAAGATTCTATTCTTCTGGCAACATACCTTAAGTAATTTATAACAGTTCTTTTCTATTCCTTTGGTTTTCCAGTCTTTTTTATTAATATAAGCTTTTCAGTCCTTATTTTTGTTAATTATTTCCAACTGCATAACTCTCTTGATCATGGACTCACAAATTACAATTGTACAAACATTCTTTGGGAGTAAACAGGATTTTAAACAGTAATTTGTTTACTGCTCTCGGTTAATTTATAACTTTCTGCAAGTCAACAAAGAGATGACCGGAAATGACTTATAGAAATACTGGAATGGAACCCAGGCCATGTACTGTGTGGAATTGTAGTGTCTCAGCCACTGGAGCCACTCTAAGTTAAGTTTGGTAAATTGAGTTTTTTTAGCTGTTTTTGTAAGAATTAACTCCTTCAGATTTATAGCACTCATATTTGAAAGTATAATCCTGGACAGATAAGAGTTGCTTATGTGGTGTCTTGCTGCCTGAACATGTCTGAGAGTTAATTTATTTGTTTGATTTATGAGAAGAGACTGGGGCACTTACTGGAGTATCTAGGGGTGAGGAAAGGGAGACTTTACAAATTAAATCAAACTTTGTTTGCCATGTCATTTATCAAGAGTACACAACATATTTCACTCTCACCGGGTACTGCTTCAACAATAACATATCCATGGTTATCTAGTATATACACTTTTTTTTTCTCAAGTGGAACACATGGTACTTAGAACAATAGTTTGCCATAGTAGTTTCTTCATAATATCAAGAATAAAGTCCATGGAGTACAGAAATAAACAGTGGGATGGGAATAAACAGAGGAGGTGAATAAACAATCCACACAGGACAGAAATAAACAGAATCCACACAGGACAGAAATACAGAATCCACACAGGACAGAAATAAATAGAATCCACACAGGACAGAAATAAACGGTCCCTGCAGGACAGAAATAAACAGGGTCCCTGCAGGACAGAAATAAACAGGGTCCCTGCAGGACAGAAATAAACAGGGTCGCTGCAGGACAGAAATAAACAGGGTCCCTGCAGGACAGAAATAAACAGGGTCCCTGCAGGACAGAAATAAACACAGGGTAATTACATAAAGTAAAGGACTCTCTTTAACACCTTCAGGAACACTAGGCATTTTTATAACTAAGACCTGTATTTGAAAAACCAATCAGCATTCAGTGGGTGACGTGTCAGCATCACGCTGGCCACCTTTACTTCCCAGGACTTTACCAGGTACATATTTAAGGCCCACTGACCTGGAAGCCAAGGTCACTTTTGTAAAAAGTTTGTCTTTATTTGGATCTGAATCCATGACCTTCCGATTCGCAGGCAAGCTTCTGGTTGCTAGGCAACAGTGGCTTCCATAATTACAAAAACACCCAGAAATATATCAGTTGCTGGGGAAATAATTACACTAAAATAACAGGATAAACAGATAAACAAGTATTGATCAAGTAGCTGGGGGCATGCTTTGAAGTCAGAGTGCGTTTGCCTGAGAGGCAAGGAACCAGTAGTCTGCATACAAATAAGCCAGATCTGTAAAACACTCAGGATCTGGAACAAGACTACAGTCTGGAAGCTGACGAACAGCTGGAACTTTCCATCTGAGTTTATGGAGAATGCAAAGAAGAAGAATTACTGAGATAAAATCCAGCAGAAAAAAACCAGGAAAACCATTCTGAATAAACAGATTAATCGTAAAGCTACAAAGCGAGTTATTTTAGGACAAAGCAAGGTGTAAGAGAAAGGGGACATTATCACAGACAGAGAGGCATTGCGAATCTAGATCCGAAGGGAATGAATAGTAAGCAGTGGTGCAATATTTACAGAACAAGCAATGATGGAAGTAGATTCAGCTTACAGTACTTGAGCTTTGCAAGCTTGTGAGGCCAAAAACTGAACATAAAGGAAGAATGTACTATTTGCGGTACATTAATTAACTGGTAATGAAAATACTGCTGCAGTCGGCAATATTTTCTGTGACATTAAATTCACTCATCTACTGTAAACATTTTCTAATTATCATTCAAAACACTTCCATGTTAGAATCTGTTTTAGCAACAACACTGTCATGTACATTCATGCAATATATACATTGTGCTAACCAGCAGCCAAACCGTTGTATCTGCGCCACCGGCACCCAAGCTAGACTTGAGCTGGCTCTAATTCTGGTTCTGAGATGAAGTCTTGTTTCTTCTTCAGCAAATCATTCAAGGCACTGCTGCATTCTGTTACATGAATCTGTAGACAGGGGCAGACAAGCAGAACATAATGATGGCGTTGATAATTTTATTCATGAATTACTTCCCCCTCTTTTTCCTCTTTGCTTTTCCTTAAAATTCTATTTTGTTATTATATAATGTGTTTTGTTGTTTAATACTGTATTGTATTGTACTGTATTATCTTGAGTTCCATTTTATTATAATTAAATGTCAGTCATTCAATAAACTTGTCTTTTACAGAATTATTCTTTCTTCACGGCATGCCAGAAAAGTCTCTCTTTGTCTAGCCAGTTCTCCGGTCCTCCTTCAAAGCCAGTGCATCTTCAATGTCCTGTAACTACCTTCATGGAAGTCGACCTCTCCTCACTTTCTGGAAATTGCACCCTCCATCAGTTTTCACACCAGATCACCACAGCGTTTGACGCGACTAAAATACCTCAGCTTTCGGGACATGATGTTGTTTATGAGTTATTTCTCCTTGGTCTCCTCGATGTAATGTATTGTAAATGTAATGTATTGTAAATGTAATGTATTGTAAATGTAATGTATTGTAAATGTAATGTATTGTAAATGTAATGTATTGTAAATGTAATGTATTGTAAATGTAATGTATTGTAAATGTAATGTATTGTAAATGTAATGTATTGTAAATGTAATGTATTGTAAATGTAATGTCAGTAAATCATCAAAAATAAACACTAGAATCGGCCGGCCTGATGCTGACCACATCACCCATCTAGTGCCGATTGGTCTATAAAAATATAGGTCTAGCCCTATATGCCCTATAAGCCTAAAGGCGTGGACAAGGGTCCTTTACTTTACTTTGCTTAACTAGAATACAGTTGCCAGTGACAAAATTAATAATATGGCTAAAAAGCCCCCATCAGCACACACAAACACGAAGGCTGGCAAAACATTTCAGTATCAAAAATCTCTTTCTGACACACACTGACAGTGAATTATTATGTAACATATTTTTAATTTTTAAAAAAAGTTTATTTATTGTTTGTTTCTTGTTGGGTCATTTATACTCCGCATCTCTGTCACACAACTGCCACTTGAATCCATTTGGGATTTTTCATAGAAAGCATTACATTTACCATTTTGATTATGTTACTATTTTTCCATTGTTATAATTATTTCACTGACTGGACAGATGCTTTCATCTTCTGGGGCTGGTCAAGCCAGCGTAAAGGGAAATGAGCGAGCGAACCAACTGGCAAGTACTGGAGAAATGCATGCCGGAAGATGCATGGACAGAGCAGATAACATCAATACTATACGGACTGGGCTAGTGGATAATGACAAATCTCTAACACTAAAACAGTTGCGTGACATGGGAGTAAAGCATGACGAAGCATGTCTATGCCACCGTCGAGGCCGAGATAGGAGACATTATAACCAACCTCTCACAGGAACAAAGAGAAGAAGAACCTTGGAGTGGCTGCAGCATTGGGGAACTGAGCACAGATTGTGATGAGATCACTTCTGGTACAGATAAAATGTGCAGCATTTGCTGTAAATATTTTTCACAAATTACCTTTGATCTCATTTCTAAAAATTGAGCCAGGTCATTTAGCAGTATTTGTTGTTCGCATTCACCAATTGTAAACTCCGGCAACAAGTCCTGGTTGTTCATCCCTGTCTCGACTTTGGCTTTGTTACATTATTTGAGTTTTGCATGTTTATCCTTTTACAGATCTGGCTAATTTGTGTGCAGTCTGTTGGTTCCTTTGATTTCAGGCAAATGCAGTCCAATTTTGAAAGAAATTAGCAATGCAATGCAATACTCTGTCTACAATGTTAAACATGAACTCACCATAAAAGTACTGCTACCGAAGTATGGTCGCTCAGCTGACCCATCATTCAAGTCTCGATCTTCACAGAAGCACAACAACAGTGCATGGAGAATCATCTAAAAATTGGCACAAAAATGAATCAATCAGATTTAATTAAGCACAATCAGTTGTATACATGAAAATAAACAAAGAGCTAGATACGGACATAGTAACTGTAGCGTTGGGAGTATACCAGTTGTGTACATGAAATAAGCAAAAAGCTAGATACAGACATTCTCACAATAGACACTGCCATCGATGTGTGAAGTGCTATACCTTCACTTATTCTGTGTCAGGGGATCACGAGATAGGGTGTCCATTTCCTACCATCTTTTCTTCCAGTTTTATGAGAACTGGCTCAATAATCACCGTCTACACTGTCTAAACTGTCTACACTGTCTATTCTGTCTATAGTTATCACTTTTTGGGGTGGTGTAAGACAGAGATGCATTCTCTCTCCATCCTTGTTTAATCTGTATGCTGAAAATATTGTAAGAAATGCTATAAGTGAGGAGGCTTGTGACAGCTTCGATCCACTTAAAACTGGAGGTAGACACATCCCACAGCTTAAAACTGGAGGTAGACACATCCCAGAACTTAAAACTGGAGGTAGTCACATCCCAGAACTTGAAACTGGAGGTAGACACATCCCAGAACTTAAAACTGGAGGTAGACACATCCCAGAACCTAAAACTGGAGGTAGACACATCCCAGAACTTGAAACTGGAGGTAGACACATCCCAGAACTTGAAACTGGAGGTAGACACATCCCAGAACTTAAAACTGGAGGTAGACACATCCCAGAACTTAAAACTGGAGGTAGACACATCCCAGAACTTAAAACTGGAGGTAGACACATCCCAGAACTTAAAACTGGAGGTAGACACATCCCAGAACTTAAAACTGGAGGTAGACACATCCCAGAACTTAAAACTGGAGGTAGACACATCCCAGAACTTAAAACTGGAGGTAGACACATCCCAGAACTTAAAACTGGAGGTAGACCATCCCAGAACTTGGAAACACTGGAGGTAGACACATCCCAGAACTTAAAACTGGAGGTAGACACATCCCAGAACTTAAAACTGGAGGTAGACACATCCCAGAACTTGAAACTGGAGGTAGACACATCCCAGAACTTAAAACTGGAGGTAACACATCCCAGAACTTAAAACTGGAGGTAGACACATCCCAGAACTTAAAACTGGAGGTAGACACATCCCAGAACTTAAAACTGGAGGTAGACACATCCCAGAACTTAAAACTGGAGGTAGACACATCCCAGAACTTAAAACTGGAGGTAGACACATCCCAGAACTTAAAAATGCAGGTAATGAAGTTCTCCTTTCCAACAGTGTGCAAGGATTAGGAAAAATTAATTTTTCTGTCAAAAAGCCCGGTAAAGAGAGAATGTATTCAAGAATCTGAACAAACAAAAAACTTGATTAATATCCAGAGTGAACACAGCACACAAACCACGTATTAAAAGCGACAATGAAGATATTGAAAATGTCAGATTTTTTACAGTTAGGCTCAATAAGGAACAACTATGGCCACTGCACAAAAGAAGTCAGGGAAAAAAAACTTGCTGTAGCAATGCACAATCTAAACAGCAAAAAGAACTTTTTGAGATCTTGCATCTTTTCCGTGGCAACTTACGGATGTGAGTCGTGGACTCTTAATTCAGTCTTTTTACTCTCAACTCTTTTTAATTTAATGGCCAATATTTTAACTAGATCAGCGGAGTTGCTACGGGCACCAAGATGGAACCGATCTATGTCTGCCTTTTTATGGGCTACCTCGAGCATCAGATACGTAATGCCAATATGGGTAGGCTCCCTGAGCTATATCGATAACTGCATCGGTGTCAACGATATGCCCCTACCTGAGCTACAGGAATTCATTCTTTTTTTCTCCAACTTCCATCCAAGCATCCGATGTACTTCCAGCATTTCACCATCGTTGCCTATTTTCTGGATCTCACTGTCACCGTGGATTCTGAAGGCCTCATCACCTCTGTGTACTATGTGCCTACTGATTCCCATGCTTTTCTTCTCTACACGTCCTCTTATCCCTCTTCATGCAACGACTCCATTCCTTTCTTCCAGCTTCTACCCCTTCCCACACTATGCCAGGAGAACGACGACTTTCACAAAAATAGCCTAGAAATGTTGAACTTCTTCCAGTTTCAGGGGTATCCTGAAGATGTCTTTTCTGCTGCTTTTCAGCGAGCACGGTCTATACATCATGCTGAGGCTCTTGTTTCCAAGCCTAAATGTCACCACAACAGACCTATTCTCATTTTCACATACCACCCTCACAAAATCCGTGCCAAAAACATTCTCCTCAGGCGTTTTTCCATCCTTAGTTTTGACCCTGCCACTAGCATGATTTTCTCTGAACTTCTAGTGGCCTACAGATTGACCATAACCTCAAAGTCAAGAGTCGGTTACGTCCTGCGTCTGAGTCCCACTTCGGGACAGTCTCATGCCACAAACCTGTGTGCAGAACTTGTCCATATATGGTTTAAGGGACAAGTCTGGAATTCCCGAATGCCTTCTATCTCCAGTTTTCTCCTTCGTCTAGCATTGAGTTAAGCCTCAAAGGTTCACCTCCAAGTGCCTCTGAGCCTGCCTCCAAGTGCCTCTGAGCCTGCCTCTTCCACTCTTTACTTATGGTGTCCGAGAATATCTTTTGCTGGTAAAAATATGTTACTTCTTTCACTTCAATATTCATTATCATAAGTTTTTCATTTTTTCTTCAAAAATTAATACTGTATTTTGTTTCACACATAAATCCATCACATATTTGTGAAATATAATTGTTTGTTTGTTTTTTTGTTTTACTTCCTTTAAAAAATAATGGGCAAGTTGCTTTTATACTGGTTCTGTTTATTAAATACCCAAGAAACAAAGGTTAGATATCCATTTTTGTTTTGTGTGTGTGTGTTTTCTGTTGGTCGTCAGTAACAAGTGATGAAGATCACTTTTCATCCAAACAAGTAATGATCAATGATTATGAGTACGAAGGTGGCTGATTAGTCCAATATGAGCTTGGAAAGTTCTTGAGCAGTGCGGACAACAGATGAAAGCCGCAGTAAGTGTGGAATTAGCGATACGATTCTTTCTAGTCTGCCTCCGTTTCTCTGCCTGTGTAACTTCCACTGCCTGGCAGGCCGATGCACCATGTCTGAGGGACGTACGCCATTCAGCAACGGTCTTGTGCAGCAGCCTCCCACGTCGCTGTGTTGATGCCAAAAGAATTGAGAGCGGTTTTGAGATTGTACTTGTAGCGTTTTTGGATGAAAGTGACTTGCGCAAGGACTTGGATTTAAGTGAGGAAGAGTAATAAAGGTTAGATATAAAACTATGACATTTATCAAGACCAACCTGGTATGTTGAAAGGAAGCAGTGAGCGATGAAGAATGACAAGATGGACACCAGCAGCACCGGGACAGCATAAAAATGGAGCTCATCGTAACTCTGGAAATAAATGAAACAAATTCATTAACCGAATCATAATAACAAAGATAATTTCCATACCATAGAACCAAAAAAAAATATATAAAAATTTAAATTTGATAAACATAAACTATATATATAAATGGAAACCTATTCAACACGGAATGTTTACAGCATATGTAATTATGACACACCTTTTAGGTCTTAGCTTTTGCTACTGAGCAGGGGTTTATGCCTCCCCCCTCTCCCCCATTCTAAGTGGGCTAAGCAGCACTCTTTAACCATGTTTAGAAATTCTCTTTTAAAGTATTTGATTATTCATTTAATATTATTGCATATATATTTTTATATTTACTTGCCATTCAGAACATTATTATTATTATTATTATGCTCCTAAACTAGAAGTATGCACTTTTGAGCCGCCATACAAGTTTTCTTTTTGTCAGGGCACCTGCTAATTGCAGGGTGCGGAAACCTCATTTTGTCATCTAGCCAAAGTTACTGCACGGTGTGGAAACCTCATTTTGTCATCTATCAAAAGTTACTGCACAGTGCGGAAACCTTGTTTTGTCATCTATCCAAAATTACAGCAGCACTTCTGATATTAGTGTGCAGTCAAAGCGATTGATTCCAAAGCAAAATTATCATTTAAAAAGAGAATTAAACAGAAACACATTTAAAAAAAAGACTAACCAGTAAATATCTCTAAATACAATTCATAAAAACATGTTGAACTCACCTTAAACCAGATGACACCAATAGCCGTTGTGGCAGTCATCACAGAGACTTTGCCCAGGAAGAGAATAAAATCGGCAGCACCATCGACCGCTGACACACGCAGTTCATTTCCCATCAACACACCATAGCCCTGAATAAAACAGAGAGACGATTTTAGTGGTCTTATTTCATCAACATATATTATTTAGATTAGAAGTCAGTAGTTTTTTTTCTGTGCTGTAAAGAAAAGACAGCAGTGTTTTCCTGTGCTATAAAGAAAAGACAGTAGTGTTTCTCTGTACAGTGAATGAAAGACAGTAGTGTTTCTTTGTGTTATAAAGGAAAGACAGTAGTGTAGCTCTGTGCAGTGAAGGAAAGACAGTAGTGTTTCTTTGTGCTATAAAGGAAAGACAGTAGTGTAGCTCTGTGCTATAAAGAAAAGACAGTAGTGTAGCTCTGTGCTATAAAGAAAAGACAGTAGTGTAGCTCTGTGCTATAAAGAAAAGACAGTAGTGTAGCTCTTGGCTATAAAGAAAAGACAGTAGTGTAGCTCTGTGCTATAAAGAAAAGACAGTAGTGTAGCTCTGTGCTATAAAGAACCGATTTAATGCTTTAGATGAAGTAAGCATGTAGGGCTTGGGGCATATTTGTATAAATTAGTCAGCACACAGCCCTGATAAGGGCAGTATGATCCGGTCTCCTTCACTTTTTTTAACGCTTTTCCTGGTACTTGGGTCAAATTAGTGTCTTTTCAGGGCCCCGTTTCGGGGGGGAACAACAAGAATAGAACCCCTGCCAATGTCATAAAAGTCAACTAATTAGGGTTTCCTTCAAAGTCAAATGTACATGCCAGCAGTCTGCATAGAAACGAGCCAAATTTGTAAAATGGATGTGCACGCAAAACTCAAGTTCTGGAACAAAACTAAAATCCAGAAATGGAAGAACAAGCAGGACTTTCTGCTGGAGTTTACAGCCGTTGAAACGCTAAAGACAAAGAGTCTGGGTCAATCTGGAAACCTAGGTTATTTTTAAAAATCTACCATGATGAATATTTGAACCCAGAGCCCTTGGTTGGCAGGCGAGCGACTAGCGACAGTATCAACTCAGTGTCCTATATTGTGCTGAATTTATTTTCACTTTGTAATTTATATATATTGTTCTTGATAATGACAGCTCTCTGTGTGGATCCTGGGTTCTATTTGAGGGGTTGGGAATAGATTAGAACCAGTGTCTCTTAAAAAGCATGTCATAATAAAGTGACTAAATTGGAGTTTACTGAAATCACATGCGTTGGTCTGAAAGGCGCAGATTTCACAGTTTAACTGTATACCTTAACACTAACTATCCTTTTAAGGAAAAGCACTGAATATGAAGACAATGATATTTGTGGAGAGGCAATAATGCCCAAAGCACTTGATGATGTTCAAGACATTGGCTTTTAACAACTTGCAATTGAAATCACAACTTTTTACATCCTCTTAATTATGTTTATGTTGGAAGCAATTATGTTAATTATGCAGTTTACACACAGACATGCCAATTCACACAAACGTAACAAGAATTACTGTAAAACATCTTACACAATAATTACAAACAAACCACTCACCTTTTTGGCAGATGTGCAAAAGTTTTTGCCATTAATTGCTGTAGATAAAATAAAAAAATGTTCTAGTTAGTTTTCATATTATTTAATAGTATACTGTTCTTTCATGTATATTCAATACCTTTAATATATTATTTCTTTAAGTAAAGTACTTAGTATACTCGACTGTCAGATGTAAAAAATCTGGCAGGTTGAAAAGAAACACAAATTATTTGTTATTTGTTTAATGACAGCTGAAACTAATTTATCCTAGAGTTGATATCGTTAGCTGCATGTACAGAGGTAATATATGATGATAATAATGTGGAGAGTAACACAATAGTTATGTTAGAAATTAATGAGTTGTGTACTTAATTTTAATTGTTAACAGAAGCTAGCGTTTCCATTTTCCTCCTCCTTCTTATTCCCCTCCTCCTAAATTTTCTTATTTTGATTTTCACTTTTATTATGGTACACTGAATGGCAAGAAAATATAATACTATATTTGAAATAATATGAAATTTATAAACACATTCTTCAAAGAGAACTTCTACACATGGTTTGAAAGAAAAAGGGGGGGGGGGGGGGGGTGGGCAATGAGGGGATAGACAGAGGAATGATGGCTCAACTGACCCTTAAAACTATTGGGCGGAGGAATGATTTACCAACTTTTGTCCCTCAGCATGTCTGAACTCTCCCTTTCCTTGTTTGGGAACTCCTGTAATATGAATCAGCCAAACAAACACACAACTTACCAACAACAGTGTATGCACTCGATGACAGATATCGTAGGCACTTATCCACACACCACACACAGCAGCAACAACATCGGAGACAAAATCTGCCACAGGCATTTTCAGAATTCTTCATTCTGTGAAACAATAAAAGAAGTTATATAAGCTTTTTAAAGTCATTTGTAAAGATCTCAAAAGATCAGACACTATGTTTTCTCAAATAACAGAGAAACAGAGAGAGAGAGAGAGAGAGAGAGAGAGAGAGAGAGAGAGAGAGAGAGAGAGAGAGAGAGAGAGAGAGAGAGAGAGAGAGAGAGAGAGAGAGAGAGGGGTGTAAGAGAGGACTCCACAAGAAACATGAAAAAAATGGGATAGAATAGGACAAATCAGACAACAGGAAAAGGTTAAAACAAAAAATAGATTAAGAAACATTCAGATAATAGAAAAAGCAGAATCATCAGACAACAGGGAGAGTAGAAGAACCAGATAACAGGGTAAGTAGAAAAAACAGGATACATCAGACAACAGAGAGAGTAGAAGAACCAGATAACAGGGTGAGTAGAGAAAACAGGATACATCAGACAAGAGAGAAAGTAGAAGAACCAGATAACAGGGTGAGTAGAGAAAACAGGATACATCAGACAAGAGAGATAGTAGAAGAACCAGATAACAGGGTGAGTAGAGAAAACAGGATACATCAGACAAGAGAGAAAGTAGAAGAACCAGATAACAGGGTGAGTAGAGAAAACAGGATACATCAGACAAGAGAGAAAGTAGAAGAACCAGATAACAGGGTGAGTAGAGAAAACAGGATACATCAGACAAGAGAGAAAGTAGAAACAACTTGGAAACATGAGGTAACAAGGAAAGCAGAAAACAGATAACATCAAGATACATAAGAAACAAGTGAAAATAGATACAACAAACAGTGGATAAAGTAAAAAAGGCAACACGAAACATAACAACACCAGAGAATGGATAAAGTAGAAACAGTAAGATGCCCTAGACAACACTGAAGGTTAAAACAACCACATGCATCAGGCAACAGATGACACAGAAACATCAGAAAACAGAAACGGTAGAACACATTAGACAACAGAAAAAGTAGAAACAGAATACACAACGCAGAAGAAAAGGAGGATAAACAAGATTTCATCAAACAGCAGAAAAGTAGACAATATCTAGATGCTTTACACAGTAAAGAAGACAAAAGACACTTCAGAAACAATTTAAACCATCAACACAAAAGTGGATCTGAAGGTCGTGGGTTCAGATCCTCATGGAGCTGGCATTTTTTAAAACAATGATCCTGTTTGTGTAAAAAAAAATGTCTGTAACTTTTTAAAAATATTTATTTTGGTTCAAATTTTTTATCATAACAAAAAGAACATGTCAGTTGTACTTGTGACTTTAACAGTGATAAGAAAATATACAGCAATCAATCACACTTACCGTTTAGTTATAAATATAAGTATTGATCTGGGGACTTTGACAATTGTAAGTATCAAAGCTCCGAATGCAACCGAACCTTGATGGAATAAAATGAGACGACCTAAGGTGCCCAAGATAGGAAAGCCAAGTTGACTCTTGTCTCTGAAAAAATATGTAAGGATGTTTATTAATTGACTGTTAGAAAGAGTCTAGTGTGTTCTTCTATCTTTCTATTTCTTTCTATGGGTGCCGATCAATACACTTTCTGTTACTTGATTAATTCAGAATATGTCATAGTAGCTTGGATCATAAAAAAGAAACATGGATGAGCCAGCAAACAAATGTACACAAGCTTGCACCCATCCAGTGTATATATGGCGTAGTAGGAACTTTACTTAGCCATGCCAGAAATATCCGAACTGAAAAAAACAATGACAGGAAATTGACACCCTCAAGATACAAGGCCATCCAATTCCAAACCCCCAATTACAGAATGTATGACTCTATATGTGAAGTATGACTCTATATGTGAAGTATGACTCTATATGTGAAGTATGACTCTATATGTGAAGTCTGACTCTATATGTGAAGTCTGACTCTATATGTGAAGTCTGACTCTATATGTGAAGTATGACTCTTATGTGAAGTATGACTCTATATGTGAAGTCTGACTCTATATGTGAAGTATGACTCTATATGTGAAGTATGACTCTATATGTGAAGTATGACTCTATATGTGAAGTATGACTCTATATGTGAAGTATGACTCTATTTGTGAAGTATGACTCAATATGTGAAGTATGACTCGATATGTGAAGTATGACTCTATATGTGAAGTATGACTCTATATGATATGTGAAGTATGACTCTATATGTGAAGTATGACTCTATATGTGAAGTATGACTCTATATGTGAAGTATGATTCTATATGTGAAGTCTGACTCTATATGTGAAGTATGACTCTATATGTGAAGTCTGACTGTAAATACCAGCCTCAGTAGAGATGCCAGTCAACCTACGCTGGTATAACAGAGGGCCAGTAAGGAAATATAATAGCAGAGCACATTGTGAAATGGAAACAAACTAGTTAGTAAACATTCTGGACATGGGAGACAACTAATCTAGAGAAATGAGCCAAATTATTTTATAAAACACAGACTACGCTTGTAAACAGCACCTCATCTCAACCAGTGAAATATTATTGTCCATATCAAGCACCACTTTATAATTGGAAAGAATAATAGCAGAAGGCATGGTATCAGGAAAGAGGGGCAGGGGCCAACCAGCATGAAGATGGGCACTTGAAATCAGTGACACCGAGGGTAGGAGAGTGCCTGATGCAGGAGAACTGGTCGAGAGACCTCGCTTTCTTCAGGTAAATTTATGATGAGAGCAACGCTGTGCATAGAAACTGCCACTTGATGATAATGCTATGCTAGACTTCAGGCACATGACTAAGACGGAGCACACATTCACTGTAATTTATCACACTCACAACCACCATGGTTGAAATATGCTGAGGTCATTGCAGTTGGTATAACCAATCCCATTGTTTGCAAACAGAAGAAACATCTGGCTAGTATACAACTCCTGTGGTAACAATTGCAGTAAAAAAATCCAGCGTGTGGTTTTGTTTTGTATTTACATTTTAAGCATTTATTTTACGCCTGGTCCAGAGCCAAATTAAGGAATTAAAAAAAAAAACCCAAAAAAAACCTGCTTTCAAAAAGCACACTGTGTGTTGTCAGGGGTGATTAATTAGAGTGATTAATACGATGTTACGATGTGTTTAGTTGAAAAGCGGAAATATCATAGCTAAGCTGTAAACCACACCACAATGTGCAAAAGACTTTTTAATAATGAAACCAAAAGAAGAAACGATGATTCCTTTTTTGTTATATAAAATGAAGATGTAAACTTTATCAAATGTAATAGATGAGACAGTATACTATACTATACTTGTCAGATCAACCGCAAAAACTTGTTTGCATCAAAATTATTTTATTTTAGTATTGGGAAACACTGCACTGAATTAACTCTTTTTCTTCTTCTTCTCGTTCTTCTTCTTTTTCTTGATCTTCTTCTTTCACTGCTTCTTTTGTCAAAGGAGATCAGTACTGCTTCCTGCTCCTCTTGCCACCCTGACCGTATACACATCGTGCTGTTGTAGAGTTTCTCTGATGTTATTTTTCCTCTTTTCTTGGTCTACCTTGTGCTCTGCACCTTTCTACTGTTTTTGGTGTATACCTTGTATTGTACGGCACCACAAGGCATTCTCTTTAAGTGGGCAAACCATTTGATTGGCATCTTTGCTGTAATTTAGAATTTGAGTTCTGTACCGACTTTTTCTCTTACAACCCCATTACTAATTTTATCTTTTCTGGTCACTCCAGCAACCCTTCTCAGACATCTAATTTTTAACTAATTAAAAAGATAAATTTAATTAATGTCAGCGACCCCCTTACCTGGTAAAATACCAGCGTGCTACTGCTCCAGAAATAATAAATGACTGGCAGGCGATAATAAACTCGCTGACCCAGATCAAGCCAACAAGATGATACCACCAGAAGTAAGACACAGTTTCGTGCTCCTTGAAAGTCACAAAACCAAGCTCCGTCACACTGGGCGTCTCTGGTGGGACAAAAATAGGACACATGTTTATTCTGGAAATATATTTTCTGTAAATAAAATAAGAAGAGATTTTAACACAAAAAAATTTAAAGAAGACCAGGTAAACAAGTTAGTTGTGTCCCCTTTACAGGATGTTGCAGAACCAACCGCAGCATTTTTTGGAACTAGTAGTTTTTCTAGGCACATTTTATGTTTAGTAGTTTGCCACTGCTTCCTGAACGGAAGCTGTCGGTACAACTGTTAAAACCACGAAAGACAAATCAATGGAATCGAACTTCGCACCACAGCATTACGTCCACAACGCCTAAGCCACAGACGCCGACTGCTAAAAGTAGTCAAACATCAGATATTGACAATATGTTGGGGAGTACAGGCACTCGGCAATAAAGAAATAATTGGGGAACAAATGATTGCAGAACAAATGATTGCAGAAAGATTGAGAGCTGAGATTCTGAGAAGAAGCTCACTAAATACTTGTGATGACAACAACAGTCCTGAAATCTCCTGCTGTAAAATGTGGAAGACTTTTGCTGAGTGCAGGTTGAGTGTTTCTGGTAACACTCGACATAAACACATCCTGGAATTCCCATGCCTCCCTATAGCACAAAACTATCATCTGGAAATGCCTCCTCATAGCACAACACTATCATCTGGTAATGCCTCCCCATAGCACAACACTTCCATCTGGTAATACCTCCCCATAGCACAACACTTCCATCTGGTAATACCTCCCCATAGCACAACACTTCCATCTGGTAATACCTCCCCATAGCACAACACTTCCATCTGGTAATACCTCCCCATAGCACACTTCCATCTGGTAATGTGTCCCCATAGCTCAAAATTACCATCTGGAAAAGGATAAACAACAAAGGCACTAAAATATTCTGTTGTACCCTTTTTGACTATCCAAGACCTAAACCAGGTGGCAATGAACTGCCAGACATGAAGAGCTATGACCTCCGCCCTATGCACCATGAGAAAAGACCAACTAACTAACTAACCTTTCTGACTGTTCAGATGATAATGTTACACAGTGATTTATGTAGGTGTGAGAATCACAGCTGATGATGATGATGATGAATGTGACCAGCAAGACCAGTCCACATTAAGACAAATCTGGCACAATGAGTATATTTGATTTCAGCAGGCTCGGACTTGTACAGCCCTAAGCTATATAATGCCCGGAAGCCCCTACAATTTTAAATTACACCACATAATCTCAGAAAACTAAAATATACATGCCTTTTAGCTCTTGGAGTCCCAAGGAAGGCATCATACCTTCATAAGTTCCTACCTAGAAGCCCAATGAACGCATGATGCGCAGATGTTATTTCTTTCTTGACTACCCCCTGGGCCTGTGATGCTGAACCCCCTGGGACTCAAAGAGTTAAATATAAGGAAAATGGAAATATATCATCATATAAGTTGTACTGCTATAGCGAAGAACAGAACAATCTAGTGTGAGATGGTTGAGGGCCTATTGGGAGATAGAAGGCTGAAGAAGAATCGGAAATCAATGAGTGATGTGATCAACATTCTGGTACCCATTTTAGGCTGGGCCGAGCCACGGGCAACAAAAAAAATCTGACTCATACAAATTTGAAACCAAAGACCTGTGGCCCGTAAATGGGTGTTCAGCCACTACATCACCACGGCTCCTCCTACTTATGACTGAAAGAGTTAAAATATTATCAGGAACTGAATCCCATACAAACATAACAGTATGAAAGCACTCTTAACTATGCTAATGAAGCTCCTAAAAAAGAAGACAAGTAGGAAAAGAAGAAACTGATAAACTGCAAATAGAAAAAAACTGACCTGCAGTACACAAGAAAGCCAGCACAGTGACCCAGTAAACGAAAAACATCAGTAGTAAGATAAAAGTCCACACAGGCTGAAGCAACAACATTGGCATGTAGGACACGCAGGAACCCGCTTCCTTCAGCAAGTAGCCCACCAGGGCAATCTTCTTTCTCAGGGCAACAATGATCAGGAGGAGGGTCACCTGTGGAAAGGATGTCATAGAAACAACATGAAATGCTTTCTTATAGACCTGAGTACGCTCTTTCTTGGACAATATAGAATAGTCATCAGCATCATCAGTCAGCAGGGCCTTTCAGATAGAATGTCTCTCTTGTCACGGCACACCTGAAAGTTGCTCTTTAGTTAATTCTCCAGCCCTATGTGCTTTCATAGCCAATGCATCTTCAATGTCTTGTATCCACCTTCGCCAAGGTCTGCCTCTGCCTCTTTTTTCTGAAAGTGTACTTTCCATCCCCGCTTTCTCCAGAACATCATGACCTTTAACACGGCCAAGATACCTCAGCTTTCAGGACAAGATGCTGTTTACGAGCCAATTTTCCTGATGTAGACTAATGTACTATAAAATATCATTTTATGGCTATAGTGTCATAATACTAATGTATATTTTATCTCATTTATCTCAGAATATTTTCAGGTCGACCTCAAAACTCAGATTACATAAAAAGTAATCTTCTTTCATGAGGATTTGAACCTATGCCTACCAGATAAGCGGGCTATCAACAGCAGTTGTTCCCAGTTAGTTCTATAGCTCAAGAAAAAACATGACCAAAATGTTTTCGCTTGCAAGATGAGACGCTGTTTGTGAGTTTCTGTTAGTCACATCAGATATAGTTGTATTAATGTCCGTTGTCATTTGTGATTACGATTTTCTTGAGAAGTCAACAAGTTATGCTTTTCATTACAGTTGATTTTTTTATGCTGAACATAGCAAACATTCGTAGGGATAACACAAAAGTCACCTAAAGTTTTCAATCTTTGTTTCAAGAAAATTGCACTTAAAACAGAATGATTTCTCTGAAAAATTACACTGAGGCAAATAAAAAATATGTAGCTGTATGAAAAGTAATAATTAATTTTGTCATATGTGGAGTAAGAATTCACATGTGAGCTGTTGGTGTGTGGTAAAGTGACAAATAACAGCCCAGAAAATGCAGTTAGTAAAAAAAAAAGTAAAGGACCCGTTTCCACGCCTTTAGGCGTATAGGGCATAAAGGGCTGGACATATATTTTATAGACCAATCGACGCATCACGCTTGCCGCCTTTACTCTCCTGGACTGCATCCGGTACCAACTCGAGGCTGGGTTGACCTGGAAGCCAAGGTCAAAATGCAGTTAAGTGAAACTAAAAAATACAAATTGCACTTAGGTGATTTTCTGGCATAATGTCAGTGAGCGTTAAAATCTCCAAGAAAGTGTGTGACTCATGTACTGGACAAAAGATTGTGTAGGTACTCACAGTTAGAGCTGTACCAGCCACAGAAAAAGTCAGGAAGGCAAACTCGCTGTTGATGTCCACCTCAAGAAGTGGGATCTTCAGCTCCTCCTCCTTGTCCAGCTTGTTCTTGTTGGAGATGAATGTCCACCACATAAATGATGTCCCCACTGAGGATCAGCACAAAGATGTAAGGGTGAGAATAGATTTGTATTTGTTCCGTCACACACAGTTGTTGTTTTAACTAATGCTCTTCAAAATAGTAATTACATTAAGCTTTAAGTAATGGCTCTAAGAATCTTTTACCAGGGGTAGAATAAATCCAATATTTTAACGAAACAATGTTAGTAACAATATAAATAATGAAAGAATGTTGAATGAATGTTGAATAATGAATGTTGTTAACTACCCGGTACCTCTGAAGTGATGCTTGCCACTCTGCACGGAGCATGCCTATCTTCACCTTTCTCAACATGCTCTGTGAGTCAGTTACAATCATGGTATATGTATACTGCTGATTCTCAAACCAGCGGAATGCAGCAGTGACTGCCTCCACCTACATTCTCAAACTAGGCATTGTGATATCCCATGCCAGGCTTTATTGCACTAGGCAACGTCCATTAGCCTTTTGCTATGAACCCCCATTCACTTTGTCTGCCCCTCAACACAGAGCCATCTGAAGGTCTGCCCCACAACACAGAGCCACCTGAAGGTCTGCCCCTCAACACAGAGCTATCTGAAGGTCTGCCCCTCAACACAGAGCTATCTGAAGGTCTGCCCCTCAACACAGAGCCATCTGAAGGTCTGCCCCTCAACACAGAGCTATCTGAAGGTCTGCCCCTCAACACAGAACCACCTGAAGGTCTGCCCCTCAACACAGAGCCATCTATATAGATAATCACATCACTTGGGCAGGAACTATCATGAATCATATGTTGAACTTTTGATTCTGCAGCGCCAGCTGGCCAATGCATGCACTCACGATCTAAATTGATAAGAACCCTATGCAAGTCTGAAACTTGCTCGGACACTTTGACCCACTCCTGACCTTGCACAAATTTATCAAGCCTGCACACAAGTCTTATTGTGTCTTCAGCTTGCGCCATCCAAGACCTTCCTCTGATTATATAAAGATAGCTATTTTATTTTGGATTAGCATATGGAAAGCCACAACAACAAAAACTCACCCAAACTGGCCATTCCTGCAAATGCGACAATGAGCCATGCCACAATTGAAGCCAAAAATCGGATCAGTAGAACCAAAAAAATTGAGAAAGCTGTTGAAACAAACACAAAATGGTTAATTGGTAGATGCAAGCAGACACAAGTTAGAATTGTCTTAGACAGAGTACGACATTTAATTTTATACCAAGCGATTCACAGAGGAATGCACGAGAAATAAACTTATTTCCACCTGCTATGAAGCTTATCGTGGTGGACCTATAATTTCGTAGGCCAGACTTCGCTCGACAGGGTGTGGTCAACATACCGCCCGTGACCTCGAAGGAAACATTCCTAATTAGCTGCCCCAAAAGTTAAGGGGAGGAAGGGTCACAACTTTCTTGAATAAGACTCCCCCCCCCCCCTTTTTTTTTTTTCACTCTTCTCTCAAACTTTATGAGGCTAAGATTCCAGAGCGCCTGCTTAGAACTTTTTTACCACAGCCCCCAAAAGTCCCCACTTTCTAAACCAAAGTAATTAAAATAGATTAAATGGTGTATTTTCATCATATGAAATCCCGCCATTCTTTCTTTAACACATTTTACATTTGCAGATAACGACGTAACCAGATACTTGTCCAGCCTGCCTCAAACGTGTCTCATTTACTGCGGCATCGTATTACGAAGGACAACTCTTCCGGTTTGACTGTATGAATTATTAAACCCCCCAATTTTGAACGGACCATTCATCTCAGATCTGACGAGAGAATCAAGAGCCGAAGACGAAAATGGGCGGGAAAACGCTGCTAATGCATATAGAACTTTTTCTTCGGCGTTCGTCTTTAAAAGAGCCGTTGGCACATTGTGTTGTGGTTTGCAGCTATGCTGTGATATCCGCGTCTTTTGGTACAACACATCCCATTTCAGCAAGCCCCTAATTGGTAGCCTTCTATGGACCTATTACCCCCCCCCCCCCCCACACACACACACTCACGACGCCCTGAAACCATAAGACCCTGGAACCCACATGAGGCACTAGAACCCACACGAGGCACCAGAATCCACATGAGGCCCCGGAACCCAAATGAGGCCCCGCAACCAACATGGGTATCAGGTGGAAAAACAACAGCCAGTACCACTCAAAGAGCTTAGGCTAGCAACCATTCCTTCCTTAACAGCAGAACTGGGAGATGATGATGATGAATCTTTAGCAATGAATTGTAACAGAGGAAAATTATTAGGAAAGTCTATCGTTCTGTACATATTTAATTGTAATGTTATTTCAGTGTTACCATATCGGAGTGAAAAATTGGAAAACCACCAATGACACGGAAAGAAGGTTAAACGTATTTAAAATCAACCGCTTGAGGGAAATGTTGAACATAAAATAGGAATAATTCAAGAGGGGTAAAGATATAACAGAAACGTCTAGGCGATCGATAACAACAACATGTTCGTCCATCACGAGTGATGAGGACCACTTTTATCCAAAGTATTAATGATCAATGGTTAGTCAGATATGAGCTTGGAAAGTTCTTGAGCAGTGCGGACAACAGATGGAAACCGCCATAAGTGTGGGATTAGCAGTACGATTCTTTCTAGTCTGCCTCCGTTTCTCTGCCTGTGCAACCTCTGCTGCCTGACAGGCCGATGCACCATGTCTGAGGGACGTACGCTCTTTAGAACAGTCTTGTGCAGCGGCCTCTCACGTCGCTGTTTTGATGCCAAAAGAATTGAGAGCAGTCTTGAGAGTGTCCTTATAGCACTTTTTCTGTCCTCCATGGGACCTCTATCCTTGTTAGGGCTCGCCACAAAATACTTTCTTTGGGAGGCGATAGTCTGCTATGAGGGTTAGGTGACCAGCCCAACGCAGCTGATAATTCTTCAGTATCGTGTGGATGCTAGGCAGGTTTGCCATTTCAAGAACCGCAGTGTTTGGGATCTTATCGTGTCATTAGATTTTGAGCAGCTTTCTGAGACAGGTTATAGTGATAGTTATAAGATAAAGAAAATGTCGCTATATTGGACACATCCTGAAAAGCAACCAGCAGAGAATCACCAAGCAGGGACACACACACAAACACACAAAAGGAAATAAACGGATTGAATCTGGTGGTGAAATTTCATTCATAATATCGGCATGACTGCACACGGTAGATCCAACTGGAGGAATCAACTGCCAGACCTATGTGATACACAATGACACAACAGAACATGATGATGATGAATGATCAGTCTTCATGTACCAAAAAAAAAAAAGCGTACGACAGAGGAAAGCAGAAAATGGCACCGCAGCAACTGTCGCACTCCAGACAACGTCATGGAACTCTCCACCCGATCTTATCTTAGCTTTAGTTGTCTCGCGGCTATTTATTTTTCATTATTCACTGCCCAAACCACGACTGGACATTTTTATTTTTATTTTGTGTTTGCTCTAAATGGAAGACTCTGCGCGTCAGTTAATCTTGTATTGACATGCACAGTCAACACACGGGGAGAAATAACATTTTCATTTGGCGAATTGCCGTTTATATGGCGGCATAGTTTTGAGATCCGGGGGTGAATGCACTATTTTTGCAAAAACAGATGCAGAAGATACAAGGATTTACGTATACGTTCAGATATCAATCACGTAATAAGCATAAAGCTGCAATGCCATTGATAAAATTTTATGAAAGATACACCCGCTGTGCAATTTTAATTTAGCTTAATATTAAAGTGCAGACAGAAAGTTAGAAGCAGAAACATAAGGGGGAGCTAACAACGGAAACAGAGCGCAGAACTTGAGAGGATTACGTCACTTTCTGGGGTATCACAAAGGAATAATTTTTCTTATTACAGGCTAGGAATATTATTTCCTTTCTTCAGCGTCCTCATTTTCATGTTTTCATGTAATGTTATTGAAGACGGGGATTTAAGAAAAACAAAATTATGTCAGAGGAAGAATGGACGTCACTACAGCCAGATATAGTTGCTACTCGATCGTTTGGTGACTGGATATGACGGAAAATCTGTTTCAAGGCAGCCAGGCGTTGACGCACGTCTCGACATTCTAGTATTGAAGTAATAATAGCAGTAATTCATAGATATTGACTGGCACTCGTGGAAAGATGGCGTGGCACAAAGGCGTGGTATTAAAAGCGTGTTTGTGTACCAGTTCGATCCTAACATAGGGGTGATGTTTTTGGCATATGGCGGGAATGACAGATACAAAAAAGAAAAGAAAAAGACTGCGTAGACTAAAGAGCTGAATGAGAGTAGACCACGAGATAGATCAAGAAGACAGCAAAGAGACAACATCCAGACAGACCTACAAACACTTAAAGTCACCAACTCGAGAGAGAAGGCCAGTCCCAGAGATGAATGGAGGCGGGTGATATCTGCAGAGATGAACCCCAAGCGCTAGGAATAATGAAGAAGAAGAAGAAGAACAAACTCAAACATGTCCCTCTCCACCGATCACAGACAAGGGATAACATTGTTTAGGATTCTCAGACGAAGGAGGGAAAAAAAACAATATGTGAGGAACTGTTGACAATGTCCTCCATCTTTTTTCCCCTAAATAAAACACAAGAGAAACCGCTTGCGATCAGTTACTAGATGCAAATCTGGCCCGCGAAGGCCTAGTAAGTGGCCCGCGGATAACTGCCATTTGTATTGTATTAATGATCTTTTTATGCTAGAGCACACGCCTCTGGTCGGTGACGATCCTCACTTACAACAATGTGATCCCCACTTACAACAATTTGATCCCCACATAAAACAATGTGATCCCCTGAGTGATCCCCTGAGTGATCCCCTGATTGATCCCCCAAGTGATCCCCTGAGTAACTGAGTTGAACAGCCCTGCTTTAGGAGTTCATGCATCCAAACTCACCTGCGGCCAGAAAGCACAGGGCGATGATGATAGTCCAGCTGGCGTATAAGTCCCTCAAGGCTTTGTGGAAGATGGAGCTGTTGTTGATGTAGGCGATGATGTTGTTGGCCACGTTGGTCTTCAGCCAGTCCTTGATGTGGACCAGGTCAGAGGGGATGCAGCGGTTGAGGAGGGGAGCGCTGTCGATAGAGCGGAGACTCGTGGGTCAGGTGTGGTGGGTTAGAAGTAGTGAACAATGTGCTTGAAATAAAGACAAAGTGTCAGCGGTATGATAGTGAGAAAGGGAAAGAGAGAGAGAGAGAGAGAGAGAGAGAGAGAGAGAGAGAGAGAGAGAGAGAGAGAGAGAAAGAGAGAGAAGGAGAGATCGTGCATTATTAAACAATCGTGTATTTACCGTAACAAAATGGTCAGTTTTCTAATATGGTTCCCAGCTAGGCTGCAAAATCGCAACCTTTTGTCTCAACAAATCGGTTTCAACAAACAAACTCCTACTTAGTGACCTGTTACGACATGCTGTCTCCACAACCCCCCCCCCCCCCCCCCCCCCCCCGACTTTTCTCTAATTCTCAGTGGAGCGTTGGAACCAAAACAAAGAAGGAAAGAAAGTATATCGAATTAACACGGGGATGGGGGGACCAAAACGAAATAAACAGTGTATCTTTCTCACTGGTAGTTTATTTTAAAATGTTTAAACTATCGGACTAGGACTACGAAACAAAATAAGCAATTCTTACCTTTTGTAGATGGGTAGCACGGGACAAGGGCCCTGAGTGGATCTATTTGTGTAGTCGTATTCGCCAAGTCCAACATCATAACGGCACAGCAACGACCCAGTCTGCTGGGAGAAGTCGAAGAGATCTCGCGAGGTCACCAGGTTATTCTCGGGACATTTGTTGACGCAGATCCTCATTGAGGTGTCCACTTCCTCCAGGTTCATAAAAAACAGGTATCTGTTGTCAAAAGATACGAGACGAAACGTAGTTTCTTTCGGTATAATACTTAATCAGTCTAACCATGGATAATACGTCGAATAATGGATAACGAAAATATAAATAAGTCAAACCATGGATCATGCGTCAAATAATGGATAACAAAAACATAAAAACACTGAAGTGGTGCACCAGGCCCAGAACTACTGACAGCTCTCAACGGTCATCTTAGAAACACCTTCCCAACCAGAAGTCTGACCAGCCTAGATCGACCTATTATTATGCCTCTACCTGAGAAGCAAGGAGACCAACAGTCTACACACAAATAAGCCAGACCTGTAAAACAGATGTGCAAAAAGATCTGTGGAGAGAAAGAGAGAGAGAGAGGGGGGAGAGGAAAAGAGAAAGGTAGAGAGAGAGGGGGGGGGAGGAAGACAGCCTTTGGCTTAGCATGGAGAAAAAAAAGGGGCGGGGGCGGGGCGGGGGCGGTGGTGTCAACACAAGAACTGAGCCAGGCAGATTATTGAGGGGCATGATCGCCAGCCCCAGCTGGCAAGGCACGTGATGATGATGATGATATAAACTCAAGAGACACAGTAGCTGTGTGCAGTATGCAGAAAGAATACCTAGCAATCACAGATATCTTCTTCTTCTTCGCGTTCACCAGCTATAAACTCGGAAAGTTCTGGTTGTTCATCCGCTTCTGGACTGTAGTCCTGTTCCAGAACCTGAGTGTTGCATGTGCATCCGTTTTACAGATCTGACTCATTTGTATGCAGACTGCTGGTTTCTTGCCTCTCAAGCAGATGCACTCCAACTTCGAAGGAATCACAGATATGATATGAATGACATATACACAAGCAGAGTACAGAAACAGGCAGGGCCGGATTCAGATTTGATGAGGCCCTAAAACAAATAAAGCCCCGAGGCCTCTAACGTGTTAAATTACACGTTTAAACGTTAAATATATAACGCCTTTGAAATTTGTGGATAATAGAAATATTTTGTCGTTTAATTTTTTCATCAAAAGAAATAATCAATAATGTGATCGCAAAGTCACTGAAATTACTGCTGAAAACATTTTCAGAACTTTAAAATATATTAAAATAAAACTGCATTTAAAAAATATTAAAAATTAAAAGATACAAGACATTGAAGATGCATTGACATTGAAAGCACATAGGGCCGGAGAGCTGGGTAGGGAAAGGGAGACTTTTAGGCTTGCCTTGAAGACAGCGACATTCTGTAAAGGACTTACAATTGTGAAAACAAATGGGAATTCCCTTTAAGCCCCCGAAGATAATGAGGCCCTAAGCTGCGACTTTTACCTAAAGCACTGCAGACAGGATAAAATAAAATAAAAAAAGTATACACATAATACACACACAGTACATATAGACCGGATACACATGGCAAATAAACAGACAGGACACACACGGCATATAAACAGACAGGATACACACAGCATATAAACAGACAGGATACACATGGCATATAAACAGACAGGATACACATGGCATATAAACAGACAGGATACACATGGCATATAAACAGACAGGATACACATGGCATATAAACAGACAGGATACACATGGCGTATAAACAGACAGGATACACACAGCATATAAACAGACAGGATACACACGGCATATAAACAGACAGGATACACACAGCATATAAACAGACAGGATACACATGGCATATAAACAGACAGGATACACACAGCATATAAACAGACAAGATACCACGGCATATAAATAGACAGGATACACACAGCATATGAATAGACAGGATACACAGGGCCTATAAACATACAGGATATAGATGACATATAAACAGACAGGATACACATGGCATATAAACAGACATGATACAGATAGCATATAAACAGACAGGATACAGATAGCATATAAACAGACAGGATACAGACGGGATATAAACAGACAGGATACAGGCGGCATATAAACAGACAGGATACAGACGGAATATAAACAGTCAGGATACAGGCGGCATATAAACAGAAAGGATACACATGACACATGAGCAGACAATATACACAGACAGGAAACACGAGAATGTATCATGATACTGACTGTCTGCCCTTGAGATTCCGGCCAGAGTTCCGGACACCGGCTACTGCCCTGTCCGAGTTATCCTCGTCACAAGTGTTGCCGAAACTATCCGTGCCGTAGACCAGCCGGAACGGGTCGCCCTTGCTGATCGAGAAAGCGCCGATGAAAATCTGCCGGAGAAAAAAAGTCATCTGTTGAAATACTTCTGGTTTCAGTTGTAGACAGAGAAACAGACAGGCATGCAGACAGATAGTCGGTCGATAGACAGGAAGACTTGTAGGTAGACAGATGAATATGAAGACCTGCATGAAGATAAATATACAGACTGGCAGATTTAAACCAAGACAGACAGACATATAGACAGACAGAGCGGCAGAGAAACAGACAGACAGACAGACAGGCAGGCAGGCAGACAGACAGACAGACAGACAGACAGACAGACAGACAGACAGACAGACAGACAGACAGACAGACAGACAGACAGACAGACAGACAGACAGACAGATAGATAGATAGATAGATAGATAGATAGATAGATAGATAGATAGATAGATAGATAGATAGATAGATAGATAGATAGATAGATAGATAGATAGATAGATAGATAGATAGATAGATAGATAGATAGATAGATAGATAGATAGATAGATAGATAGATAGATAGATAGATAAACAGACCAGAAAGTAAACACTAATTTATAAATTCATAAAGCCGTTTAAACAGAAATAAACACAGGCATACAAACAGCAAAACAGCCTAAACAAACGTAGACAACGTTTAGTAAACACAGACATCGGTTTGCTTCAAAGAAACTAAAAATAGTGCAAGACAAGACATCGGCTGATGCGCCTTCTCCGCATTCGACAGGTGGCGTGAAGTCGTCTAAAGCTAAAGAATGATGAAAGTATTGATAGTAAAAAATATCCCCGTGTGAGTTCCAGGCCCCCGTTATGGGGAAAACAAGAATAGGCCCATTGCCTCCCCAACACGCATGTCAAAGGCTTGACTAAATGGAGGCTTCCTTTGAAGCTTGAGTGCATGTGCCAGAGAAGAAAGGAAGCATAAGTCTGCAGTGAAATAAGCTAGATCTGTAAAACAGATGTGCATGCAAAACAGCTTCTGGAACAAGACTAAAGTCTAGAGGTGGACGAACAACCATAAAATTCCACCAGAGTTTAGAAGATTTACAAAAACTAAAGCAGAGTTTTGTCAGGTGTGGCATGGGCACCGGTGTTGGGGTCGGCCAGTGTTTTGTCAGGTGTGGCATAGGCACCGGTGTTGGGGTCGGCCAGTGTTTTGTCAGGAGTGGCATGTGCACCAGTGTTGGGGTCGGCCAGTGTTTTGTCAGGAGTGGCATGTGCACCAGTGTTGGGGTCGGCCAGTGTTTTGTCAGGTGTGGCATGTGCACCAGTGTTGGGGTCGGCCAGTGTTTTGTCAGGTGTGGCATGTGCACCAGTGTTGGGGTCGGCCAGTGTTTTGTCAGGTGTGGCATGTGCACCAGTGTTGGGGTCGGCCAGTGTTTTGTCAGGTGTGCATGTGCACCAGTGTTGGGGTCGGCCAGTGTTTTGTCAGGTGTGGCATGTGCACCAGTGTTGGGGTCGGCCAGTGTTTTGTCAGGTGTGGCATGTGCACCAGTGTTGGGGTCGGTCAGTGTTTTGTCAGGTGTGGCATGTGCACCAGTGTTGGGGTCGGTCAGTGTTTTGTCAGGTGTGGCATGTGCACCAGTGTTGGAGTTGGTCAGTGTTTTGTCAGGTGTGGCATGTGCACCAGTGTTGGGGTCGGCCAGTGTTTTGTCAGGTGTGGCATGTGCACCAGTGTTGGGGTCGGTCAGTGTTTTGTCAGGTGTGGCATGTGCACCAGTGTTGGGGTCGGTCAGTGTTTTGTCAGGTGTGGCATGTGCACCAGTGTTGGGGTCGGCCAGTGTTTTGTCAGGTGTGGCATGTGCACCAGTGTTGCGGTCGGTCAGTGTTTTGTCAGGTGTGGCATGTGCACCAGTGTTGGGGTCGGTCAGTGTTTTGTCAGGTGTGGCATGTGCACCAGTGTTGGGGTCAGTCAGTGTTTTGTCAGGTGTGGCATGTGCACCAGTGTTGGAGTCGGCCAGTGTTTTGTGGTCGGTCAGTGTTCAGGGGTCAGCCAGTGTTAGGGGATCGTCCAGTGTTCGGGCTCGGCCAGTGTTCGGGGTCAGTCAGTGTTCAGGGGTCGGCCAGTGTTTTGGGGTCGGTCGGTGTTCGGGGGTCGGCCAGTGTTCGGGCTCGGCCAGTGTTCGGTGTCAGTCAGTGTTCAGGGGTCGGCCAGTGTTTTGGGGTCGGTCGGTGTTCGGGGGTCGGCCAGTGTTTTGGGGTCAGTCAGTGTTCAGGGGTCGGCCAGTGTTTTGGGGTCGGTCGGTGTTCGGGGGTCGGCCAGTGTTCGGGGTCGGCGTGTGTTAGGGGGTCGGCCAGTGTTCTGGGGTCGGTCAGTGTTCAGGGTCGGTCAGTGTTCGGGGTCGGCCAGTGTTCTGGGGTCGGCCAGTGCTTGTTGGTGTCCGGTGCCAGATTACAGGAATGTAGAGTCGTAGGTTCTCAAAATGGCGGGGGCTAGGAGCTTGTGGTGGCGTGTGTTATTGTTATTGGTATAGTCAATGATAATTCTTTGTTTCCTTTCTTTGTGTGTGTGTGGTGTTATCACCATAACCACCTTCATCATCCATTTCTTATTTTCTTAGTCTCCTCCTTCCCCTTCATCATCTTCTTCTTCTCTCTTCTTCCTCCTTCTCTTCTTTCTTTGTTTTCTTCTTGTCCTTCTTGGTACAAGCTCCCCCCCCCCCCCACCCTTGAGTTCGTCTGTCTCTCACTCTCTCCTCCTTGTTCCCTTTATTTCGGCTGCCAGTTCCAGATTCCCCTCCCTGAATTCATCTGTCCCTAACTCCTCCTGATCAACGGAAAGGGATTAGAAATTACAAGTCGAAAATAAACCTCAATCAATATTTGTATGGGAGACAACTCGATCTGCGGTCAGGAACTATGGGAGGTTTAAAAAAAAATTAGTTTGTAACCAAGTTAGTTTCGTTATTGAAACATGAAATTGGATAGGGTAGCACCACGTTCACATACCTAATCGCTGTCATAGATTGGATAGGGTAGCGCCCCGTTCACATACCTAATCGATGTCATAGATTGGATAGGGTAGCGCCCCGTTCACATACCTAATCGATGTCATAGACTGGATAGGGTAGCGCCCCGTTCACATACCCAATTGTTGTCACATATTGGATAGAGTAGCGCCCCGTTCACATACCCACTTGTTGTCACAGATTGGATCCCCAGTGAAGGTACGTTACTAGCCTTGCCTGGACAAATTACGGTGGCCTAAATGCAGTTAATGGCTAAGTTGTTTGTTTGCCTTCTCCGACTGTAAACCCAGACAAAAAGTTTTGGTTGCTTGTCCATTTCTAGACTTTGGCCTTGTTCAGGGACCTGAGTGACAGCACTCCGACTAAGAAGGAATACTCTAATGAGCTTGTAGCCCCACAAGAGGGTAAGCACAAAAAGAGAATAACATAGACTGATTGTAACACAAGACGGGAATAACATAGACTGATTGTAACACAAGACGGGAATAACATAGACTGATTATAACACAAGACGGGAATAACATAGACTGATTGTAACACAAGACGGGAATAACATAGACTGATTGTAACACAAGACGGGAATAATAGAACAAGGCCAACATTCTTCGCATAATAAAAAAATTATAATTAGAGAGGTCGACATCGAGCTTAAAGAACACCTACAATCAATCGTACACCCAGCTGGAAGAACACCTACAATCAATCGTAAACCCAGCATGCAGTACACATACAACCATATAATTGTATCGACCAATGGCGACAGATGTCGGACCATGATCAAATAAACAAACAAAACACGTGAATGGAGGGCTGGACAAACAAGAGAACAAATACAAGCCGACGTTACTGAAAGGCAACGGGTATTGATTAGCACTGATAAAGGGGGAAAGGAATAAAACATCAGATGGTAGGTTACATCAGTGTTCTTGGACTGGCTGGTCTCCCAATTCAGGTAACAGTTAGGGTATGCAAGATTTACACATCAGGGATTAAAATGAAACATACAAATGCAGAAGCCTCGTGCAACCCCATTTATTGTCTAACCCAGTGATTCCCAAACGGCGCCCCGGGGAGCCATGACCTCTTCACAGCGGCGCCGCAAATAAGAAAAATTTTTGGGAAACACTGGTCTAACCTCTGAGCAGCAGCAGCATGGGTGCATTGACTGAAGATTGTCATTTTGTGACATCGGACTGAACAAATAAACTGTCATCTTGAGTTGTTTTTCTGTCGGTGTTTGCTTAGCTGGCAGGTTGGCCTCGAAACAAGTTTCCTGGTTTCTAGTGGTCCGCGGGTGTAAACAGTTTTAAAAACACTGGCTTCGATACAGGACAGTATGGGGACGCCAATATCATGATGTTTAAAGTGGCTATCATATGTGCCTCCCCAAGACGCTTATCGGCACATAGGGAAATATTTTGAGTCATATCAAGCGTCATGGCGGATTGGGAAAGTAATAGCAGAAGGCATGGTACCAGGAAGGACGGACAGGGGCTGACTACCACGATGATGGGCACAGGATTAAGTTACTCCTTGAATATGAAAGTATATGAGACGGGAGAGCTAACGAGAGACAGTTTTTTTTTTTTTAGGCAGACCGTGATGAGAGTGACGTTCTGCAAGGGACCTGCAACATGATGATGGACAGTAGATTAGTGAAAACTTGTTTAGAAGCAGCGGTGATGTAGATTTTGTAGACGAAAACTATGAACACTCTGGACAAATAGATTAATGAAGATGTCTTGAAAGAAACTGGCTGACGAATAGAATTGGTTGCCCACATCAGAAAGAGACAAACTACATTTTGGGGTCATGATATGAGAAGGAGAAAACTGATTCGTGCCGGTGGGAAAATCGGGAGAGAGAGAGAGAGAGAGAGAGAGAGAGAGAGAGAGAGAGAGAGAGAGAGAGAGAGAGAGAGAGAGAGAGAGAGAGAAATAGGAAAACCGACAGAGAAGAGGCTGGACAGTTTTGACATAATAGCAAGGAAAATCGTCTTTGTAAGATATGACTGAAAGTAGACGAGGCAGAAGGTTGTCGATAGACATGACTACCATCGACACATGGTATGAAAGATCATCTACGTTATGACTCACTGAAAGTAGACGAGACAGAAGGTTGTCGATAGACCTGACTACCAACGACACATGGTATGGAAGATCATCTACGTCATGAATCACTGAAAGTAGACGAGACAGAAGGTTGTCGATAAACATGACTACCCTCGACACATGGTATGGAAGATCATCTACGTCATGACTCACTGAAAGTAGACGAGACAGAAGGTTGTCGATAGACATGACTACCCTCGACACATGGTATGGAAGATCATCTACGTCATGAATTACTGAAAGTAGACGAGACAGAAGGTTGTCGATAGACATGACTACCAACGACACATGGTATGGAAGATCATCTACGTCATGAATCACTGAAAGTAGACGAGACAGAAGGTTGTCGATAGACATGACTACCATCGACACATGGTATGGAAGATCATCTACGTCACGAATCACTGAAAGTAGACGAGACAGAAGGTTGTCGATAGACATGACTACCAACGACACATGGTATGGAAGATCAACTACGTCATGAATCACTGAAAGTAGACGAGACAGAAGGTTGTCGATAGACATGACTACCATCGACACATGGTATGGAAGATCATCTACGTCATGACTCACTGAAATTACACGAGACAGAAGGTTGTCGATAGACATGACTACCATCGACACATGGTATGGAAGATCATCTACGTCATGAATCACTGAAAGTAGACGAGACAGAAGGTTGTCGATAGACATGACTACCCTCGACACATGGTATGGAAGATCATCTACGTCATGAATCACTGAAAGTAGACGAGACAGAAGGTTGTCGATAGACATGACTACCCTCGACACATGGTATGGAAGATCATCTACGTCATGAATCACTGAAAGTAGACGAGACAGAAGGTTGTCGATAGACATGACTACCCTCGACACATGGTATGGAAGATCATCTACGTCATGACTCACTGAAATTACACGAGACAGAAGGATGTGGATAGACATGACTACCATCGTCACATTACCCCGGTCAACCTATTTGTCAATAGACAGGAACATTTGTCTACGTTTTTTTCTTCAAACACGTAGCGACAACTGACGCGGTGTGACGTAAGACGCAGAGGTGACTATGACATCATTTCCTTGACAAAAGAACGCAGCGATGACATGGGCATTGAACAACACACATCGCAACACTAACATTAAACAGAAAACTAGTGCCAACAATTATTTCTTTAAATACCAATTTTTTCAGCCAAAAATACAACACAATTCATCTGTGAAAAGTAAGCTAGCAAAAGCTGCCAAAAATATATTTTACAAACGGTAAAATCACGAGGACTGTTCACCAAACTACGTTTTATCTATAATTTTCCACCCGTTGGTAATTTTTTTCAGTAGATAAACTAAAAATGTCAAATCGAGACAAAAGTATACTGTCGTTAGTCTACAAGGCTACGTTGTATCCGCCCAGCGCTATTAAAAAAATCGATATCGCCACAGGTAATTATACACCAAACAGACGGCAAACCGGACAATTATGCACCATGACATAATCGATATCAGTAGAGTGGTATTGAACTGTTTGAAGACGTCATTGTATGATTTTTGTTTCTGTCTATTTCAGAATCGCTGACATTTAAATTTCTTTCTTAAATACTAGTTTGTCCTTGTTTTTTTTATATTGATTTGTAATTTTGTTGCTGTTGCTACTAGGGATTGTAGTTATCTGATCTTTCAGTGACATCACAGAGTATTTTTACTCCACATTTTGTATCTTTCTATTCTGTTAACGTCTACAAAATCTGCAAAATTGTATCAATGACTCCAAGGCCATAAGTAGAAAAGAATGACGTCTACACTGAAAATGACAGCTAGGAATTCGGGGTGATTCCCAAAGCTTCAATAAACATAAATTCGTGCCATGTAAGTGGCGTGGGGTGTTTCCTTAACTAAAAATAAATACAATGTTAATCGTTTTGTCATTAATATTGATTCGTTTTATTCGGCGTATACACATCACATTGTTAATATCGTTTTTCTAGCTGCGTCACTGGACAGAAAAAGCTAAAGCGGCTGAAGGTTGTTAAATGGATGTGAAAATGTCGCTTGTCTCATCTATCGTCAGGAGATTCCACTTACGGAATCAATACAAAGTGAAATGGGTGTTTTCCATCTCTCTTTGGATATTAAAAAAAAAACGATGTTGAGGGGGCAACTTCTAGAATATTGTTTGACGTCACGAAAAAAAAAACATACATGAAAACTTTAGGTAAGATGACGTCGATGGGAGGTTTCCCTGGAGGAGAGTTTCAACAATAAACCAGACTTGAAAGTTTAAAACTTGTCGACGTCACAGCTATAAATACTCGTTTAAACGTTTCTATGGCAACCAATGTAGGAAACCCACCAACGTTAAATCAATGATTAATTTACTGAAGTGCAGGAAGCGGGTTCGACTCAAGTGTTTCATAAAGTTCAAAACAGATTCTAAACATACTGTGTAATATACTTAAAATATAAAATATCACCGGGAATAGAACAAGTAATCAAACAGGACCGGTTTGAAAATTGAAAATATCCCTGGTTTAAAAAAAAAAAAGAAGAAGAAAATGGTTCTTTAATTTTATACGACCATATTCAGGCCGACTACGAGATTTGGTAGGGAATCCCTAGGTATTGATAGGGGTTTCCCTGGGCCGTACCATCTTATAGGGGGATTAGGGTTAGGGCTAGTGTTAAATGACTAGCGACTAGTCGACTACTACTAACCCTAACCTCAGTATGGGAAGTTCTGGGGATCTCCCTACCAAATCTCACAGCGTTCGTATAAAATTAAACAACCAAGAAAATTACTAAAATATGCTGCCTTGAAAATGGAGAATACTGGGGAAACCCGATGCCCTCATTTCTCTACTCATGGTGCTTTCAGAGTGGCACGATATATACACGTGCATTCATGGATTGACGATAATAACAGAGAAGAATGAGAAAGTAAGGGGAGCCGCCGTTGTGAAGAGGCTAGTTGCTTGCCTGCAGATCTGAAGGTTTGAGTTCAGATCTTGAAAGAGTCTGACTTTTTTTTTTTCTGTTTCAAAAATGACCTTTGCTTCCAGGTTGACCCAGCCTTAAATCGTGGGTCAGGTACAGTCCTGGGAAGTCAAGGCGGCCAGCGTCATGCTGACCACATAACCCACTTGGCACCAATTGGCCTGTAAAATATAGGGCTGGTCCCATATGCTCAATAGTCTAAAGGCATGAAAAAAGGCCCTTTATTTTACTTTACAAGAAAGTAGATATCACCTGGTCATTGAGGGGACCACTACGGAGGCGTCGAGCAGTGGGGTCAGGCTGATATACCGAAAGCCTGCCCTCAGAGTGACAGGGCGACTGAAGTAATAAGGCCACAGTGTGAATCGGTAAACTAGAACAGACTTCCGGAACAGTTTATCACAAGAAGTGAAGACAGACAAGAGCCATATATAACAGTCTATAATCTGAACAACCTCTTCCGACTCTGCGACAGATAAGGCATTTGCACATGATCTCCATTGCTGCCGGTCTGTTGCTTTTCTTCTCACGGTATCCAAGTTCAGTTTCCCTTTTTACAGTTCTTCTCCATGTTTCATTATCTTGTCCTCGTCCTTATTGCCCATCTTTGACCAAACAAACTTGTTGGCACCTTTAAAACCTCAAAATTGTATACGCAATAGATACATTTGTCTCCAAATCGATGATGATACTTGTAGCAATGAACCCAAAGGTCCGGAACGTTAAAGAGGAGGAGGAGGAGAAGGGGAAGAAGGAAGAGAAGAAGAAGAAGAAGAAGATAAAACTAAAAGAAACAATAAACTAAGCACAACAACAGAATAACAGAATAAGTGCGTGATTGATGGCGCACTAAAAACGGACACAATCTCAACATGCATTTCTACCACAAGTTGTCACTAATTAAACAGAGTCGACCAACAGACAACTAATGAAACGAGCATAAACAAACACTTAGGAAACCCTTCAAGACAAGTACGGAATAAAACAAGGAACAAACATTACTCTTACCATTTAACAATAAACAAACACAAGGACTCACCATTCCGCAGAGAAAAAAGACGAACACCAAAAAGACGAAGATGTCCGTGCAGCCTCGGTTTCGTCTCGGGTTGCTCAGGACGCCTCTGTCCTGCTTCACATCCTGAGGAGGAGATTATCATGTTGTTTATTCACTGTTAGGACTTTTCTTTCTTTCTTTCGTTCTTTAATTTTTAAAAAGATCGTCACTGGAGCTACGGAGCTTGCGCTTTGTACGACGCCCCTGTCTATTGCCTAGGCGTTCTACAGAGAAAAGATGGACACATGAGATGCATTCTAGTGCAATGAAGTGGATCCTGCGACCTTAAGTGTTAGACCACATTCTTTTATCTTCGTGGGATAAAGAAAAAAACCACATTTAGATAGACAGCATCAGAACAAAACAAAGAATTGAGATAAACACAAATTGCAACCGTCTTTGATTAAAAAGCCCTGATAGAATGCAACATTCATGTTTTGTTTGCCGTACTAATAGACACCACGCAGTGACACTAATGGAACAGAGGATGCAATTTACCGATAACATAGAACAGGCCGCCGTGCTGATAGTACTCACGTCGGGTCAACTTTGTGTCTATTTCTACGTTTCCGACCGATTGTGTCATTATCATATGTTTACAGTCGTAAATTGACTCTGGGAAGACTTCTAGAACTTACGCTACAAGAGGAGAGACTAGACACTATAGAAGTGTAATTTATATACCTGAGTCTACAATAAAAACAGACATTATACTGCTTGGTTCCCTTATGTTCCTGGGCAAAGGAAAGTAATAGCAGCAGCAGCAGCAGAAGTAGCGTGGTTAGTAGTAGTAGTAGCAGCAACAGAGATAGCAGGGTTGGTAGTTTTAGCACCAGTAGTAGGGTTGGTAGTGGTGGTTGTGGTGGTAGTTGCAGTGGTAGCAGAAGAAGAAGAAACAGGGTTAGTAGTAGTAGCAGCAGAAGAAGTAGCAGTTGGTAGTAGTGGCAACAGCAGCAGGGTTGGCGATTGTAGTGGTGGTGGAGGTGGTGGTTCTGGTGGTAGTAGTAGCAGCAGCAGCAGTAGTAGTAGTAGCAGCAGCAGCAGCAGCAGCAACAGCAGTAGTACTATAATTATTTTAGTACAAGAAATAAGATATATGTGAAGGACTGCAGGAGGAATAATCAAAAGAGATATCATCAGAAATGAGGTCATATGAGAAAAAGTCGGATCAGAACCAGTTATAAATTACATACAGAGACACACAATTATATGGTTTGCATACTTAGTAAGAATACCTTTCGACGCCGCACCAAACAAGGCACACACTAAATAAACAGCAGCACAACGTTAAGCATTTAGTAGATCAACAATAAGCTGGAGAAAAATAACATCAGAGAACTCTACAACAGCACGGTGCGTCCATGGTCGGGGCAACCAGAAGTGCAAGAAGCACTTATTTCTACCTCGATACTTGAAGAGGAAGAAGAAGAAGAAGAAGAAGAAAGAAGAAAGAAAGAAGAAGAAGAAGAAGAAGAAGAAGAAGAAGAAGAAGAAGAAGAAGAAGAAGAATGAAGAAGAAGAAGAAGAAGAAGAAGAAGAAGAAGAAGAAGAAGAAGAAGAAGAAGAAGAAGAAGAAGAAGAAGAAGAAGAAGAAGAAGAAGAAGAAAGAAGAAGAAGAAGAAGAAGAAGAAGAAGAAGAAGAAGAAGAAGAAGAAGAAGAAGAAGAAGAAGAAGAAGAAGAAGAGAAGAAGAAGAAGAAGAAGAAGAAGAAGAAGAAGAAGAAGAAGAAAGAAGAAGAGAAGAAGAAGAAGAAGAAGAAGAAGAAGAAGAAGAAGAAGAAGAAGAAGAAGAAGAAGAAGAAGAAGAAGAAGAAGAAGAAGAAGAAGAAGAAGAAGAAGAAGAAGAAGAAGAAGAAGAAGAAGAAGAAGAAGAGGAAAATAAGAAGAAAAGAAAAAAGAAGAAGAAAAATGGGAGAATCCTTAGTGCAGTTATGTCAATTCTTGACTGATTTATTCAATTATTCATTAGATCACTTTTACTTGATGTAAAGAAGTCATTAAGCGTAGTTCTCGCTTGCATGAGATGAGATGCTTAAGAAGAGACGCCAACCCAACCATCCGAGAAAATAACGATACTTCCAGACAGATTGTGGGAACAGTACCTTGTACTAGATTTATCGAGAAACACCAGATCAAGCGGTTTTCCCACTTGTTAGAATGCAGGAACTGCAAATACCCTCACAGACACTACATGACATAAGATCAGCTACAATAACCTAGCTTTCACTGGATCACAAATTATTCCTCCCCACAACACTTAACGACATAAATGGTTTACGATGATGATGATTTTTCGTCTGCACTCGTACTTAAAAGGTCAGGTGGCCCATTGTTTTGTGGCTTATAAATACATTTTAAATGCCTTGAAAGCAGCCGTAATGCCCACTTTTGAAGATTTTTAAAGTGGACAACATCTCAGAGAAAACAACAATCAATCCTGTCCCACTATCTAGGCGATCAGATAGGGCTATGCCATCATTTGCCCCCGGTTCGTCCTCCCTGGCCATTTCGTTATTATGTAGTTAAGAAACCATTAGCAGCCATTAGTTGTGACACAAAGTTTCCATCAATTTTATTTTCTGTGACCGAATTGAGAATTTTCTCAATGATTTCTCCTGCAGGGTGCTGAAGTTCCGGGTTGTCAACAGATCGCTGTACGCCACTTCCGGTGCAAGTTTTATGTGATGTTAAAATAATGTTTTCACCTTCTCTTCCCCCCCCCCTCTCCCCCCCCCCCCACTTCGTTTCCCCTCTTCCCTGAAGTCACAACCTATGCTAGTACACCTTATGCCTCACGTATTGAAAGATTGGTTGAATTTCGGACTAAGTCGTTCGATTCAAGATTTCCTTTTTTTTTCCGAGAGTTCCGGAGATCGTTGCTGAAGCTACGGTGTTTTCTATATCTCTCTCCTAAAGGGGACAGTTGTTTTGCTACAAAAGATAGGCCTATATAGCACGAAACCGATGCAATGCGGCAACTGTTAGCACCTTTTATCAGGACAATGTCCAAAGAGTGGACTGTCGGAACTCGACTATCGGCGTTAATCAAAGAAGCCACCAGAGGAAGAAGCAGAAGCTTGACTATCTGCACATAAATACTCTATGAATTTAAGATATTGTTCTTAGAGGACTTTCACTTGGTGTTTTATCTTCCTTCGAAGTCGGAGTGCATCTGCATGACAGGCTGGTGTGCACAAATGTCAGATCTATAAAATGCATGTGCACACACAACTCTAGTTCTGAAACAAGACGAAAGTCCAGAAGTGGACCAACAACCTGAACTTTCCGAGGAAATTTAGAGCCGACGAACCTTAGTAGAAGTAGAAGAAGTTGTTTTTGTCTGCCATGGTGAAAAATAGTTATTAATATTCACCAGATCATTTGCATAGCCTTGGATGTTTTTGTGCCAGGCTGTTCGCCTGAGTACAACCGAACTAAGAAAGTGCCAAAACAACAAACAGCCAGGACAAGAACAACAAATAGTTCTCATTGTGCAGGTAATAGGCAGAGTTGTTAGCCAAACCTACAAAATACGCCAGTGTACAGAAACCAAATGGCAAAGACAGATCGGAGGCAAGAGAAGAAGGCAAAAAAGGTAATTCCTAAAACAGGTAAGACAACAACGGTTGAGGTAAAGTAAACAAAGAAGTGTTTAACTGGCGGTATTTCTTATCGAGTGTACACAGCAACAAAACTCTGGCAAACAGAGACGGGAAAATTAGGAGGGTAATTAAAACTGACGACGACTGTAACGGTAGCAGTAATGTCATTCTCCGGTATTTACTTGTTAGTTAGCTGCAGATATATCAATCTGTCTGTCTATCTGTCTATTCATTCATACGTCAGGCCTTTTGTCTGTTAGTCTATTCATTCATATGTCAGGCCTTCTGTCTGTTTGTATGTATATATATATGTATGTTTGTCTGTCTGTTTGTCTGTATATTCATTCATACGTCAGGCCTTCTTTCTGTCTGTTTGTATGTACGTATGTCAATCTATCTATTCATACGTCAGGCCTACTGTATGTCAGTCTGTTTCTCTCTCTCTCTCTCTCTCTCTCTCTCTCTCTCTATATATATATATATATATATATATATATATATATATATATATTCATTCGTGCGTCAGGCTTCTGTCTGTTTGTCTGTCTGTATATATGTATGTTTGTCTGTCTGTTTGTCTGTATATTCATTCATACGTCAGGCCTTCTGTCTCTCTGTTTGTATGTACGTATGTCTATCTATCTATTCATACGTCAGGCCTACTGTATGTCTGTCTGTTTATCTGTCTCTAACTCTCTCTCTCTCTCTCTCTCTATATATATATATATATATATATATATATATATATATATATATATATATATATATATATATATATATATATATATATATTCATTCGTGCGTCAGGCCTTCTGTCTGTATGTCAGCCACCCAAGTCTTCATACTTTCCGATGAACTAATCTCGTGAGTGGGTGAGGATGAGTAGAAAGATAGACAGACAAACAGAGAGAACAAAAATTGTGTGCCCGAAGAGCGTCAGAAAATTTTTCTTTCAATTCCGATTTTTTTCTTTAGTAAAGTGTGCATTTGTAGAGAAGCAGGTGCTGTAAAAGTTTTTGTCCCTGAGATAACTTTGCTGAAGTGTTGATTTTGAATAACTCCCCATTCACCCACCCCCCCCCCCCTCTTCCCCCGCACACTAACATTATACCCACTTCTCACCTGGCCGTGGCTGTACAACTGTGGGGATTTCAAGCAAAGATGTGGGATATTTGCGCAGGTTGGAGTTTGCGCGCCAGGTGAACCAACAGAGACTGCTCACAATTTCTCATGATAAACCCGGAGAGATGGAGATTGGCAGACCCGACCACGCCGCCATTTCCACTTCAATATCTAGCCAGATACCATCTACAAACACGTGTGGGGTTTCTAATTTATCACAGATTTTTTTTTTCTGTTTATCTTCTCTCTCATACAAATCACATCCGGTTTGCCTGTGTGGGTTCCCGAATGCTGGATGGAGGGGATTAGAAGCCTTATAAAATGTGTTGGAAAAAGAAGTGTAGATATCACAGCCTAGCTGTAATTCACAATAAAATATGCCGACTTTTTTTTTTTTTTTTTTAGAGCGAATGAGCAATAAGAAGAAGAAGAAGAAGAAAGAAGAAGAAGAAGAAGAAGAAGAAAGAAGAAGAAGAAGAAGAAGAAGAAGAAGAAGAAGAAGAAGAAGAAGAAGAAGAAGAAGAAGAAGAAGAAGAAGAAGAAGAAGAAGAAGAAGAAGAAGAAGAAGAAGAAGAAGAAGAAAAAGACAAGGAGGGAGGAGTAGGAGACGAAGAAGAAGAAGAAAGAGAAGAGAAAAGAAGAAGAAAGAAGAAGAAGAAGAAGAATAGAAGAAGAAGAAGAAGAAGAAGAAGAAGAAAGAAGAAGAAGAAGAAGAAGAAGTAGAAGAGAGAAGAAGAAGAAGAGAAGAAGAAGAAGAAAAAGAAGAAGAAGAAAGGAAGAAGAAGAGTAGGAAGAAGAAGAAGAAGAAAGAAGAAGAAGAAGAAGAAAAGAAGAAGAAGAAGAAGAAGAAGAAGAAGAAGAAGAAGAAGAAGAAGAAGAAGAAGAAGAAGAAGAAGAAGAAGAAGAAGAAGAGAAGAAGAAGAAGAAGAAGAAGAAGAAGAAGAAGAAGAAGAAGAAGAAGAAGAAGAAAAAGAAGAAGAAGAAGAAGAAGCAACAATAGGAGTTTAAAAACTAGAAAACGGGATGATTTCCAACAGTATCGTTTTAGGGTCGTAATAGATTTCTGGCCTATGGATTTCTGTTTAGTAGATCTGTGGAAAGTCTATTTTTTAATAATGGATTTCTGGATTGTGGATCTTTGGATAGTGCATCAGACTAAAGCTCAAAGATTCTTTGGTTGGCGGATCTCTGGATGAAAGATTTTTGGACAATGGATCTTTGGCTAGTAGAACAGATGGTTTCTATATCTATGGCTAGTGAAGCCAATGGTTGGTGGATTAAATAGCTAGTGGAATGAATGGCTGTGAGATCGATGAGCTGGTGGACTTAATAGCTAGTGGACTGAATGGCTGGTGGATTGAATAGCTAGTGGAATGAAAAGCTAGTGGAATGAATGGCTGTGAGATCGATGAGCTGGTGGACTTAATAGCTAGTGGACTGAATGGCTGGTGGATTGAATAGCTAGTGGAATGAAAAGCTAGTGGAGTGAATGGCTGGGTGATTAAATAGCTAGTGCATTGAATGGCTGGTGGACTGAATGGCTGGTGGAGTTAGTGGCTGAGGAAGAAATTTTTGTGTGGATCGAATGGCTAGCGGATTAAAGGCTGGGGGATTGAATGGCGGGTGGATGTGAAGACCAGTAGACAAAATGTAGAAGTTTTACTAGTGAAATCGATAAATAGGGGATCTCTGTGTCCATGCAATGGGGAATATATGGGTTGAAACAGAGCTTTCCAAACATTTTATTTTGGTGACACTTTTTAGACAAACGTAACTTCATGACACAATAATTTATACCATCGGCAAATAAGGTTAAAGGTTAATGTCACCTGCCAATTATTCGGTTTTACATTCGCGAGACACGCCTTCACACTGCAGCCTACAACCTTATGTGTCGCGACACATTGTTTGGAAAGCTTTAGGTGAAGGTATCAATGGCCAGTAAATCTAATGATCATAAATCCCTTTCTAGTGGGTATTTGGCAATTCATCATTTAGGTGCCGTCGTCACAATGAAGGTTGGCTGCACGGGATCTGCTGTTTCTTCTTCTTCTTCTTGTTCTTCTTCTTCTTCTTCTTCTTCTTCTTCTTCTTCTTCTTCTTCTTCTTCTTCTTCTTCTTCTTCTTCTTCTTCTTCTTCTTCTTCTTCTTCTGTCTTCTTCTTCTTCTTTTTTCTTCTTCTTCTTCTTCTTCTTCTTTCTTCTTCTTCTTTCTTCTTCTTTTCTCTACTGCTGGAATACTTCGTGGCGTCAGGGGAGGAGGAGATCTCTGGAACGGGCCCTTCTGTTCAGCTTCATATAAAATACTTTCCAGTGTCTCTGATATTTCTGCGGTCCATATTCTGCGTGGTCGACCTCTGGCTCTGTTACCGTTGTATCTGTATAACATTGTTCTATGTGGTGTCATGTCTGATGCCTATCTTGTTACATGGCCAAACCATTAAGAAGCTGCAACACGCTCTGTATCTTGTCCTGGTTGTGCACTATCTCAGACTGCTGTTCATTTATTTTACGATGTCCTCACAACTGTCTTTTCAGAAACCCTATATCCGTAAAATACGATCCAGTTTTCTGAATATCTACATTCTTCACCAACTGGATAAACAATTAGTATGGATAGACAGACAGGAGGTAGGTAGGTAGATCGCTGAACCCCTTCAGGACTTCACACACCCAGTGATGCAAAGTGCCACCATGTGGATGAGGATCACCCGTAGAGAGGTGACGAAAACCCCGTTCAGTCTTAGGCCATACTTATGGCCCTGTTGTATCTAGGGCCCTGGCAAAAGTCAGGATGGGGCTAAACAATCACTAAAAAGTGCATTCCACATGGGAATACGCTAAGCTTATAATAATAACAGACAGAAAGACAAAATCTTACCTTCTCGTGTTCACAGCAGTCGCCGCACATGATTGGTAGTTTCATTCAGCCGAACTTCTTTCTTGTCTTCTTCCGCCACAAAGATGATAAATCTGCACTACTGGCTTAGAATATCAGATAATAATGTTTTTCTGCAAGCATCTACCTCTAAACCTTCTTCTTATTGCTCTTGATAAGACCGCCACAACAGCAAATGTGAACTTGATCGGCGTGTTCCAATTTTGTCCTTTCACCAGCGGAAATGTTCTGATAAAAGGTTGCCCAAAGATTAGACAGGACAAGATGATGGATTCGTAAATCGCTAAATAACGGAGGAAATCGATTCCCGGGCTAGGCTGTGGTTATCTCGGTATCGTCAGATGATGACGCAGAGAGAAGCTAACTGGAGGCTTCGATACCGTTATCGTTAAGGGCTTCTTCAGTCTTGTCAATTTGGAATTCAAAGCCGATAACTGGAATCAGGTTTTGTAACCGCTGACCGGAAATCTGTTGAGAAAGAAAAGGAGAAATTTGCATAATTATCAAAGGAATTTTCTCCTGTGCTTAAAACATTTAATGAATAAAATCAAGAAATGATATCATTGCACTGGGAGGATTGACTCACACAGTTCGTCTGTCTGTTTCTCTCGCGTTGAAAATATCGTGGTAGAACAAATTATACCCCTCCCCTCCCCCTTTTTTTTAGATTTACAACTTCAAACATGAGGATGGGGGTCGAGACAATTACTGAAGCTATAAAAATGGAATGCAGACAATAGTAAAAAAAAAGTCGGAAGATGTGAACCAGCGTCATTGCACACGGTTATAATCCATAAGTACTCTGCCACCAATACGGACAGCTGATAGAAAACTGTTCGTCTGTATCGCCGTCCGCACTCAACTCCGTAGCTACAGCGACGTTCCTCCATTTATCGTAGAGTGTTAACTTTGGTACCAATTACCTAGAGGCTGGGTGAACCCCGGAAACCGCCACGTTTCGAACACCGGCCGTGGGCTGCAGGCAGAAAATAGTTACCAGAGGAATGATATTGTCTTCCTCGCAGTCGGTGCTGCGGAAGGTTCTATATAGACAAATGTACATCCGCACGTAAACATAGAGGGACTCATGTAAATATACGGTCCGGCAAATGCGGGAGTGCGGGGAAACAAAAGAGCTGACTTTGTGGCTACAAAAGAGATAGCTACAGGAATTTTTAAAACGGTAGAAAATTATAGGGAAGAGAAAAAGTTGGAAAAAAAAGAACAAATAGTTTATGTTAGCTTTACAAATTCGATCACAATAAACAAATAACGTTGCGGCGATTAGCCTTTATCGGCACATAAAGAACAACACAGTACACATACACAAATATGCTCTAACTATAAAGTGACTACATAGGACTCTAATGTACAAAATAAATTATACACATCTGTGTGTTCCCCCCCCCCCCCACACACACACACCCTTTAAACCCGCCCTCTCCCCTTTTGTAGCTACAGGAACACTCGTGCTGGGCACCGAATGATTGTGAAGACCATGTAAGAATGAATGTTGATAGAAGACACGAGGTTAGACGAAATAAGACGAGTAAGAATGTGTGAACAAGAAATTAGGAGTGGGTCCGGCAAGGAAGGGACGTATGGGAGGAAAAGAGTAGGGCGTGTTTAAAATCAGTGAGCTACGTGAAGAGGTGGCGTCTAATCTTTGCTACAGAAGACATTCCATTCTAAGAAAAACGGAAATATTAAATATTTATTCCTGCTACAAAATCGAACATTTATTACTATTATGAAATTACATTTAATTTGGGCTGTAAAACTACACATTTATTCCTATTATAAAACTAAATTGTATTTATATTATAAAACTACTTATTCATGTTCCCCCTCTTAAACCTTTCTCTTTGTTTATTGAATCATATTCCATTCACATATTACCGGGTTTTTTTTTTTCGAGAGTGGAAGAAATAACGAACAACTAACAACAAAGTGTAGATAATGTTTGCTTAATTCAAATAATGTCTATTTCTGTGAACTCGCAGATGCAATTTAAAAGCAACGCTATTTCTGGACAAAGCTTTTAAATAACGTTTAAAGACTAAAAATTGTATTCTGGGTTGTTTACTTTTTAAATATATGGCTGGTATGTTTAGAAAAATCTGGAACTGTCTGGTTGGCTTAGATTACTTAACTTAGTCTGTAGACAGGAGGCAATAATGTTGAATTTGTAATCGTCATTTTTCTTCTCATCATCATCATCATGAACATTCGACAGCATGTCCTAAACAGGCATTACTCTGCTTCCACAGCCACGTTTCTTTATCTGTGCGACCTCTGTTGCTGTAATGTTTAATATCATTTATTACATCTGAATATGTTATGTTCTTTTTCACTTTCGTAGATTATTATTTCCAGGCTTATTCTTCTGTTTCTCTCTCTTGTTCTTTATAAGCTTTGATGTGTTTCTTATTAACGTTTTTTCTTCTTCGGGGTTTGGGTTAAAAACCGAAGCTTATTATTGTTTAAAACTGAAGATGTCAGTCGAATGCATTCCAATGTTTGTAAACTAATATTTAATTGGTTTTGATGATTTTTATTCTTATGCAACCTGTAAGACTTACATCTTTTTGGAATAGGCTTATTATTTATACTCTTTCTTCTTCTTGTCAGTATAAATTAGAGCACATTCCAGCATTCTGTAATTAGGACTTCGATATTGTAATTTTTCTTCTTTTTTTTGTTTGTTCCTTCTTTCTTTTCTATATTTCTCAAATTCTTTATTGTGCATTCCTCTTTTTATTATCTTATTATTATTGTTATTATCTTATTATAACTATGAAATGAGGTACAAATGAAACATTCTTTGAAAGGAGCGGAGTTCTTCAGAATGTTAGACGGGCTGCTGCCCAATTCTTAACCTTTGAAAAAAAAGTTTGTTCTTCGTTCGTTTTTCTTCTTCTTCTTCTTCTTCTTCTTCTTCTTCTTCTTCTTCTTCTTCTTCTTCTTCTGCTTCTCCTCCTCCTCTGTAAATGGAGCACATATCCCTTCCCTTTACCCCTTTGTAGGTAAACATTACGAAATCTTCCCATTGTGTGTTAGCTCCGCCTATTTACGCACTAGGTCACTTTTCATTCATAGTTTGTCAGGCTCGTCAACTTTGCTGAAGGTTATGGGGGTGTTACGGTGTACTGTTTGCAAAGCAGAAAGCTTTTTGAGCAAACACTACACCGGGACACACCCGTAACCTTCAGCAAAGTTGACGAGCCTGGGAAAGCACTAATCAGAACTGACATAGTCTGCAAATAAGTAGAGCTAAAACACATGGGGACATTTTCATAAGGTTTACCCCTTTGTGGATTCCAGCGGAAGGACATTCTAGTTATATTATATCAGGCTTTCTCAACGTGTGTCCCGCCCAACGCCAGCTTCTTGTCCTCACCTCCGGATTAGCTAGAATAGTTTAATGTCAGTTTACAAATTAGCAAAGGATTTGAACCTTAGTCCGAATGGTTAAGGGTATAATCTCCATGAGTGTATAAAGAGTATACAAATATATCAACTCTAACAGTTCATCCATTACCTGTGATAGGTCGGTAAACATTTATCAATAACGGTTTTGAAAATTTTGGCAACAGCTGTCCAGCTACTACTGAAAAACCGATGAACACATCACTGTAGTGTGGACTTTTAAGATCATACAAGGCCAGGGCGTGTGTTTCTGCCCGTGTTCAACGATACCCTTTATAAAGCAATATTTCTTCAACCCTCTATAATAGACAATGAGCACGGACATCTGTTTTTTTTTTTTTTTTTTTAGGAAAGAACATTTAAAAAAACATGGACAGGACACATACAAAAATAATAAAAAAAAAAAAATTATATAAAAAAAAAAAAAAAAAAAAAAAAACAGACGTTTCCACTACCTTTTAAGAGAAGACAAAAATACAGTTATGAGTTTGAAAAAAAACAAAAACAACAACAACAACAGAAAAATCACAATAAAAAGTGCAATTTAGTGAAGAAAAACATAAATAAATCCATAAATTGTTTATGTATAAATGCAAATCTCTTATTTGATCTAACCGCGGTGTTCTGATGTCTGGAAGTCTAGTCCAGAAAAGGAAGCCTTTTTTTAGGCAAGGGGGGGGAAGGGGGGGGGGGGGGGGGTTGGAGGGCAAGAACACAGTCACAGCATCTTTGTAGGCACCCCCCCCCCTCCATCCTCACTACTGTTATAGATAAGGAGCCGCCGTGGTGTGGCGGCTAGACGCTCGCCTGCGGATCGGAAGGTCGTGGCTTCGGGTTCTGACAGTCCCGGTCGAACCAGCGGTGAATGTGTACCAGGAACAGTCCTGGGAGGTAAAGACGTCCGGCGTGATGCTGACCACGCCATCCACCCAGTGCGGGTTGGTCTATAAAATATAGGCTCTATGATAGAAACGGTTAGGAAATAAAGTAAAAGTTATTTATAAGGTAACTTATTTTCGTTGGAGGGTTCCTCAGTAATGAAAAATCGTACCTCAGAGTCTTTTCAGTAGAAGCCATTTGTTACATTAATTAAGAGCGCTTCGTGGTCTCGAGGCATGGTGTCCGCCTCGAGTGCTGGAGGTTCCGGGTTCAATCCTCGGTAAAGGCTGGAATTTTTTCACGTGGTCTTGGACTTCTAATAGTTACAACTGGTCTCTGGGTAGTCAGATCAGACGCCCGTGTACATTGTTGCACAAGTAAATAAATAAATCCCTTGGCAGTTGGAAATCGAAAAAAAAAATTGCCAAACGGCGCTGCCCGGGCACAGTTTGGTGTTAAAAATCTACCCAAAGTATTTGAGGATCCTCGCCGGTGCTACAGAGCCTGTGCTGAACTTTTTCGGACTCGAACCTGAGTTAGAAGAAGAGCGGAGCACGTATAGGGTACTATCGGTGTGCCGTGATGTTGATCCGTTGTTCAAACCTCAAGCCACAAACTGGTACATTAATTGTTACTTGCTACTTCAAGTACAAACTATTGTTTTGTAAAATATGGATCGGAAGTTATCTGAACTCTTCAGTAAA